GGACGAGGTTTAGTTTTGCAAGATGACAAGTTTGGGGGTTGGTTGTACAGCAATGTTAATGTAGTTAGTACCCTTTCACTGTACACTTAAAAATGTAAGATGTAAACTTTGTGTTATGTGGATTTTACCACAATTAAATGTTTTAAAGTGGGGTGTTATTTTCAGTATTATGTATTTCTTGTGAATGGCTGGGTTTCTGTATTACCGGAGACTGAGCAGATGTGGTCTGGAGTAAACCTGAAAACAAGTGGAGGTTTTGTGAATCTGCCAACATGTGCAAGTAGAAACAAATACGCAACCAAGTCATAGCCACCATGTGCTGTCAAATGTTAGGAGTGCTTGGGAAGGAGAGAAAAATCGCAAAGCAAGTGCTCCACGGGAGGTGGAGAAACAGCTGTGCTCCCCGCCAGAGGAGGAGTGGAAGTGATGTGACGAGAGACCCTTCCTGTAGCTGCGGTGCCCACCTTTATCAAAAAGCTTTGGAGTGAAGTGCAGTTGTAGGATCTTGAAGGAATCATTAAGGCTGCTCCATATTTTGTGCCTATTTGATGTTTAAATATTTTATTGCTTCCTAATTATAAACCTGGACTCTCAGGCTTTTTAAAAAAGTGTTTTTTCTGGGGACTTCCCTGGCGACCCAGTGGTTAAGACTCCATGCTTCCACTGCAGGGGGCGCGGGTTCAAGCCCTGGTCAGGGAACTAGGATCCCGCATGCTGAGCAGCACGGCCAAAAAAAAAAAAAAAAAAAGTGTTTTTTCTTAACCATATACATGTATTGATTGATCCATCGTGAAGGTAAAGTTCGAGATTCTTTTTGGCGGCCCGTACAGAACAGAAATAACTCTCTGTAATACAGGGCCCAAGCAGACTTCAGTAAGTTACAGTGTTCTCTGGTGCCTTGTTCTGCTCTTATTCCCCAGACCGAGCACACTGAAGTCATGGATGGTGGGGTTCTTTATGGACAATGTCTTCCCATCCATTCTTTTTCTTCTTCAAAAGCAAGAACTTGGCCACCCTTTAGTCTCTGTTCCTGCTAGGACTGCAGACACCTGCTCTCACTTCGTGGTATAACTTTATCCTAGTGTTTTTAATTCAGTTAAATAAGCTCACCCCTTTAAAGCCTGCTCTATACTAGGCATGGCCATCAAGGCAAGATGACAGGACCCAAGTCCTTTTTTTGAAGAAATTAGAATCAAACTGGACAGAGAAACAAGCACATAAACGTAATAGAATAAAAACTATGACTACAGATAACGATTGCCGTGGATGCTCGGTGCAGGATAAATCTATTTCAATCAGGAAAAATCGTACGAGGCTTCCTGGAGATGGTGGCAAGGGAGCCAGGCCTTGATGCTGTCGAGAATGCCCAACAACAATGTAGGGAGTATTAACAGAGGGGTCAGGTTTAGACTCTCAGTTGACATTGACTGTAAAGAAAACCTGGACTCAGAGAGGATGAAGAACTGGTGCCTGCGGCCGTACCCAGTTGTCATAATCAACATCAGGGCCCCGACTGTAGTCCTGGCTGTAATCCAATCCCACCTTCCTGGACTGCTGGTATCCTGGTGACCCCTGCAGTACTGGATGGTTGGGGTACCTAGAAGGGACCCACTGATACGCCTGTATTATGGAGTGTGGTTGTCCAGAGAGACAGCCTACTCTGTGCAGCCATGCCTGGCCTGCTGGACTGGATTTGCGTTACCAAGGAATCGGCGGGGTTCCCGGGGTCCTACCCCCCTCATCCGTGACCTCAGAAGAGTCACAGCTACCTCAAAGAACCAGACAAATCAATAAATAGCAAAACCAAAGGGCCTGAGATTTTATGGCAAATCCCAAATGGTCCAGTGAGGCTCAAGTTGTGGTGTCTGGGATCAGGGAGAGGAGGCCGGGGGACACTCAGCTGGGCCATGGGGTTATTCTCCAGGTGGTGGAGGACAGGAAAGAAGGAGACGAAAGTGATGTGCTGAACCCGAGCGCTCTGACGGTAACTCTGGCGACGGTCCCAACGCAGAGGAGGGAGAAACAGAGACCATCATTCGGATTGCCATTGTCCAGGAGGAGATATGGAGAGCTGCCCTGTGGACAAGGATGCTGGTCATGAGATAGAGAGCCGAGCACAGGCCAGGCGCCCACGCAGGAGCACGTGCTGGCTCCAATGGGTCTCTGCTGGGAGTGGACCATGACTCGGGACCTGTCTCCAGCCGTCCTCTGAGAAGTGGAAGAGGTGTGAGGTCTTAAGATTTGTCCACATGCTTGCACCCGTCCCCACCCCCTCTCCTGTTAGGTTCCGTAAGGAACTGAAGGTCCAGAGACAGTGAGCCGCCCACCACATGCATCTGTGTCCATCACCGCTAGAACTGGGCTAAAGGGATCTTCCAAATGCATGGAAGAGAAGATCTTTATCTTTCTGCCTGTAGATAAGCAATAAATGGAATGCATTTCTCCATAGTCGTGTCCCTGTAACTTCTCAGGCAAAGAGACATTTCTATGGAGAGATTTAAGATAGTCGTTTTTAAGTTCTTTTAGCGATGGATACATTTTAACAATGTAGATATCTTTATTCAATCAGTTTGGACCAGGACCACTGTGAAGACACTAATGGTTAGTGGGAATCATCATAGAAGGAAGTCTATAAATATTCGATGATGCGTCAATAATGAAATAGATTTTGCTGTCACCATGGCCACTCCCTGACTCCCCCCCCCGCCCCAGCCCAGCAGCTCTCAGGATTTCTCTTTTCTCTCACCTTCTTATCTACCCTTTTTGGACTGTCCGGACGTCCAGCATTCTTCTGACGACCCCGCCCATCAAGCATCCCAGACACCCACAGACAGAAAGGGTCTCTGGGACGCCCTGCTCTCACCAGACCCACACATCACAGTGTTACCTTTAGAGTGAGAGTGAGTCCTGGAGGGCGAGGGCTGTGGTGCCGCCTCCCTGCGTGTTGTCAATATCGAGAAGCAGTCCTGGATCACGGGAGGCCTGCAATAAGAAGATAAGGAGACGAAGTAATAGTTGGATATTGCCTGGCGTCCTAGAATCGTAGTGCCAGAGAGGATGTACAGACTTCCTATCTGGTATAGGAATTCTCTCTGTAGTATCCAGACTCTTTAAAGAGAGAGAGAGAGATGTTAGGTCTGACAATATTTGCATAGCCCTGTTAGAAAAACTTCCTTACAGGGCAAAACAGTCTTACATGCTATAGCTTCTACCCTTGTTTGTTAGTCTATACACTGCTGGTACAACACGTAAGCCTGATTGCTCAGTTGGAATGAGCTGTACTATCAACGGGAAGGTGTGGTGTTGATGTAATACAGGCTTTTTTTAAGAGACACATAATTCAGTGTACAAATAAGTGCGGAAATTACCACTAACATTCTGACGGGGAGAACAGGTATTTTTAAACTGACGAATGGTGAGGTTATGTCTATCGTATGTACCAGGTGTGGGGTGAGAAGAGAGAGGATTTAGTAGCTGAAATCTGTCACTTAGGTTAATCCAAAGACTGTCCAGTTTGTCTAATCCTAAATCTAAAAGCTTTCGGTTCTGTGTACTTCATACAAGAAATTTGCATTTTAATGGAGGACTGCAAAACGATTTTTGGAATGTTCCATCATTCTAAGTGGGGCATAACTCTTTTGTTATCAGGAAATTTTTCTGTGTAATGCTAACTACAGAAAAAAATCTGCCTGGACCTGGGAGAAAAGATCTATGATAAGAGCAAGTTCTAGTATAACTCTTTTCTGATAAAATCAAAGAAAGTTACTTTCTATGTAGCTTTCTGTAAAATCTGTGTTCAGCAGTTCACTAATACTGCCCTGGCCTCGTGATAATAACAGCAGTAGCTCTGAGAGGTTTTACAAGTGGAGAACTCATAGTCCTGGAAAACCTTGTAACAATAAAGAATGGGATGTAAAAGTTAAAGGAAGTTTGCATGTAAATGCTACGTACGATAGAAAGATGTAAGACTCACTTAACATGTAAACATATCTTTCACTTTGTGGAGTCACTGCTAAGAAAAAATTCACATAAAATGAATTTCTGAATGAATCATATTTACACAATTCCCTATTATATAATCAGAACGTATCTGATTACATAGTAGAAATCAACATTTTAAAAACCTATTTCAGAATTTAACAATTAACGATATATATATATATATATTTTTTTTTTTTTTGCGGTACGCGGGCCTCTCACTGTTGTGGCCTCTCCCGTTGCGGAGCACAGGCTCCGGACGCGCAGGCTCAGCGGCCATGGCTCACGGGCCCAGCCGCTCCACGGCATGTGGGATCTTCCCGGACCGGGGCACGAACCCGTGTCCCCTGCATCGGCAGGCGGACTCTCAACCACTGCACCACCAGGGAAGCCCTAACGATATAATTTTAAGGCTGTGAAAAAAATCAAATTGCCCATAAATAAAATTCGACAGAAATATGTCTTACAGAAACTCTAGTATACAATATCTGGCTTTTATGGCTGAATCATAGAACCGTGTCCAATTTTAATACTTGCCCAATAATATCAACACTAACTGAATAGCTAGTGCTAGATCCCACCAAAAACAAAGTATGTGCTCATTTAGCTGGACTTAGTAACATGTTACTACATACCTGACACTTCAATAGTGCAGGGTTTTTATAGGGCTGATTGACAATTCAAACATACATTTCTAATAGGTGTGCAAGGATTTAGTATTAGCTAGATTTTTGAACCAGGGTAAAAACCATCTGGGTAATGCTGGCATGAATTTTATACACACACTAACACACAAGTGTATGATTTTAGGATACATATATTATGTGTATATTTTATATATATACACACGGATACTATTTAAAGATGTAGTTATATATACAGAAGAGTAATGAAGTATTTAGAGTGGGATGGATCCACCTAGGACTAGCTCATGAACGTGTTAAAACCAGCTGTTTGTGTTCTGTTAACTGGACCCAGATCTTTGTTGCATCTGCTTAATATTTTTCTTTGTTTTGAAACAGGTTGTTTGGTATCAAATCAGTCATTCAAACAGACTGTTCCAGCACGTGGAAGATCATAGCAAACCCAGACCTGTCATGGTACCACCATGCCAACCCCATCGTCCTGCTGGTGATGTACTACACGCTGGCCACTCTAATCCGAATATGGCTACAGGAGCCCCTTGTAAGGATCAAAGGTTTTCATGGTCTTGTCTGCAAAGTAGCCTGGAAACTCCAGGGGAAAGTGTTCATTCCTGTCAACTGCTGGCTAATTAGTACTATTTGCCAAAATAACCATAGTGTTCTTATTATAGTATTTTGCTTCTGCCAAGAGTTCTAACTGAATACAGATACTATCAGGACAAAGACCAGCTTCCCTATGTTAGCATCACCCCTGGCTGCTCAGATGGTCCGTGGTGAGGGGAGTGGAAGCGTCATTTTTATTGAGCACTTACTAAATGCCAGGCCACGTGCTAGGTTGTTTACATACATTATCTCATTCAATCCCCTGCATAACTCTCAAGAATAGGTATTGTACCCATCTTAGAGATGAGGAAAACGAGGTTCGAGAGGTAAATCACACATTTACCAAATAGTAAATATTGGATTCAAGCCTACATTTGCCAACAAAGCTAGGGTCTCTATGACGACACACCCTGTTACCACGGCGACTGGAGTTTCCTAAATCTTCTCAAACCTCCAACCTCTGATGGTGCCGTGGGGATGTCCCCGCTCTCGGTGGTGCCATAACCCCCGGGGGCCCCACCACGGGGCAGGGCTGAGGACTGGGTTGTTCCCTATGGGATTATTAGTAGAATATGGCACTTTGGGAACAGGACCAGGGTGGCTTGTGGCCTCTCTCTTTTCCCTTTCTGTGACAGGAAACTCCAGTCTGCTTTTGCTTCCCCTAAATGACCCTGAGAAGCTCAGCTGTAAGGCAGCTGATCCGCACACAGGGAGGCAGGTGGTGTAGACGGGGCTGCCGCATTTCACCTCATGGCCACGTGCTGGGGAGCAGAGCTCACATTAGACACCAGCCTGGCGCCTGTGATGCAGTCCCTCCAGCTCGGGGGCCCTGGTGCCCCGCCCGCCTCCCCTCTTTGTCTGCTCATTCAGGCTCCATCCACGCAGTCAGCTGGCTAGGCAACCAGTGTTTATCAAGAGCTAGCGTCTCAGACACTGGCCTGGGGCTGGGGGTAGAGCATCGGTCCAGGTGTGAGACCCCGCTCTGGGGGACTGTACATTGTACAAGAGGAAAAGCAGCCCCCAAAGACGTGAGCAGGCCCAAGTCGGCACAGTGAAACCCTGAGAGGTGTGTTCCATCCATCCCAGCGGAAGTGCCTCCTGCAGGAAGGGGGTCTGCCCACCTCCCTCCTGTGAGAGGACCACACAGGCGTGCTTGTTTGCAGGGGCCTCAAGACTCACTTCTCTCTTGGACCCAGTGATGGCAGTGACGTGGTGACAGAATGCTCTAAGGGCTCCTGGAGAAGCCCAATTACCTTCTGTTACCTTTTCCTCCAAGTCTCTTCTAAGATATGAGTGTGCCAGTAAAACCCCTTAAAGTGGTACTGTGTTCGCTTCTGCCACAAACACACAGATGTGGATATGTGTATATGCACACATAAAACTGTGCAAAAGAAATTAAAATATCTCACGGAAACTATTTCTGAACAATGTCTTAACCAACGATGGAAATGACTTTAAGGCCTTCGGGCTCACAAGAGTTCCAGGTGCCCTTGGCTTTTTCTGTGGTGTGTCAGGCAGGAGCTTGTGCACAGGTGCTGCTGGGCTGTTACAGCCCCTCAGGCCCAGGAGACACTTGGCCTCCTTAGCCACGGGCCCTCTGGGGTGGACAGTCCACGTTCCAGGCCACACAGTTCACAGCAGGTCACAAACCACAGCGTCTGCGGGGGTGTGTGGAGAACAGGGCCTAATTCACAACAGCATCGACCCTCAGGGGTCTGTATTTTAAGTGGGGCTGGGACACGGGACTTTCTCACTGAGGTGCTGATGGAGGGCAGGTGCCTGGTTCTATCATGGCTCCAGGTGGCCTGGCACATTTCATGGAAAACGTTAGTTCTGTGGTAAAAGTCTACGGTATATGTTTGAGAAAGAGAGAGAGAAGCAGGTGTCTGGAGGTGAATGTAACACACGGGCTCCCCGGGGCATCTGGGGCTCCCCGTGGGTGCTCTGTGTGCGCTGGGCCCCGGGAATTGGGCAGTGGCACTACGTGCCCTCCCTCTGCCCCCATATCAACATGTGTTAGTGCCCTTTTACGGGGCATCTTTGTTGGGAACCGTCCTCAACCACCAGGTGCGTTCCGATCCTTTTTTTCTCTCTATCAACTCTCCCGGGCCAACTGTCAGTTTCAGGCCAAGGTCCCACTAGGCAAGGCAGCGGTGTTGTGCATCAGCTCTCTTCTTGCTTAATATTGAGTGTAAGCTCCAGATGAGCCTGCTTTTAGTAAACGTCTTCTTCATTAAAGATTCCCGTGGCTGAGTTCCACAGTCAGGTGTGACTTTTGTGAACCCAGCCCAGCCCCTTCCTCCCGCAGGTTAGAATACACACAGGAGGCTCGGTGACGTAACGTGAGTGCCTGTTCCTGTATTTCATGGGGCTTAGCAGGGAACAGGAACAAGCGATACTGCTGTGCTTCGCGTTCACAGGGTGGCATTTTGGCCATCTTTGAAAGTGTCTGGATAAAAGCCCATGTAGTGTATGCGTTACTTTACAAAATCATCACATGGGGGTAGAGATGGGCAGCTGTGTCTGGTCTCCCAGGCCGCTGAGGGGCTGCTCCGGGGAGCAGGGCTGTCCTGTGGGTTATTCTGTGTCTCAGGTGCAGGAAGAGAGGACCAAGGAAGAGGACAGAGCCCTGGCCTGCAGCCCCGTCCCCGTCACAGCCGAGAGGAGGCGGAGCCTGTGGTACGCGACCCACTACCCCACGGATGAGAGAAAAGTAAGCCGCAAGGAAAGGGGTTTCTCCTGTATTTTGCTGCTTTTTATTATATTGCTGAATTCAGGTCACGTGAGTCCACCTGCAAACCCAGATTGCTCAGTTTACGGGAGCAATTTGATGAGGAAGTCTTAGTGCCCAACATCTGTTCAGAGAAGGGAAGCCAGTGCTTCGAAAGGAAACCCCAGGCTCCATCAGACCCAGACTTTTATAGTTCAGTGCTTCTCCCTGAAGTCTCTTAACCCTAGAAAGAGAGTGTTCTTAATTTAAAAAAATAATTTTGTATTTAAAACAAACAACAAAGCGACCCCTTGGCCCTGGACGGTAACAGCTTGGGTGGTAGGATGCACTGCAGAGAGTAACTCCTTGTGTCGGGGTGGCTGCTGCAGTGACGATGACTGCTCACACGGCCTTCGGGACACCGGCCAGTCTGTGTGGACGTGAAGAGCCGCAGCCTCTCGCTGTGTCGGGGCCGCAGTGTGGATGCCAGGGATGGGAGCACAGCTGTGTGATTCTTCATCTTTTCACCATTTGTTCACTATTTTCAACACAACCCAGCCACTGACTTGTTAAAATGGCCCATTTGCAATGTGATGAAGACAGATACAATTCTCAGATGGGGTCAGCACTTTGCTTCCCAGCACGTTTGGGAATCGAGGAGCAGATTCTCTGATTGACTTGGTGGAAGAGTTTCTCTAAGACATGTGGTCCTAGTTGATGCCTGACTGTCATGGACTAAGAGACAGGGAAACAATGAATGAACTTCTCAGGGAGCTGGCAGCCACGTGGAACAGACGTGGTGCCCGGAGACCTCTGGGGTTTCCGGGGGCCCTTTCCTCCCATCACACGTGTCAGACTGTCCTGCCATGTCACTAAGCCAGAGGGACAGCACAGCAGTTTCCAAAATGAGGTCTGTGGGCCATCCCTGGGGATTCCTGGGACCCTTGCCAGGATCCACAGGCTCGAAACTATTTTTGTAATAATACTTAAGACATTCGCCTTTGGACTATGTTGACAGTTGCTCTGATGGTACAAAAGCACCAACCAAGGCAGCAGCACGAACCCCCGCAGCCGTGGTCGTGTCCTTGGAAAACAAAGCAGAAAGGCCAGTTCCACTTAAGAATATTCTTGATGAACCAGGAACAGTCATTGCTTTTCTTAAATCTCAACCTTGAGGCACATACCTTTTTAATATTCTGAGTGACACAAGGGGAGATACCCCTGAAGTGCTGACCCCTCGAGGAGGAGAAGCACTTGGCAGGTGAGCGACCCAGGTCGACATGCAAGAACAGCTGACAGACAGTTTGGGGTGGCTCAGGTATGGACATTCAGCAGTTACTGGAAAGTGAATGGAGTGGTCCATCGCTTCAAGGCAAACAACTGACAGCATTTGTTGCCAGTGATAAAATGAGAACTTTTAGTGAAAATTAGAATATTGGAAGACTCGGATTTTGTGCAGTACAGCGTGTCAGTATTCAGTGGAGCTGTCTAATCCCTAAAGCACATCACCAGCACGTGCGGTCACAACGTGTGTGTAGGTAAAGGACCCGGTCCGGGTGCAGGATCCTCCAGGGGCTTTACTGATTCCACACACAGCTCACCTTCGGTTACTTGCCCATCTTGAGTTTGGGAGAGGGTCCAAGGAGAGGATCCACAGTCTGGATGGACTCCTGAGATACTTCTTTCTTTTCCAACTGCATCGCTGGGTGAAGCCAGAGTTCCTTTAACTACTTCAACCAAAACAATACATCACAGCAGATTGAATGTGCAAACAGACATGAGAACCCAGCTGTCTTCTTTTGAGCCAGACATTAAAGATACTCAAAAGTGTAAAAAAACACCACTCTTTTCACTATTTTTTAAAAATACAGCTATTTCAATAAAATTATTTATGTGAACAAGTTTTTTTCCAATTTTTAATGAATTAACAAGTGAATAGTTTTAATGCCTCAATTTTCATTTCTAGCACAATAGATACTGATGGATAGGACCTGCATAAATAAAAACTCTTTGGGACCTTCAGTGATTTTTAAGAAAGTGAATGAGTTCCGACCCAAAAAAGTGGGAGAACCTTTAGCTCAACAGATGCTTGTTACTGGGGGGAGCCCCAAACCCCTAGCACTGAATAGAGCTAAAAGGCATAATCGTGTCATAATTCTTTTGTTGCAGACAATACACAAATCTTAATCCCAGCCTGCACTGCACATCAAATTTTCTTTATTATGAAACTTCAATTTCTTGAAAAGTCAATACTTTCAGAATTCTGCAGATGTCTCAAAGGGTCCTAGGAATATAAAACCAAGCAGCTAATTCTATAGAACAAAACTCTTGAAAAAACGTAATCAGCTCTTTTGTAGTCATGTGGTTAATGAGTGCTTACTGACTGTCGTGATTAAAAGTTAACATCGGAAACTGGAAAAGGTTATAAAAACAGCACCCTCCAGCTGCGTTATTCATGCCTTTGTGTTTTGCATGGCAATTTTAACACACTAGCATCCAGCTAGTTGAAGGGATGGGTATGTGTGTAGTACAACTTTATAGCTGTGTATAAACATCATGATGCTTTCTGCTCACATATTAACATGCTGTCCTGCATTGCTTTTTGCAGCTTTTATCCATGACTCAAGATGACTACAAACCATCTGATGTTAGTATATCCTTAGAATTCTCATTTTTGCGCGTGTCAGTGATGTAAAAGGGACATAAATGGAATTAGCCCCTCTGAGTGTATTTTAATGGTCTATAAAATTTCCATACGTTTTAAAATAATTTTTTTGCAGAAATTGTATCTGGTTTATTGCTGTTAAAACACTGACTCATAAAACATGAGCTCGTGTATGAACATATAAAATGTTTTTAAACTTTTAAAAAGCCACAGTGGAGGGTTTGCCTGTTCCATGATTTGAATAAGAAGTCTTCATGTCCATGGACACACATATGTATGTGTGCATGTATATGTTTATATGTATATGCATAAATGAAAAATTGTAAAGCTAAAGAGACAGAAAAAAAGCAGGAAATTGTATTTAGTGTACAGAGTGCTGCAACATGGGAATTGCAAGCTACAGCATCAGGTAGAGACCTGTGGGGTTGCTGTCTAACCTGAGAATTTGCTAAGTCCTGGGAGCCGCGCAGGGTGTGGGGCAGGCAGGGGGGCCCGGGCAGTGCTTGGGCTGCAGGCCGGGACCCAGGCGAGTCTGGAGTTCCTGTAGCTGGAGGATGGCTGGGGGAAGGGGCCGTGAGCTGAGGCTGGAGAGGAGACAAGAGCAGGTCCTGAAGCCTCAGCATCCTTTCCAGGCTTCACACTTCATAGCGAGGACGGAGAGGGGGGCACGGCCTGGGGTGCAGCAGAGGTGGGCAAGGTCAGGTTTACCTTGTCCTGTGATGGCTCTGTGGGGTGTAGGTTTGGAGGGGGTGAGCAAGACTGTCTTGCTAGTGGGCATCACTGCCGACAATGCTCGGCCCCCCATCGGCTCTGCACCATCCCGTGTGCCCACCTACCAGAAGGGAAGGAGGCAGGTCCGCACTGGAAACCAGAGCTGCCGTCACAACTGCTTTTGCCCCGCCTCCTCGGCAGGGCCTGTTGGTGACTGTGAATGGCAACCCTGTGGATTACCACACCATCCACCCCAGCCTTCCTCTGGAGAACGGCCCTGCCAAGGCCGACCTGTACTCTACCCCACAGTACCGCTGGGAGCCCGCCGCCGACTCCCCAGGTAAGGAGCCGGGATCTGTCTTTGGTTTATCCTCCTGCAGGAGCTCTGAATCTGTCTTTGATTTATCCTTCATTGGATTTGGTTCTTTTTCCTTTTTTTTTTCTAGCAGAGGTTGCTTCCTTCCATGGTCAGTCTGATGAAGCTCATTTCCTTAACTTCTGCCTAGATTTTGCCCCTCCATCTTGCTCTGTGTGTTCTGTCCTTGGGTACAAAATAAGTGGCCTAATCGGGGTAAACTTTGAAAAATAAAAGGTAAAAAATTATTTTAAACAAGTCAACTTGTTTCTAGTGTTAAACCTATGTGCATATGTGTGTTTTAGTCTTTCTGTAATTTGATTGCATAATCACAGCCAATAGTTTTGCTGGTTAGTGGATGAATGTCTTCAGAAAGAGCTCATTTCGTCTAATAAAAAAACCAAGAGCCCCAAAACTTGGATGAGGCCTTTCTCCCTTTTCTCTCAGTTTATTGTGTTGAAAGAAAGCTGCCTGTTACTGTAGATGACAAATACGTGCTCTGTACTGCTTGGGACGTTTATGTGAAATTCACATATTTGCATAGATTTTTATATAAAATAATCTGTCCCTCTAGAAAAGAAGGAGGGAGAAGATGAGAATGAAGAATTTGAGGAGGAGAAGGCCTATGAGGAGGAAAGGAGTGTCAAAGTCCATGCCATGGTCTCTGTGTTCCAGTTCATCATGAAGCAGAGTTACATCTGTGCCCTTATCGCTATGATGGTGCGTGCCTGCGAGAACCCTTAACTTCTGCCTGGATTCTGCCCCTATATCTTGCTCTGTGTCCTGTCCTTGGGCACAAAATTAGTGCTGGAGGGATGGACGGTGCTTGCACCCCGCCGGCTCCAAGCCCCACCACTTCCTCCCGCCAGCACTGATGTCTTCATCTTCCCAATGTCTTGGCAGAGAATGGTTGCTTATGGTAATTTCTAATGGGCCCTTTATATTATAGATTTCAAAACCATGTCCTCTGTGCTAGCTAGCCTCCTTCTAAATATTAATACCTTTCTCTCAAATTAGCCTAAGTCAGACTGTCCCCTATTTTGCCGATTTTAAAGGACGTATGAGTAGTTTTTCTAAGTGGCATTGAAGGTGTTCACGATTAACAAAGGCCACTTTTATTTCTTTCAGTTAATGAGGGTTATAGTCACAGCTTGTCTTAGATTTGAGACTTTATTCCATTTGAGCTGCAACAAATGTTTACCGATCTAAGCATCAAGCACCGAGTCCCCGAGGGCTTCTTCTGGTTGTGAGCTCTCAGTTTACCTGCGTTTCTGCTCACCGCTAGGAACATGCTCCACCTCCAGCATCAGAGCTTCAGAAATCGTCCTTGGGACCAGAGACAGGATATAAAAGAAGGCCAATTTCTGCTCTTCCTAAAAACAAATTTTACTGGGAAAGCTAATTTATTTTGAGAAACTTATTTAACACAAAAGTCTTCAAATTTTGTGGCCAGTAGTGAGATCCCATGGACACCGTAAATGATAAAAAAAGAAAATATTCTATAATTCTAGGGGAAAAAATCACCTAAAGACAGTTTCCTTAGGCTCTCAGTCCAGATGTCTCCTGAGAAAACCTGTTTGCACATCAGCTTCAGCTTCTGCAAGGACCATGGCCATGGCTGAGAGCACTGGGAACAGAAATCTCCTCGAAATTAAAGATGGCTCTTTTGGGAACTGCAAACTCTGTTCTCTAAATAATATGAATTCTGTGTTCTCTGGGTACTTTTGGCACTTTATAGGTCAATCCCTAATTTACACTACAGCAAAACTCTATTTGAAAACATCAAATAATTCAGATTCTGAACTCAAAAGAGTATACGTTTCTTTTTCTGTCTCTAAAAAGAAGTCAGAGAAGTTGGTTTCTTTATGTAAAGAAATAGAGCTTAAAAAAAAAGAAGAACTTGAAATACACATTCAGTAGAAAAGAAATCTATTGTAAAAACAACACAGGAGAGCAGATCTCTTATTAAAGACGTGCTCTCGTCTGGTGCCATTTCAGTTGTTTGCACGGAGCCACAATATTAATGCTTTAAAAGTGCCTGTCTTCCGTGGAAGTTCCCCCGTGGCAGCAGACTTTTAATCACAGACAGAAAGGAGCACGGTCTGTTAGAACGATAGATGTCTTTATTCAAAAACACAAAGAGCGAAATCCTCACAATTTCTTTTTCTCCCTCTTTCACCCGAACAAGGATAATGTACAGGGGGGAAAATACGCTGGAATTATAATATCTGCGAAGATTACTTTCTTGGGTCCTCCACAAAAAAATGGCCAGGTCAGATCTGAATTTCATCCTGGGATAAAGGCATTAAATATTACCGACCTTTGATAACACTATTTCCAAGGAATACTATCTTCATGAAAATAATTCAGACTTGGTAATAGTTGTCAGTCACTCACTTAATCTTACTAAAAGCAATTTTAATTTCCAGTTTATAATTACCATATGTTTGAACCAACAGTTTTAAATAACTCTACATTTAAAAAGCTAGCTCTGCTTTCGGACAGATTTGCATATTGCTGCAAGGAAGTATTTGTTTGTTCTGTGCTGACTTTATTCATTTATCTTATTTATCTCAATACTTATCTGCTTTCCAGAAGCAAAACAGACTTGTAAAACATTTCAGACTTTACGAATAACTCTTGATAATTCGTGATACTCAAGAATATGACTGATTTCAATTAGCTCCAAATAACAGCTAGAAAATATTTTTAAAGACCTTTTCACAGAAATTTGGTATCCGAGATTATGGTATGAGAGGATAGATTTACTGAAGTTAATGGTTCTCATGAGCCTGATTTTCTAGAATGTTCCAGCCGCTGCCCTTTGAGATATCTTCTGGATCTGTGGGAGTTTGGTGTGAGTGGAAGATGTCTTGCCTCTTGCAGGGCAGAAGGGGAGGCCGGCCTCTCCATTAACCTGGCTTTACTGTTTGCGGTGTGCGGACACCCAACACTCTACCTCCTCCTGGAGATTCCCTGGTTCCTATCATGTCTGTCTTCCCGGCGGGTCTGCTAAGGGTGACCCCTGAAGCCAGCTTGTGTGCTGACCCTGTGGTCCATGCAGCTTCTGTTTCTGAGCCCAGCTTGGCCACACTCACCCAGCATCCTGAAAAAATAGCCAACCCCAAGCTGGTTTGGAAGAATAAAGGAGAAAGCACTTACGGTTGCTTCTCATTCTGCAAAGCAGGGTGAAAAGGAAGGCATTTGGGGCTGGAGGGCAAAGGACGTGGAATGAAGCCCCCTGCCCGACCCTCTTCCTTCCAGAAAGTCGAGGGCAAGTGCTAGCTCACAGAGGCAGCCTTTCTCCTCGCTGTGTCCCCTGCCGCAGCTGCGATGTCCCTCCACAATTTCACCACAACACCCTCCCTCCATAGTGTGAATGTTACTGACCTTTTCCTGCTAGATAACGTCTAACTTAGCAGGGTGGGGCCTGTACGTTGTATTGACGGTCACCGTTTTCTCCTCCTTCCTTCCTGGAGGCGTGGAGCATCACGTACCACAGCTGGCTGACGTTCGTGCTGCTGATCTGGTCCTGCACTCTTTGGATGATTCGCAACAGAAGGAAATATGCCATGATCAGCTCTCCATTCATGGTTGTCTACGGAAATCTCCTGCTCATATTACAGTACATATGGAGTTTTGAACTCCCTGAAATTAAAAAGGTCCCAGGATTTTTAGAAAAGAAAGAGCCAGGGGAACTTGCCTCAAAGGTAAGTGAACAGCAAAGCAAGAAAACAAAGCATTCAGACAAAACCACAGTAATCAAAACAAATACATCCAAGCAAAAAAGTACAAAAATACGTTCCAAATATTTGCTGCTGCTTGAAATCATAATGTTTTCCTAGCCCTCAGGAAAATGTTAATATAAACGTGTGGGCACTTAGAACAATTCCCCCTTCAGCTTTGGGAGAAGAATGGGAATATTAAGGGGTTCTATTTGCTGGCAAGAAATGTTCTTCTTTCCCATCTGTGGAATTCTTCAAAATAAGGACCACTGCAGAAGCAACAGGGATCGTGGAAGAAATAAATCATCTTGATACTTGTGCTGATGTCAGGGAAGGACGGGAAGTCAAGGGCTAGCACCTTGAAGGGGACCACTGGTCCAAGTTGGTTTCCAGCCCAGATTGTCCTGTGCAGCTTCCCGGGGCATCCCAGGCATGAATGCACCGTGGCACTGGACGGCATGCCAGCGTCCTCGGGAAAGGAGATTTAAAAGCCAGTGACTTTCAGCTGAAATCAAGTGGGTGCCTGACTCTATCTCAAGTGGAAAGGTTCATGTAATTGCTCCCACTGAAATGCAGAGAAGGCGTAGTAGTTGTTGAAATAGGCTTATGCTTCAAAGGCTTGATGCTCGTGTTCCTAATTCTCTCCTTTCAGATCCTTTTTACCATTACGTTTTGGCTGTTGCTGAGACAGCACCTCACAGAGCAAAAAGCTCTCCAAGAAAAGGAAGCTCTTCTGTCTGAGGTCAAAATCGGAAGTCAGGAAAATGAAGAAAAAGGTAATTAGTGCGTGAGGTGTGTGACGGGAGGAAGGGCCCCCGAGGACATCCAGGGGGCTCTGCTCCAGACCAGAGGGAGGCCAGGTGTAGACGTGAGCAGATAAATGACCGCGTCCCGGGGCTAAGTCCCCGTCCATAGGAGCTTCAGAGACCCTGTGTCATTTGATCCTCACGTAAGTGACTCCCACTTCAGGGAAGAGAAACTGAAGCTCAGGGAAGTGCACTGGGTTCTCCACGGTCACATTTACTGAGTGTTAGTACCAAGAGAGTGACTCAAATCTTCCAAATTCGAATCCTCTTCTTTTCAAAAACAAATATACCACAAAGTCAAAAATAGAATCTGATGTTTTGATGATCGATCACCTCTGTAGTTTTAGACCTGCTATATGGGTAAAATGAGAGCCTCTCACTCCCTACCTGCCTGGATGTACCAATAAATATAATTTAATGTTAGTAGAACGGCTTGGAGACCACTAGTGATGTGTGTAGCCTTGTCTGAAAAGGATGCCATAAAGGTTCACAGAGGTGGAGCTGGTAACCTTAAGACTAACCCGGTAAGGAGGAGAAAACCAACACGCACCAACTCATCCTTTTCTTATAGTTTCTCGTTTAGACCTAACCATGGAGTTACTTCTCAGCAACAAAAGTCTATAAGATTTGAATCTTGACTCTTTGACTTTGGATGTGTCTGTTAATAGAGTGATTAAATTCACCAGTTACTTTATATAAAGAATAGTTCATTTAAGATCAGCAGTTGCTCTGACCTCTCACCTCACTTGCATTCCCCTCACTCTGTGGATCTCCTGGTCATTTGAATCCATTATTTAGATGTATTTAATAGGTTGCCTTAGTAACACAAAAATGAGTCATATATTAGCATATTTTAAAGTAAGACCAAATATAAGCTTTGCATTGCAGTGCAAAAAACCACTTTAAACTTAGGTAAATTACAATTCTTCTTCGATTCTGATTTAAATTAAATGATATTTGGCTTTAACTCTTACTTTCTTAGTTCTCTAAAAGCATACTTTTGGTTAAGATTATTACCATTAACCCAAATCCAGTAAAATACTGCTAGGATTGTCTGGAGTCATGTTAACAGTTGGAATTTGAAGCTGTCATAGTCGTTTCTCTTTGTGTTATTGTCGCCTGTGTAGTTTTCCTCGACCCTGCAGTAGTTGCAGCAGGATATTACAAGTGAAATAGGCGTCATAAAAAGATTAGTATAAAAGTATTACCAAATGTATTTCTTTAAAACTATATTTCAAGAAGTTTAGGAAAATGGACTCTAATTAGCTCCATAAATTCTGCCTTGTTTATTAGAACCATCTAAAATTATTTAGCTCATATGGTAATGCATGAAATGCGTGCGCTGTGTGGCACTCCCAATCACACTGGTCAGAGTGTGCTTCTGCTCCGGGGACCAGCTCCATTGAACGGCATGGTCTTCTCTTTTGAAGATGACGAGCAGGACATACAGGTGGATGGGGAGGCCCAGGAGAAGAAGGAAGAAGAGGAGGCAAAGGAGGAGAAGCAGGAGCGGAAGCAGGAGGAGGAGGAGGAGGATGAGCAGGACATCATGAAGGTGCTGGGTAACCTGGTGGTGGCCTTGTTCATCAAGTACTGGATCTACGTCTGTGGAGGCATGTTCTTCTTTGTCAGCTTCGAGGGTAAAATCGTGATGTACAAGATCATCTACATGGTGCTCTTCCTGTTCTGTGTGGCCCTGTATCAGGTGGGTACACAGCTGTCCCTGTTTTTCAATCCTCACATCTGTCCGGGAACATACGTGAGCTTCTTTCGACAAGACTCTAAGTTACTGTGACCTCGTGAAAACATTGTGTAAAGGAGTCGATGAGATTCAGACATTACACGCTAGGAATCCTAAAATGAGAAGTAGCTCCCTTCAGCTTGTGCACTGATTTTAAATGTTAGGTTCTTAAAATGGTGGAGAAGTGGTTAGAGTGGGCATCCTTGTCTTGTTCCTGGTCTTAGAAATGTCCATCAACAGAGGAATGGATAAAGAAGATGTGGTACATATACACAATAGAATATTACTCAGCCATAAAAAAAAGAACGAAATAGTGCCATTTGCAGCAACATGGATGGACCTGGAGATTACCATACTAAGTGAAGTGAGTCAGACAGACAAAGATAAGTACCATATGATATCACTTACATGTGGAATCTAAAATACCACACAAATGAACTTATTTACAAAACAGAAACAGACCCACAGACATAGAGAACAAACTTATGGTTACCAAAGGGGAGGGGGGGAGGGATAAATTAGGAGTTTGGTATTAAGAGATACACACTGCTATATATAAAATAGATAAACAAGGATCTACGGTATAGTGCAGGGCACTATACCCAGTATTTTGTAATGACATATAAAAGAAAAGAATCTGAAAAAAAAAAATGTATACCTAAATCACTTTGCTGTACACCTGAAACCTATACAACATTGTAAATCAACTATACTTCAATAAATAAAATAAACATGACAAAACTGAAGAAAAACAAATGCACGTGTAAAATGAAGTCAGAAAAAATTCATAAGTTTTTCAAAAATTATTAATTAAAAAAAGAAGTCTGTATCATTAGATTACACTTTTGAATAGCTGTGTAAAAACCGTGGCTGGATAATCTAAAATACTGGATAATATTCGGTTCATTTGTATTTCAGAGTTTGGAATCAGAAAATCATGCGCATGTGTGTGTGTGTGTCTGTGTGTGTTTACAAATGTATGTATAACGCATTGAGTGCTTTAGTATTTCATTAATTAGAATATATGAAGTGTTATATTGAAATGAGTTAGCCTGTCCACAGATTCCGTGTGAATGATGATGGGTGGGAACCCGATGATGTACACAAGTGTAACAGTAAACGTTCCTGCCGGCAACCAAGAAAACAAGTAAAGCAACCTCGATTAACAAGAGTCGATTACCTGTGGACATGAAAATGTCTCAACTGAGGTCAATCACACTTTGAAATACCTTTTGAAATTCCGGGTAGATGTTCTCTAATGAAAACCCACAGGTTTTTGGTAAAGAGGGATGCCTCCTCTCTGTGGCGGTTCCACATTTGTATTCATATGGCATCACTCTGAATTTCAAAATGGAGAAAATTTCCCCAGCCATGACCACAAGGACAGAATATACCTCCCTGAAAGCCTCCCGTAGACCAGAGATAGACCAGACATCATGCCGAAATAAACATTATTAATGATGATGATATAAACATCATTATTTCATCCTCAGAACAACTGGAAAGTAAGTACTCTTGAGGAGGAAACAAGCTCAGGGTAGCAGCTTTGCCCAAAGACACAGCTCACAGCTTCTGGTGGAACCGGATTCCAATCCACAGCCACCAAACCCTACGAGGAACAGAGCCTCAAAAACTAAATATGAACTTGCCTTTGTTTTCAAACATTTGTAAATGGAATCACCTGTCTTCTTTGAATAAAGCAGGTGTTTTTGTGAGTTTTCCTCTGACCGCTTTTTTTTTCTTATTTGTTGTTCAGGTGCACTATGAGTGGTGGAGACGGATCCTGAAATATTTCTGGATGTCGGTGGTTATCTACACGATGCTGGTGCTGATCTTTATATACACATATCAGTTTGAAAACTTCCCGGGCCTGTGGCAAAACATGACTGGATTGAAAAAAGAAAAGTAAGTAATTATGGTGGACAGCGGGATGGAAAATGACAAACAGCGTGAAGTTGTGAATGTGTGTCGTTCAAGACATCTTTCTGGGAGGTTTTAGTAAAACATGACATCATCACTGGCTATAAGTTCCTCCAGAACTTACAGCCAGTGATGGCTATAAGTTCTAGAAGAATGGTACAGATGAACCGGTTTGCAGGGCAGAAATTGAGACACAGATGTAGAGAACAAACGTATGGACACCAAGGGGGGAAAGTGACGGGGTGGGGGTGGGGGTGGGATGAATTGGGAGATTGGGATGGACATATATACACTAATATGTATAAAATGGATAACTAATAAGAACCAGCTGTATAAAAAGATAAATAAAATTCAAAAAAAAAAAATAAAGGTTCCTCCAGAAGAGGACTCAGGTCTTGGTCATTTGGGGTTCTCATGACCTTGCCCTGAGCTTTTAGCACATAGTAGGTACTCAATAAATATCAACTGAAAAGTGAATTTTCCGCCCATTATTAATGAAATGGCATTTTCTAGTGTCGGTCTCATGTGAAGCACGCCTGCCCGGTTCCTCACTGTCATGCTTCCTCCTTTCTTAGCTGGAGCCCAGTTCCTCATCAGTAGGTTCATAAGGTGACACGTCAGCCTCTCCTCACTGATGGAGCAGGTGCTAAGATCTAAGGAGTAGTTGGTGCCACAGGGAAAGTGCTCAGAGACTAGTGATGATGAAATCTTTCTTGTGCATGAAATAGATAGGAGTCTAGGCTTTTCTCATTTGCTTCTGTAAACTTCTGAAGTTCGTTTAGAAATCCCACCAGAACTGGGCATAGAGCTGAGTATCCTGAGGTGGCCAAGAGGAAAGTTTAAAAGGAGGGTTCACCGTGTAGCTAGACTAATATATCTTTAAGTCAATTCAGCAAATATTTCTTGAGTGCCTCCCCTGGGCCAGACACTCTTCTGTACCTGAAGATGCAACAGGAAGCAAGAGAGACAGAGTCTGAGCCCTGTGGAGTTTATAGTCCAGGAGAGGAGACAAACCAAAAACCTACGTAGTGTACAAACAAATCAACTGCGACACGTCTGTGAAGGAAACAGAAACAGGTTGAGGTACTGAAGAATGGGGGACAGTAACTAGAGATGGAATAGTCAGGGCAGGCTTCCCTGAGGAGGCGTCATTTTTTCTTTTGGCTGCGCCACGCAGCATGCAGGATCTTAGTTCCCCGAGCAGGGACTGAACCCACGCCCTCGGCAGTGAAAGCGCCGAATCTTAACCACTGGACAGCCAGGGAAGTCCCTGAGGAGGTGTCATTTTAAACTCCTGAAGAATAGGAAAGAGCTTGTCTTTAGAAAAGTGTGTGAGTTGGGAGCTGGGAGGTGGACGAACATTCCAGAAAAAGAGAGCAGCAAATGCAAAGCGCCTGAGGCAGGGCAGACTTTGGTGTGTGTGTGTGTGTGTGTGTGTGTGTGTGTAAAGGCAGGAAGGCTGGGCTGTGGGGAGCAAGGGGAGAAGTGGGAAAGGTCAGCTAGGCACCTGGAGGTGCAGGGCTTGTAGGTAGTGATGGTTTGCATCTCATTCATGGTGAAATTTCTAAAAGTCTTTAAAGCACCCTTGACTGGCTGAGGAAAAAGTGATGTGTGTGGAGGCCAAGAATAGACACAGGGGCTTCCCTGGTGGCGCAGTGGTTGAGAGTCCGCCTGCCGATGCAGGGGACACGGGTTCGTGCCCCGGTCCGGGAGGATCCCACATGCCGCGGAGCGGTTGGGCCCGTGAGCCATGGCCGCTGAGCCTGCGCGTCCGGAGCCTGGGCTCCGCAACGGGAGAGGCCAGGGCAGTGAGAGGCCCGCATACCGCAAAAAAAAAAAAAGAATAGACACAGCAGCACGGTCAGCCAGCAGTGGGGGGGTCCTGCGAGTGAGGATGGTGGCTCCACCTAGAATAGGAGGTGCTAGAAATGAAAACGAGGACAGATTCAAGGGTCGAAGGGATGCAGATGGTGGGGACCGGAAGGCAAAGAAAGCGTCGGGGGAACGCCCTGATTGGGGCGTTTTGCACGAGGTAGATGGTTGTGCCAGTGAAGAGCAGGGTGGGGAGAGAGGGGTGGAGAACAGCTCAGCTGCTTCAGGAAATGGGGAAATCGAGAATGCTGTCTTGAAAACACTCAATATGAAATCACTGTGAAACAGCCAACTTCCAGTAGACGTTCGGGTAGGAGAGCCCACAGGGGAAAGCCGTTTTGTTTTGCAGGCTGGAGGACCTTGGCTTGAAACAGTTCACGGTGGCTGAGCTGTTCACGCGCATATTCATCCCCACATCCTTCTTGCTGGTGTGCATCCTGCACCTGCACTACTTCCACGACCGCTTCCTGGAACTCACGGACCTGAAGTCCATTCCCAGCAAGGAAGACAGCACCATCTACAGGTGAGCCCGTGCAGGAAGCTCCAAGAAGGCAGCCTGGACCCTCCCAACCATCTCACTTAGAATCTCAGCCCTGAACTTGCCATGAGTATCAGCCTGTAAGTGGGGAAAAAATGAGAAAAAATGGGGAATATTTGACGGCGCTTTGTGAAACAGTTGGTAGTGATTTATGATGGTTCATGCAGTGATCTTGACAGGCATGTGAATTAGTTCAGAGTAGCTGTGTAGACTGGAATTCCTTAGCGGTGGTGATGTGGCTTTTGTGTCCAGGCTGGTGAGGTGTTTTTAGAACATTTACAGAATCTGGCTAATTCGGAGGATGAGTTTTCTGTCGCACTAACGGGCAGAGAAGAGGTCGTTGTGAGTGAGAGCGTAGTGCAGAATTCTACCTTCCGTCTTGGAAGGGGAGAACCTTGGCTAAAAGGAGAGAATCTGCCATCTATGAGTAACCAGAATAAGATTTAAGGAAAGAAAGCGAAGGCAGTGTTTTCTTTCATCAGCTCCCTGCTGTGGTCTGCCCATCGATAAACATAAATTGTTTACAAGTAGCAGATGGATCTGGCTGTCCCTGGCCATGTGTGCTGAAGCCACGGTGGGTCATCACACATGCCTAGATCTGCTCCATCACGGGGAAATTACAAGCACTCGTCTAATGAACCTTGATACTGATTTTCCTCTCTGCTTCACATAATAGCCTGTGATTCAGTTCCTGGAAAAACACTTGTTAAGTAAATAAGGGAGCAAAGTGCTGTATTCAAAGGAGCACAGATGCCACAGTTGAAAATTCCCCTTAGCTCTTTTTCAAGGGAAACAACGTGTCCATCCAAAGAAGATGCAGCAGTATCTCATCATGCACAGTTTATGAAATATCAAGCTGTCTGTGTTGTGCTGTACTAAGGAGTGGAATTATGGAAAACTGAATTTGTTGCACAGAGTTCCTGTTAAGTATGTAGAACCTGATTTAATTATGTAGGTTCTGGAGAAGGACAGCAGCCTATGTCAAGATGTGTTCTCCCTGTTCGCTCTGGTGTCCTGCCAGCCCATAACCCCCTCGCCTGGCAGGACAGGGAAGGAGGCCAAGCAGTCTGTTCAGTCTGAGACTGGAGCTGGCCCTCCTCTGGCCGCAGCTCAGCCTGAGCACCCCCCTTAACTGTTGCTTTTCCAAGAAAATGTAAAAGGGCGAGGCGAGAGTATATAATGGCAGCCACCTGAATGGTTTAGGAATGCAGGATTTCGTTTTTGGTTCTGTGAAAAACAGTTTTCTAGAAACTCGAGGAGTTCAAAGGACTCACTCAAGTTCGGTGTTTGGGGATTTCATACAAGAGTTTCATGTAAAAGTCCCCCAAGTTTCAACTTGGAACATAAGATACGTATCCCATCTTTTTCCCAGCTCTTTTCCATTGTAGTATTTTCCTTACTAGCAATTTTCACCTCACGGTAGTTTTAGTCCCTAGAACGCTAGTAAATGGCTACATTAAAATCAAAATGATGAAGAAAAACATATTTTTGGAGTTGGGATTGACTGTCCAGCTTTGCCTTCTCTGTTCCTGCCCACTTAGTAGATGCTGGGGGGGAAAAAAAAAAACAACTCCCAAATTGGGAATAATCAATGCATTTTGTCCCTTAAAGTGATTCCAGTCCTGTTGTTTCTGTGAATAGCCAACTGTCCTTTTTCCTATTTTGCTGTCGTTTTTGTGGTTTGTGTAGGCCCTGTAGGCAAATGTCACTTGTGTCTGAAGCAGAATTCATTGTGTTTAGCCTTCCACAATTTATAAAGTTAGCATTATGAAAGTGTTTTATGATATACCTTATGTGAAACTATTATTAGTTCTAGGTAGGCATCCTCAGGAATATCATTTCCCTTATATACTGATAAAATATATAACATAATCACAATGTAATTATTATATAATATATACTTAATAAGGTACTAAGTATCCACTCCTTATTTAAATGTCCGTCACTGCAGTTTGTCCATAATTTGTTTTAGAAAGTACTGTGATGCATATAGAAATAGAATGAGTTTTTTCTGTCTTCAGTTTTAGAACACCTCAGAAAACTATGTTGAATATGGACATTTAGGAGGATTTTCTTCTTTTAATTCTGGGGAAGGAGCAAGAATTAATGTTTTCCGTGGTATTTTATCTGATAAATGCGTTCTGGACATGTAAACCTTACAGATTCCTGACAAGGTGTGTGACTGGGGGGGAGGGAGGGAGAGACTGTTACCGTCCGGCGATTTCCCGACTCTGATTTCTCTGCTGCCGAATCTCGCTGTCTGGACCCTCCTCCGGTGCATGAAGCATGTCGGTGACACATGTGGTGGTGCAGAGCTTACGGGACATCAGCTCCTCCTCTCTGGCTAACACTCTCCTCTTTCTCTCTCCAACTGTCCCCCGCTGCCACCGCCTGCTTCCTTGTGCCCCCGCGTAGCCATGCCAAGGTCAATGGGCGCGTGTATCTGATAATAAATAGGTGGGTACCTCAACGTTTTCTCTCTCGGTTTCCTTTTTGTTAATGGCCTCTGGGGGTGTCAAACGCTCCATTAGCTTGTAAGTGAAAAATGGCATCGTCAGACAGTGGGCGTGGCCTGCAGGTGCGCTGGATGTTTTTGCAAACCCAGCCATTCGGCGTTTGGACCGAATGGTGCTGCCGAGCGGACTCGGAGGTGGCCGCGGGTCTTCAGCTGGCCCTCGGCGTTGGCCTGGCTCAGCCGCGAGCCCCACTGACGTCACCCTTGGTAGCGCTGGTTCCCGGCTAGCCTGCGAGCCCACCTCCCTCTTGAACACGTGATGGAGAGTTCAGCTCAAGAACCAGCTCCTCCACAGACCTGCCCAACACTGCTGGCTCCCCGCTGAGCGGAACTGCCCTTGCTCTGAATTCCCGGGGCACTTTCTCATCGCTGTCCCCCGACACTGGCCTTCCACCTCTATCTGTCTGGCTGTCTTGTCTCCCCTGCTCGAGGCCTCCACCCCGCAGGCCCGGAGTCCCTGTAAAATCCATCTCACTTACCGTGGAGGCTTAACCATTAGTGGACCCTCAGTAGGTATTCCTGAATGAAGTGACAATGGTCACAACAATCTATGGTTAAGAGAAAATTAAAGCATCAGTTTCTTCAAATATACGTCTACTTGAAAGAGCAACGTATTGAAGGTCGGTATTTTACATGACCCAACTTCACAATATATTTGCTTTCTGCCAAAAAGGCAAAGCTGGGCAGTACCTTAGAAGCATATCACCCAGCTGGGGAGATAAGCCATGCAGGTAACCACACATAATAAAGAGTGAGCTTTGACATGTGCCGTGTGTAGAGTTATCCTCAAGTGCCCTAAGAGTTCAGAGAAAAGAGCCTTTGGGGTCTAATTTACCAAAACTCTTCTTACTTTATCAAGTAGGTGAATTAAAATGCCCGCTCCCATAACTTCATGCCATTAGTAATCAAGTCAGTAATTTAGGTAATAGAAACATGTATTTTGCAAGAAATCCACTTAACAAAATAACCCTGGGAAAGATTTGTTGGTTTTCTAGTCGTTATCTTAAGTAACATCCCAAGGCTGACAACCAAATAGCAAACCCTAGGAGGCAGAACTTCTAGAAGGAGGTGTAAAAACTTAGCACATTGTGTGCAGATCTCTGCAGAAGAGGAAGGAGGCCGGGCTTGCTCCCTTTGGGGCCAGTTTTGTGGACAGCCTGAGAGAGAAAAGTCAACCTCAGGTTTTTAGCTGCCAGGAAGAGAAGTAAGACGGAGACTCGAACCAGAAATCTCGAGCAGCTGCATCAGTCTTATCCCTCTAAACATAAGGAAGCATAATCTCTGTCTCTCTCCCTCAGTGTTTCTCATAAAGTATTGACCATTTGCTTTAAGAGGAGGTGGCTGGAGCACCCAAGAGGTCAGGAATTGGTTTGATGGGCTCTGATGGCTGATACACTTGGCCTTCCGTATCCACGGGTTCTGCATGCATGGATTCAACCAATTACAGATCAAAAATATGTGAAAAGAAAAAAAATTCCAGAAAGTTCCCCAAAGCAAAACTTGAATTTGCTGTGAGCAAGCTACTATTTACATGGCATTCACATAGTATTAGGCATTGTAAGTCATCTAGAGATGATTTAAAGTATACAGGAGGATGTGCGTGGGTTATATGAAAATACTACACCATTTTATATAAGGGACTTGAGCATCCGTGGATTTTGGTATCTTCGGGGGTCCTGGAACCACTCCACCATGGATACTGAGGGACGACGATACAAGTTTTGGTCCCCTTTGTCCCCGACTTTTCTCTTGAGAGAAAGCCTATACCCATTAACCCAAGTCACAAGGCCAGTGAATTCACTCAGGAGTTCTTAGAATGATCTAGATGCAAAGTCATCTAAAATAATTTAAAACTTGAAGCATTCCACCATTCGGTCAGTCTTCTTTCCAGTGGAATCTCTCATTTTTCTCTGAATGCTAACATTTTAAGAAAGGCCAGAGCTCTGCCTTAAGGGACACGTGACCTAACAAACTCGTCCCTCTCTGGACAATGTGTGCCTCTGAAAGGCTGCACGTGAAGTGTGTCCAATGATAGGGTGAACCTTTTATTTAAGTAAATAAGCTTTCTATCTCCCAAAATTTATTTCTGTACGCTCAATGCTGTTTTATAAGGAGAATAATGTGTTTGTAAACATGAGTTCCAGTGAAAGAGGGGACATAGCTACATTTGACTTCTGCGTCGATTACAATTTAGACTTGACCTTACGAGGTGTGAGGTGGCGGGTGTGTTTAGGACAGTGGGTGACTGGTAAAATTTTGATGATGTGAAAAATTGCAGGAAGTTCCAGCTGAGTCTGTAAACAGACTGATTTAGAAGATTTTAACAGGAGTAATGATTATTTCTCCCACATATACACAAGCCAGAGCCATTATACCCAATCTTGTCTAGTAGATTATTTTTGGAGGAATTACTACCACACAGAGTTAAGATGTGACATTAAATTGAATTAAATTAAATCAACTGCTCATCTTTGAATACAGTTTTCTCAAAGTGCTTAGGAGTTCCAGAATATAATCTTAAAGAGTTTTAAAACTTCTACTTTAAATATTACTTATAAATAGTACACATTTGCAAGAAAGTTCCTTTTTTCTAATAGTCTAATGAATGGGTTGAGTGCAGTTTACCTTGGAGTAGTTATAAATAAATAGAATTTAGGCCTTAGGGGATTTTACCATAGTAGAATTTCCATTTTCTTTATTGGAAAGTAGCTTAATATGTGGCTTTTCAAAGTCAACTCCTAGTACAGACTTAAACCTCTTCAGCTCTCCATAATTTGTTTCTTTGGTTTCAAATTAGAATGCCTCTCCAGTGTATAGAATTCACTCAGCAAACACTCAGGGAATGATAGTGTACACCAAGCAAAGGGAGGTGAGCAGAGTGAGACTGGATTTCTGTCCTCAAGGAGAGAATAAAATGATGTGGACACAAATTGAGAAATGCACACATTGACTTACAGAGCTGCGGAAGCATGAAAGAGAGAGGGTGGGTGAATAAACAGACAAAAGTCACCTGCTCTGTTGGAATGCAAGAGGAGAGAACCGTCGTGGCTAAGAAATAGTCAGAGGATTAAGCTCAGAGCTTGGATCATCATAAAAGCAAGACCAGAGTTACAGGCGAGGTCAAGAAAATGCAGAAGAGAAGGAAATGGGCTCCCTGAGGGGAAAGACAGGCAAAACGGTGGGATTTAAGGAAGCTGGGGCGGGGTCCGGGAGAATCTGGTTCATCAGCTGGTCGGTTTGGATCCCAAAGTGGAAATCATCCACCAGTGATGGGATAATCCACACGTGAGGATCAGCAGAGAATTACAAGGATCCTAAGTTCCTTTGCTGGAAGTTTCAGGGAATGATTTTTTCACTAGAGGGTGGTTTTTAATTTAGTCTTTGAAAAATCAGGATCCCTTTTTAAAATTAGCTAGGGAGAGGTACGTATCTAAGTTCAGGTACACAGGCTTTCCTGGGGAATCGATACAGCCGTCCATGACAGCAAAGGGGCAGCCAGTTCTGCCTCGACCCTGCCCTGGGCAGTCGGACCCCAGCCCTGCAGCAACCCACCCGATCTGGCCACATGGCGGAGGGAGGTGATGGTGGCCATAAGAGGCCCTGGGCATTGAGACTATCAGAGACAGATTCTCGAGGGAGAAACGTTTGCACTGTTCTCTGAATGGCCATTTTAACACACAAGCCATTAAGGAATACGCTGATGACAGAATTAGAGTCCAAATTGAGCGCCCACCCCAGCAACCTGTGCTATGTGGTCCCACACGAAGGTGTGTCCTGATTCTGCCTCTTCCTTAGCATGAATTGATGATGCGGATTATCAAAAAGTATATGCAAATCTGTCGTTAGCAGATGGTTCTTTACTCTAAAAATGTGCCTGTGTACTAAGCACCGTGTTAAGCACTTAACGGAAATCACTTCCATTTTCACAACATCCCAGGAAGTAGGCACTGTTATTCCATTTCACAGATCAGCAAACTGAGATTTAAAAGACACGGCAAATATATACTGGGTTGGCCAAACAGTTTGTTCGGGTTTTTCAGTAACATTGGAAAAACCCCAATGGACTGTTTGGCCAACCCAATGTGTATATATATATATATATATACACATGTATAACTGAATCACTTCGTTGTACACCTGAATCTAGCGCAACATTGTAAATCAACTATATTTTAATTAAAAATTAAAAAAAATAAAAGACATGGTAATGAACTTTGTCAGTCCTCTCGCTAGTAAGATGTCTAGTTGAGGCTTGAATCTAAGTCGTTCTGATTCCAAAGAGCATGCTTTTAACATTGTTCTGGATTGCCTCAAAAAAAATGCTATGAGAAAAATGAGAAAAAATTGAAAGTCGAAAGGATTCACACAAGTGTCTTTTTAAAATAGAAACTCCAACCATGCATTGAAAATACTTTCTTTCATCTGTACTCATTTTACACACGCAAATTTTCTCGGTGAAATTTCAGATGGCAAACACCTAGGTTGGTAAATTATAGCCTGATACACGCTTCCCCTTTTGTCTTTTCTTTCTTTCTTTTTTTTTTTTTTTTTTTTTGTTGGCCCTGTGTTACAAGCTCGGAGGTCAGGCTGCTCCAGAGGGCATCAGTGTCACTGTTTCCTCACGAGGATGATGTCAGAGGGGAGGTAGCAGCATTAGACACAGGAGCTCTCTCCCCTCTCCCCGACACCCCCAGCTCCATCAAGCCCCAGGTCTCCTGTAACTGACAAGTTTCCAGAAGTAGATCTTCCGGACTTACTTCCAAAAGGTTTAGTCTGAGGTTCTTCTGTGATTCCTTCGTTCAACAATCTCCCCTCAATCTGGACAGCACTTTGGGGGTCTCGTGGCTGGAGGACTTTTTGTTACGTAGCCATAGTGGCAACTGTAGAAACAGCCTCATCTCTGGGAGTTTCCCTCCATAAATAGCACTCATTACTGGAAAGTTGTTTTCAGTATCAAGTCGTGGCAGTGCCGAGGTAGATTATATAAGTGGTCATACTTCCACAGTAAAATCCACAAATTTCTGTCATTGTGAAAGTGGCTTCTCACTTGTAAAATGCAACCCCTTGCTTACCCTGAAGAGGACATAGAAACATTGACATTTGTGTAGCACCTGACTTTCACCTTAATACCCTTTAATACGTAGAGTCCTGATGAAGCAGGGACAGAAAAGAAGTACCCTGAAAGTTGATGCACGGAGCTGGTGTAGGAGATGTGGAACTACAGTTTCAAGAATGGGGAACTTCCCCAAAGGTGGGAGGGTGAATTGTCTACCTTAAGAAAATAAGCAAGTGTATATCTGCACAACTTCTTCTACCATCCTCAGAACGTTCTTTGTTCATTAAATGAACAATTCGTTTCTGACACTCTGTCATTTACCTACTTGACACCCTGTTAAAAAGAATGACTTTTGAAGGAGAACCCCTCTAACAGTCTAAGGACAATGCAGATTCATGACCACAGTTACCCAATATCACAGGCGTTTTAAATGTAAAACCAACAAGTTGCATGTGAGCTTGGATTTTTATGTAGCCAAACTTCCTCATTTTGTAAAAAACAAAAAACAAGTAAATTCCAGAGAGGTGAAATAATTGACTCAGAGCCCACAACGGTACAGATATAATACAGTGTATATAATCCAATACAGATATATACAGTGTCCATCCTGTTACAGCCAGGCTGAAATGTATAGCTTAATTATTGCAAATGGAGAGGACTATGTGTAATTCCAATAGACCTTTTCCTAATATCTATTGCCCACAAATGTTCCTTCAAACATTCATTTGAATATGAATAAAAAGATATACTTTTTTAAAAAATTGAGGAGAAAGATCGTACTTGTTATTATCCACCACAAAATAAGCTGGACCGCCCAAGAGTCTGCTGGGCTCGGTGAGGCTGCAGCTCCCACGAGCTCAGAGGCTCAGCTCCTTCATCCAGGCTCATGCATGTCTTCTCAGGAGAGCTGGTCTAGCAGCTCACCTGGTGCCCAAGGATGGGGCGTGATGCAGGCTTCTCACCCCCAAAAGCATTAGCACCCGCTGCATATGCTTCAGATGACGGCAGAATGGGATTGGCCTGTGCAAAGGTTGACTGATGTTACACGTTATTTAAGAATTTTAAAATCCCTGCTTACAATGTGAATGACTTGATTCCTGGGGGATAGTTTGCTGTGTTACTAAAAAAGCATGATCTGATTTGCCTCAGCATTCTGTCCTTTACCACTGCAGTCCCGTCCACTCTCAGATCAGTTGCCAGGCACGGGGTTCCCAAAGCCCGCTGCTGCTGCCATCCTGGAATGCACTTGGCGTTGGGACCCCTGCACCAGTGTACAGGAATGCAATAGTGGACGATGCATAGCATGATGTGTGATCTCTGACTCTCCTTATAATTCTTCTGTTCTCATCTCCTTTTTTTCCTTTCTATTTCAATTACTTTGAGCAGCATCAAGAAAAAATTACCAATCTACCAAAATGAGTAAGTCCCCCTGTGAAGCCATGAAATGCTTGCTCTACACGATGCCATTTCATGCTTCTCCATCCTAAACTCTGACCATTTTCTCCCGTGGGAAAAATGTCAAGTTTAGGTGTCGCTAGCTCTCATGACCAACTCATCACTAGAACCTGAATTGGAAGAGCTAACCAAACCTGAGTTTACAGTTCGTTTTTAGAAAGAGCTTTAAGAAATAAAAAGCGACCAGATGCTAACAAGCCCACATGCCAGGCTGTGTAGTGACTTCCGTTTTGTTTATCCTCCTTCGCGGGCCCCTCACTCGCATCCTCCGGAACCCTTCCCTCCTCTGATTTGGCTGCTCTCTGCCCACAGACTGGCCCACCCCGAGGGAAGCCTTCCAGACCTCGCCATGATGAAGCCGACCGCCAGCTTGGAGGTGGTGGAAGCCAAGCAGCTGGCTGGACCTGGGGAGGAGAAGCCGGGGGGTTGCCCTGCAAAGGCCAAGAAGGGTGAGCTGGGCAAGGACAGTGAGGAAGAGGACGACGAGGAGGAGGAAGAGACGTCAGGTAAGCCGCCCGCCCACCCCAGGAGCTGCTCAGAAGATGCCGGCTCCCAGACGGAGGGAATGAAACACTGACTTGCTCCAAGTGCATAAAACGAGTATACACTCGACCCAGGCAGTGAACTAGAGACCAGGGTGTGGTCTTTTGGTTGCTGTAGTCATAGCTTTCCTGTTCCAATTGCCCCAATGATTTCCCTGTAATTCTGACTTAGAGGAAGATGGCAGATGGCTGGTTGTCTGGGTCCTGCAGGGTCCTGCCCAGTTTCGTTTAGTCTGTTAGTTCCCAGGAAGCATGGAGGAACCAGAGAGCATAGCCTTTGGTGGGGGGGGGTGACATTCTGAGGCTGTGATGCTGAGATGCTGCCCTCGTTTTTCCTGGTGCTCTGTGCTTTACAAAGTAGAAAATAAAAGGCAACACCAGGAGGAAGATCCCTCCCAAAGACAAGCTCCCCACAAACTGGCCCCTTTGCCCACTCATCGCAGAAACCCTAGGAGAGCCCAGAAATGCTCCCTCCGTATCTGAGGGATGTGCCTTCCTCAGGTGAATGAAACCAAGCTCTGGGGATCAAGGGCTCAGGACTAGGTTCTATTTTATACTTAAAGGCAGGTTTGAGCTTTACAATAACGTCTCACCAAAAACTGGGCTGCAGCTTCCTCTTTACTTGCCCCTGTAACCTCGAAACTGTACCCAGGTGTGACCTCAATCCTGTAGTGAGTCACCCGAGTCGCTCTGTAAATAAACATTTTCACAATAACTAAAACCTTCCTTAAACTTTCAAAACCAAGTATATTACCTGTTGCAAACACCCCAGCCAGGTCAGGAAACTACGTACAGAGACCCTGGGTCTTATCTGCCTGGGCCCGTGAGCTTCTGTCTGCAAAGGCGGGGACAGGCTGATTGCGTGAAACAGTCCTGTGAGGACTTTTGTTCAGATTAACCGGGACAGACCTTCTAGGCAGAAGTATGACCCTGGTCTGCAAAATGTTATTCCCTAGCACAAGGTGGAAGGTAGAAAATGACAAATTTGATTAAAAATTGTGACTGGAATGAGTCTGAGTGCCACACTTGGTGAACTGTGACTCAGTCGTTCAGCCTCTCAGGTCCATCCTCCGCTGTGACAGGGGTGGGCTCATCCAGGGCGGCTGGTGGGCTTTGCCCACCCCCTAGTTAAGCCCCGGCAAGGAGATTGGCGCTTAAGGAACCACTGTTTTGGCAAAAAAAAATGTCATGAAGAGGGAGCTCAGCTACTTAATATTCGGGGGAAATCAAGGAATCATAGCTCAGCCCTAAGAGTAAACAAGGTCAAAATTCTTTTTTGCACAAATTTAATGAAAAGGTGGGTGAAAGCAGCCTGTCCTTCGTTCATTCTCGGCGTGTGACATCGAAGTCATCACTGGAGGTGGGATTCTTGGGCCACCTTCCTCCAGATCGGGGTGTCTTAGATAGAATTCATCCACTCCTCTGATCTTGCAGCTTCTCGTTCCCATGGGAATGATACAAGGTAGGCTTTCAACCGTAATCGCACATACAAGCCCTTTTCGTGCCCTCGGGCACATTCCCTGCCCTGCAGATCTGAGGAACAAGTGGCACCTGGTGATAGACCGCCTCACGGTGCTGTTCCTGAAGTTCCTGGAGTGCTTCCACCAGCTGCAGACGTTCCTGTGGTGGATCCTGGAGCTTCACATCATCAAGATCGTCTCCTCCTACATCATCTGGGTGTCCGTGAAAGAGGCAAGTGACGCCTGTTTATCCTCAGGCCAAACCGAACCAGGGCCCGTTGCCACTTTCCTTTGTCAACTGTCCCTGATTTTTTAAGGGTGATTTCCCACGACGTCAGGACACCAAGGTGTGAGACAGGCACATACACTTGACACACAGGACAGCTATTCTGAGAAGAGGGAGTGGTCTCGGGGCAGAAAGAGTCCCCGGCTTAGTCCCTCATCAGTGTGGTCCTATCACAGAGGTTCCTGATTTTCATCTAGTCTTTAGTGAAGGGTATGAGACAGGATACTTTTCTGCACAACGCGCGTGGGAATCTACCTCCATAAATTCTCTTTGGGGAAAGCAACAACGTTCCGGTACATGCTACCAAGGAAACGCAGGTTCCAAAATTTGATAGAATCTTTCTTAGAACTCACCCTGTTCACGATTGGAGTTTCTGAGATGAAGCACAAAGTCTTTCAACATTGTAATGGCACTTCTGTTTTCTTACCTGAAAAGAGAAGAGTCATCATTCAGCCAACAATGGTTTGGTGTTTACTGTGAGAAGTTAGCTTTCTTTCAATTTCTTCAACAGATAATTTTCACATATTTCTAATTTCCCTGGACTCTTTTTGAGTTAGTGACAACTCAAAGAGTCTTTGCCCTCTAAAAATTAGGTCAGGAAAGACTGCCTATAATTTTTAAAAAGTTAAGTAATAATATACTACAGTACTATGAACCCCAAATGTTTCACGAGTAGGTAACTAAGGGGTAAACCTTAATGTGAGCTCTCCAGTCTAAACTGGGACTTTCTCCCTTTTCATACAAACCATCTGAAGTGGATGGGTAATCAGGGCCAGGTGGGAACAAAACAGGAACCACTGTCCCCGTGAGATTTGTGGCAGAAAATGACACATGCTCCATCGTTAAGTAACCAAGTCTGTACATTGATTAGAACTAAAATTTGGCCTAATATATATATTAATTGAGAATAAAAAAGTTAAAGCATTTTAACTTTACAGGTGAATTGACCAATTCAGACAGAATTTGAGGGTCGGAATATTAAAGAACAATGGAAAAGGATCAGAGGAAGCCTGTGGCTAAAAATGAACAAAGTCCGTTTCTGAATTAACCCAGTCTGGAGCACAGATGATTTGTGATGTGTGGCAGAGTGGGCGCGGGGGCATCGTAAGACAACTGAATGATGGGAGTGGGCTTTCAATGAAAGAGAAATTAGTGTGAGTAGGGCATGGAAGACCCACTCTCTGAATCCATCCTGGCGAGTCCAGAAGGAGAAAGAAAGAGAGGGTTAAATGACACCACTTTCTCATCAATCCTAAATGAAAAGCAGACATATATACATATAATTTTAAATCAAGACTAATGAGTCTTGAGAATGCGTTATTAATAGGCTCTCACGTAAATAAAGGATTACGGTCTCTTCACCCTGTTGCACCGTTAGAAAAACGGCCTCTGGTGGCATGTGACCAGTTCCTCCCCTACATTTCACATATTGCACAGACTTCCAGAATTTTCATTCCTGATCCCATCTCTCTCACCTATAACTTTAAAACACGTTAAGAGACTCATGAATCGGAGACATTCTTCTCCTCCCACTGCTGGCACTGCTGGAATCCTGGTGCTGTAGGATGGTTTGACCCCCAAGTGTGTCTGGGGAGGTCACCCCACCTGAAGGGTGAGTCACCACGTGGTCCTGGGGGTCAGTGACTCTGAGGCCTCCCCTCTCTGCACTGACTTGGTCCCTGGGCACCATCACCGTGTTCACAGCTGATTCTTATTAATGTCATGGGAGCACTGAGCCATCAGAACACAAGGCATCATTATAAGAACAACTGAACTTTTCTTCGTGCCCCGAATGCACGACACACTCTGATCATCCTCAGGTAATGGAAAGCCCTGTGGCTACCTTGAATAGCAAGCAAGATCTCAGTTTGTTAATCAGAGTTGTCTAGCCACGGAGAAGAAGCAAACTCTGGTCTCTCACCCAGTGGAAACATGTCCTCTTCCAGCCGCTTCTTTCTTTCTCACACTCACCTCCCTCACCGCCTCCATGCTCCAATGAACTGACTGGTGTTGTGGACTTGGGCAGCGGTGGCAGGGATGTGGGATACTCGGATTTGACTTGTACTGTCCTAAGATGGCCTCACACTGGGCTGAGGGTGATCAAATCTACCCTCTTCCTCCCGGAGGCTCCTCTGCGATGGCTCCAGCTGCAGCTCTGGGGCCGTCACCCAGCCCGTGGTTTCCAGCACCCACTCCTCCTGGACCCACAGCCTTGTGGGCGACCCCCTGAGCTGTGCTCGAACAGCCCCACGTGCATGTCCACAACAGCCCTGGGGCAGTAGGCACGAGGTCCCCGCTCTGCCTCTGGACATGGGTCCCAATGAAGCAGTGACCCTGCACTGTCACCAAAGCATCCTTTCTCTCCTTGCTGCTGGATTTTCCGGGTGACATTGGACATCTGTGCCCCAACCCTGTCACCAACTCCAAGGTGCACACACTGAGACTGCTGAGGGGTCCTGCTTGGGGCGCCTCCCTCAGGACTTTTGTAGAGAACTGGCATCTCCTTCTACCCTCACCATCTCAGGGTCGAGGGACAGACAGAAGCACTGCCCTACAGAGAATCCCCTTCACACTCCCTCCTGTCATCTTCACCGTCTTGACCCATTTGTGTCCTCCTGGACCCATTGGCAGATCTCTACATGGTTTCCCATCGACTGTTCGGAAATTTGTACACGTTTGGCCAGAACCTCGTTTTGCAATGTCACACTGACCTGCTCCAACTTGGTGCCTCATGACACTTGGATTTAACATCTCTCTACACTGACTACAGGTGGGAGGAGAGATAGACGCTGCCTCTTGCATGTAGTTCTCATAAGGAGCCATGTGCCAGCCCAGCGTGGATGTGGCTGAATTTTGCACCATCTAGGGGCACCGCTCACCTGAGAACCGCCTCCCCGGGCTTGTGCGTTCTGAGGTGCTCACCTCCGCCCGCAGGGGCCTCTTCTGCTTTGAAGGCTCCACTCATCCCCACAGGAGCAGTCCATCAGCAATGACATTTGCTGCGTATATTTGCTGTCCGTAGCTTATTAATTTTGATTAATACAAAAAAATCCTTTCTCAAAAACAGCCCATCAGTAAATGGCAAGATGAGGACAAAGTCCACATCCCCAGTTGAATCTTCAAGATATGTGGCCACACATGTGCTTTGCATTCAAACCATCTTTATCCAAGGCCACCAGCAAGGGTGCTGCTTTTCACAAGCTTACAGGGCCATTTCCCCCGCAAATATTAAACTTTCCCCGGGTTATCTTCATGGACGTCTGAGGAGGAAGAGACCATGGGAGAGAATTCATTACAGAAACCCTTCTGCATCTCTTACTCAGAGTAACACCGTTTTGGAAAGACCGAGATTTTTAAAATACATATACCATTGTCTTCTCCTTGTTTTATACGCAGCTGTGCTAATTTCAAAAGGTTCCTAGTGAGCTCTGTGAGATCAAGTTATTCTTGGAGGAGGGGCCAGTCCTCATTTCTTCAAGTATCTTTAGCATGTCCCACAGGGCCTGGCCAGTGTAGAAGCTCCATAAATGTTTACTGACTGAAGGAAGTAAATACAATAACTTTGCAAGTTTGAGATTTTCCCCAGATATCAGTTGACGCTTCATTATTATTATTATTTTCACTCTCACTTAGCATGCATTTAGCCTTTATTATGTACTTACAGTAAATTACAATAAATTGAATGGTTATATGCTGCTAGATGCTGACACAAAAGCATGGCAGACACGTTTCCTCCCTCAGCTTGCAGTCTGACGGTAGCGGCTGGTAAATAAAACCAAAGTCACCGTCACTGCTGATGGGGGAGGAGCCTCTGGGTGCTCAGGAGGGGGATGTCATGCCGAGGTGGCCCCATGGAGGTGACATGGAAGCAGAGGGGGCTCTGAGGGAGGGGGACCGGGGATGGGCAAGCATAATAAGGGTTGTCTGACTGCTTGTTGTATACATGGATGACCAGCTATTTCCTTAGAAATTCTGACTCGTCGGATATTGGTGGGGGCCTAGATATCTGTCATTTTTTAAAAATGTATGTTCCATGAGATTTTTATCATCGGGGACATGAGGAGACCTTTGTCAACCATGATTGCATTGAATGAAGCACCACACTTCTCTGAGTCCCCGTTTTCCTGTTTGTAAAATGATAAGAGGGCTTCCCTGGTGGCGCAGTGGTTGAGAGTCTGCCTGCTGATGCAGGGGACACGGGTTCGTGCCCCGGTCCGGGAAGATCCCACATGCCACGGAGCGGCTGGGCCCGTGAGCCATGGCCGCTGAGCCTGCGCGTCCGGAGCCTGTGCTCCGCAACGGGAGAGGCCACAACAGTGAGAAGCCTTCGTACCGCAAAAAAATAAAATTAAAATTAAATTTAAAAAAAAAAGATAAGAAACAAAAACACCCGCGTGACAGAGCTTTTCAGTCCTTATTTAACTTGATTCTCCAGGTCATTGGATTCTGGTGACCATTTCCTTATCCTTGAAGCTCTCCCCACCGTTGTTTTCCAAATCCGAACACTTTCCTGGCCTTTCCTCTGTCTCACTCATGGTCCCCTTCCCCTCTCCCCACCAGCTTCTCTCAGGGGCCTGCAGGCTCCGTCTGCAGCCCCCTCCACTGACTCCAGACTTTCGGCAGCTGTGTCAGGAGCTCCTGTGCTCCATGTGTCATCTCCATACAATGAGCGGACATCTGTACCTTCAAACCCGTCCTCTCTTTAAACTCCAGACCCGTATCTCCAAGGGACAACTGGATGGGACCTCATTCTTGAGTGTCCCAAAGCCCCTTCCACGAAATATCTCTACAGCTGAGCCCGCCACCCCCCCCTCAGCCCCCTTTGAGATTACAGCTGGCCCTCTGTACCCCAGGATGGGGAGCCCGTGGATATGAAAGACAACTATCCTCTGACCAATTCCCCAAATTGCTCTAATCCTTTCTCCTTCCAATACGTATTCCATTGTGTGGCCAGGGTCTTCTTTCCAGCCTGTAACTAGGATCGTGTTCATCCTCTTCTCGAAAACTTTCAAAGCTCTCTCTCATCCTCACAGTCACTTGATCTGGCCCTGTACCACATCACCATTTCCTGCCCTAGACACTTGAACCACCGGGTGGGCTGCCGAGTCCTCTGAATGGACTCAGAGCCCACTGCTCTCAAGATGGACCACCTGCGAGTCCAAGGATGGTCACCCCACGCTCCCCTCACCTGTGTGGCCTGACACCTGCAATTCCTCTGCCTGGCCAGCTCCTGTTTGTACCCCCGGCCTCAGTTTAGATCTAACGCCCTCTGGGCCATCTTCTCTAACCCTGGATTAGATGTTCAGCAGTGGGATCAACACCCACAACTCGGCTCAGCGCACCCCCGCCATCCCGGTGTCATGGCTGTTTGTTGCAGTTCTCACTTGCACTACCTGGGTGTTTCTTGAGGGCAGGGAGCCGCACGGGATGTATGACCGTGAACCTAATTCATTAATTAACCTAATTAATAGAAGGTATCATCTTTTCTTATCTTTTTCTATCACTCAAAAGATTAAAAGTCCTATGTCAATTCATCGTACTGTTTTTGTACTCAGTGCCTTAAATACATAATAAAAGAAATAACAAAGAGACTTAATTTTATGGGAGCTTTAATAGGATTTGCTTTTTAGCACCCCAATTAGCAGGACACTTGCTGATGACGGAGGAGGAGTCGGCCGAGTCGGCCGGCCAGTCAGAATATCTTGCTAAAATGTAACTTTTGTTATTTGTTATGTTTGTGACGGTAGTTTACAGGGCACTTCCTTGGACAATATTTCTTTCATCCTCAATTCTGTAAGCAGCTCCTACTGCTGTACTATTTCAGCACTTAACTCTCAGAGAGGTTCCATGCCTTGGGCAGTGACAAGTAGTTAAGTAGAAGAGTCGTAGGTAACAAACTGCAGAATTAATACTGTCTTGGTGTCTCCACACTTCTTGTTTTATAGCTCTGTAAGCGCAACAGGTAACCATACCTCTCTGAGTGCTTGGCACTTGGTACCTGTTCAGTTTTATCAGTTGCATTCTTGTGGTTATTTCTACCTGATCATATACTAAATGTTTCTGTGATATCAGTTTAACAAAAGTCGGATATTATTTTAACGATATTCAGAATAAGTGAGGATTTTCCATGGCTGAATAAGATGGCAGTGCTTCTGTACTGTTCAATGAACTGCAAGCTCTGAAGAAAGGTTAGAAATGAGTGGGCATCTTACCTGATGGAAAAACACACTCATGGTCTCAAAGCAAGTTGAAGTCATTGCCTTCCTGCTTTACACCTGCCCCCACCCCAGATCCTGTCTCGGTTGGGGACTGCCATCCTCTCAGGGCTCTTCCTCCCAAGCCTGAAGCTGGGAGGCATCTCCCACACTTCCTCCCTCACCCCCCAAACCACTCAAAGCTAATCAGTCTTCAAATCCTGCTAATTTTACTTCCCGCCTCAGACCCCCGACTGCTCCCCCTCTCTGCCCCACTACCCCAGTTTGGGCCCTTGTCATTGTTCTCCTGGACAACTGCAGTGGGTGTGAGCTGGTCCCCTGACCTCTGGCCCAACCCCACTGATGCACCTGCATTCCTCAGCTACACTACCTAAATAAAATGCAATATTTCCCTAGGGTTTCCCAGCGGAAAGCCCTTCAGCACTCTCTGCTTTCTGCAGGAGGGCTTCATGTACATGGTTGTAAAGCGTCCATCAAAATGTGGCTCCCAGATGCATGTCCAGCCTCCCTTTCTGCTGCTGTTCACCGCTGTTGAGTCCAGAATCTCCAGCTGTTTGGGGTCACCTGCTCCTATCATGCTACTTCATGCTTTGCTGCCTTTGCTTGTATATCCTTTACCTGAAATGCACTTCTCACCTTTCCTGGCCTGGCTGACTTCCTGCATCCTTCAATGCACAGCTCAGGAGTCATCTCTGCCAGGAGATGTTCCTGAAGCTCCAGATTGTGCCAAGGACTCCCTGTGGGTGTTCTCACAGGAGCCTGTTCACCCGTGTAGTTTGCCACTGCTAGGTTATTTGACATCACCTGGTTATACACCTGTCTGCCTACAAGACATGTGTCTTAACACTCAGGGCCATGCCTTGCCCATGCAAGGAACTCAATCAGCCTTTGCTGAACTCAGCAGAACAGGATCAATCAGGTTGCCAGGTTTTGTAGACGTTGTGCCATGTTGCATATTTCTGTCCCCATTTCTGATTTTCTGTTTTCAGGTGTCTCTGTTCAACTATGTATTTTTGATTTCTTGGGCTTTTGCTCTGCCGTACGCCAAGCTCCGCCGCCTGGCTTCAAGTGTCTGCACTGTCTGGACATGTGTGATCATTGTCTGCAAAATGTTGTACCAGCTGCAGACCATTAAGCCTGAAAACTTTTCTGTCAACTGTTCCTTGGTGAGCCTCAGACACGGGGTTGGTGGGGCAGGGGGGGCATCTCTTTGCCTGGCCTTCAGGGAAGGGAGGCAGATACTGGGGGACACACATCCCCAGAACATCCTGTCTGGCCTTCAGCAGCTCAGCAGGTTGGAGGCATTCTGGCCCCCCGTCTCTTCTGATGCTGAGATTTCCCCCGTGAAGTGGGTCTTCTCTCCCCGCAATTGTAGCTGAGAGAGGCTACTCTGAACTCTCCTAATCCATGGGGCCATTTCTTACTCCCCTTTCTCTTCTTTTCAGCCAAATGAAAACCAAACGAATATACCCCTGCAGCAGCTGAACAAGTCTCTGCTCTACAGCGCCCCCATTGACCCAGCAGAGTGGGTCGGCCTGAGGAAGTCCTCTCCTTTGCTTGTCTACCTGAGGGTAAAGCCTTCGTCACCCTAAGTTTGTGTGTCTGCCAAGTTAATGTCTGGAGCCCTTTTCCAGGAGATGCTAACTTCAGCTTTGATAGGGGCCTCATCCTCTTACATGGCGTTTGCAGTCACCTTCGAAACAGACAACTGAACATTAAAATCAGTATTGCATTATGCTGAAAAGAAATCGATCGAGTAGTTTGAGATCCATTGAATAACATATGACAAGTATATTCACTGGAACATTATAAAACCACTCAAAGACAGAGGTAGATTGACACTATCAGACACTGAAAGATGTCCAAAATATACTGTAATGTTGAAAAGAAAAGCAAACTTCAAAACACCATACATAGGATGACGTCTTTTAGACACAAAGAAAAAATACTGAGTAAATTATACCAAATGGTCAGCAGTGGTCGTTTCTGAGAAGTAGGTGTCACGTTACAAGAAATGTTTGCTATCTAAATTCTACAAATTTAACCAAGGGCATATATTATGTTTAGAGGTAGCCAAATAAAAAGAGCATATCTCTGAAAAGGGAATTTTGCTTGCAAGTAGTTGTAACAAACATAAGGAAAGCAATATAGTTCAGATGATTCACATTTTATTCTGATGGATAATCTGAGCATTTTACTTTGATGGATTATGCTGACAATGCACTTAAAACCTTTGTACTCAACTCCCAGAATTTGAAAATGTGCTCAGCATCTCATTTTTCTTGGTGTAGCTTTCTAGTTTTTTTCTCATATGGCAGATATCATTTGTAATGTATGAATGACATCTACCATTAAGAGCTGTTGTCAAGATAAAACAAACTTATATTTGAAAAGGGGGATTAGAATAGTGTCTGGCACATAAATGTTAACTATTTTATTAATAATTGTTATCATCACTATTAGTATTTTGTGGTATAATCAACATATTTTTCCACCTACTGCTCTCTCTAGCCAGCTTTCAGAGGTGTTCAAAAATCCCCCCTCTAATGCGGGTCCCACTCGGCAGTTCAGTCTGTTTCCTGGGGTCCTTGTAGGACGCTGTACAAGGGTTTCTCACTTTTAGTCGCAAAGAAGGTTGGACGACCCTCCCAAGGTAACTGGACAAGGCTTCCAGGTTCAGTGTGTACTTTTTCAGGAACAGGCCATGACCATCACCTGTCTTTGGTGTAGAGGTTCCAGATCCTGTTATCATGGAAATTAGCCTGATTTGCATATTGGAGATAACTCCACCCTTGTTCCCATAAAACAGGGAAAATGAGCATTGAATTCAAGGCTGCATTTTATAGAGGTGGGATTTGATCATGCACTGTTCTTTCAGACACCCAGAATGGAACCAGATGGTGTCTCTTGGGGATTGTTTAAATGACCACGTGGCACCACATGCAGTTTACTTGCTTTCCAGAACAACCTCCTGATGCTGGCCATTCTGGCCTTTGAGGTCACCATCTACCGCCATCAGGAGTATTATCGCGGTCGGAACAACCTCACAGCCCCCGTGTCTAAAACCATCTTTCACGACATTACGAGACTCCACCTGGATGATGGACTTGTCAGTTGTGCCAAGTATTTCATCAATTACTTCTTCTACAAGTTTGGTCTGGAGGTGAGTTTCCTTGCTGACCTGTTTTCTTTCTTTCCTGTGAAAATTCCAGTGGCAGCTTTTGGCCAGGTGTCCACTGGGGCTTTGTGGCACGTCTCTGTCCCCTCAGGATCAGGGAGGAGCCTAACTGAAGGGTTAGCCTGGCCTGGTTGAAAGTCTCCAGAACCTGGTGCCAGTCCCCTGCTCTGTGGCAGTGGACATGGCCTCTCGGGATCTCTGGTCTTACAGATGTGTGGATGTCTGTTTTGTGCCTTCCGGATGTGTAACCTTAGCCAAAATGCACTGTTTTGACCTGAATGGCGTGGTAGGCCTGCCCTCGATAGAATGTACTTGGAACAGTGACGTTTCATGGCGAGATCATGACGGTAATTCCCTCCACCATTTGAAGTGGTTCTTACTGAGAGTGACCTGGTCAGTTTTTCTGTCTTCGTGATGCAAACACCCCAAAGAGGCAGTGCAGGTGAACACCTGCAGGGACCCGGCCCCAGGAATGCAGGTCTCCACCGCCCGCTCGGGGTGGGCCGCTGACACCACTCCCCTTCCCCGTGAAGCCGACTCTCTGCTTCTTTTCATCCTTACACAGACCTGTTTCCTCATGTCAGTTAACGTGATCGGACAGCGGATGGATTTCTACGCCATGATTCATGCCTGCTGGCTGATTGCCGTCTTGTACCGGCGCCGAAGGAAAGCCATTGCGGAGATCTGGCCCAAGTACTGTTGCTTCCTGGCCTGCATCATCACCTTCCAGTACTTCATCTGCATCGGCATCCCTCCCGCCCCGTGCCGAGGTGAATGCCCCCCACCGGGAGCCTGCTCAGGGACAGTGGGGACAAGGGCACGGAGGGGCGCCCTGACCCGGCTCCTCCCGCCTCCACCCTGCAGATTACCCCTGGAGGTTCAAGGGCGCCAGCTTCAATGACAACATCGTCAAGTGGCTGTATTTCCCAGACTTCATCGTGCGGCCCAACCCCGTGTTCCTCGTGTGTAAGTGGGGCCGTTGGGATTCCCACTTGCTCGTCCTCCTCCTGGTGGTGCGTTCGTGGGCCCCCCTACCCCACATACAGCCACAGGCTGGTTTCCATGCATCAGCATCCCAGGCTGCTAGTGGCTTCTGCTGGCCCTGTTACATCTGCAGAGTTAATACATAGCATCGGAAACACCATGTTCGCTTTCATGATTTCACTTCCCAATGCACAGCCCCGCTCTCCACCACTACACACCCACCTTCTAGAAGGTGGACTGCAGGGGGAGGCCTTGTCCTGGGCAAATTGCTTGCTTCTTGCTGCCACTGCAGACATACACCTACAGGTGGGCTGGGGTAGCCGGAAGGACGCAGCCAGACCACAGATGCTCCTGAGTGGGGCTGCAGCCTGAGCCCGTCCAAGGGCGGGTGACCATCCAAAGGTTAGGGTCTGGGCACCCACCGTAGGGGGTGGAGATTTGGTGCTGCCCACCCACATGCGGGTGTAGATTAAAGACAACGCCTCTGGGAGGGGGAACTGTTCTGGGCAGCCGGCCGTGAGAGCAGCTCCGTCGTCTCTACCCGCCCCCGTCGGCCACCGTCTTCACCTGCTCTCAACAGCTTCCACGCCCTGTATGTTCTGGTAAGTCTGGTTACCAGTGCAGAGGGGGACGGAGAGGACAAAGAAAGCCAGAATGCCTGCCTCTACGGCTTGTGAAGAGAGAAAGATGACGGAAAGCGCTCAGTGGCCCCTCAGAGCTTCAGGGGGAGATTAATGCAGGCAAACATTGTCGTGTAAGAGATTCATGAAGACTAGTCATCGCCTGTTGCTTTCACTCACCGACGAGCAGACAGCGTCCAGGGACTCTCCCCTGGGAGCCCCGGAGCGCCTGTGGCCCCTCCTGCGTCCCCGTGGTGGGTGGGGGAGGCTGGAGTCCAGGAGGAAGTGAACTCTCGGGACGTGACTCAGGTAGCAGATGAGGAGCCGCTGGTACCCCGTGGGGACCCCTCCTCGCATCCCTAGGTGCAGAGGGGGAGCAGGGGGTTTCAGTTCCCGTGTCTGTCTTGCCAGATGACTTCATGCTGCTTCTGTGCGCCTCCCTACAACGGCAGATTTTCGAGGATGAAAACAAGGCCGCTGTGCGGATCATGGCAGGTGACAATGTGGAGATCTGCATGAACCTGGATGCGGCCTCGTTCAGCCAGCACAACCCTGTCCCCGACTTCATCCACTGCAGGTAACGCGGCCGCCTGAGTGCACAGCCCCCCGAGCGCACAGCCCCTGGGAAGGTGCATCCCCGGACTCTGTGCCTCCAGCTCCCCCTGCCTTTCCCGGGGAGCTGACTCGCTGATTGCACCCCCAAAGGCAAGAATCATGGGGCAGGATTGCCCAGTGGTCTGGAAGCCGAGCCCCCCACTTTTCCTCCTTCCTCCGTGGACAGCCCTCAGCAGCTCTGGAAAGCAGCTGCCCCTGAACCCCAGGACAGCCCCGGGCCTCACTTGCTGCCCGGGAGCCCCGGAGGCTCCTCCTCAGAGCGTGTTGGCTGGTGTTTCCGTGTCCTTCTCACAAGCTTAGTTTTATGCTTTCTGAAACTGAAGCAAGTCAGGGCTGAGGAGCGGAGGCCGGGCCTCCTGCAGGAGGAATTAACAGCTGCAGGCAGGGGAGGGAAATGTGTGGAAAACATACGGTGCGCTAACGCGCACGTGTTGCACGTGCACACACACACTCAAACACGCCAGCAGCCCAGTTCTACTGACTTCAAGCCACACACATCAGGAGGCCCTGTGGGCGTTCAGATCTCACCCCTGGACTGAGTCACTAACATTTACCTGTATGATCCTGGGACGCTGAGAAACACCGACATCTTATTCATTCTCCTGTGTGTTAAATCAAGGATGAGTGTAATATATTTTAGGAAAAAAATCATAGAAACATTTAAAAGCGTTGAATGTTTTAGTCTAAGAAGAGTAAAGTTCAAAAGTTCGCTTATGTGACAGTGTTCCTCTAAGGTACAACTTATTCCCTAACGATGCTGGACAGTGTTGCACGTATTTATCAGAGGTGACTTGTTAACTCCCACAAAATAACAACTCTTTTATCAAATATCTGACCCACAATTGGTTCTTCTGTGCTTCTTTCCAAATCTGGGAAGAGAAACAACCGAAGCATAACCTCCAAAACTGAGAGGCTGTAATTAAGTGAATGCAGATGGGCCGATGGCCCAGGCCAGGAGAGCGGCGACAACTACTTTCATTGCGGGAGGATGGAGGCCCGAGCACCTGCCTCCTTCAGGGAGTTGTAGTGGAAGAGTGGCTGCCACGTGTCAGCTGAGGGAGGTGCAGAGAAACTGTTGGACAGAGCCTGGAAGCTCTGGGTCTGCTTGGGCAGTACTACTTCTCATCTGGAGGAGAGATTTTCACCTCTAGCAAAATCTTTGTATTTGTTTTAATCCATTAATTTCCAGTTCATGAAAAGGAATCCCTTTTTACCTGTTCTCTTGCTCCAAGAGGCATCTGTATCTTAGAATTTCCTCGGCCTCCTATAGAAAGACAGAGAGGGTTTTGAGTACTCAGGTAGTAGGCAGAAAATGTTGCCACTTGTGGGACGTTTGGCCCAAATTCGATGAAAATAAACACGCACATGGTGTTTTCACAAGGGACCACTCTGTCCATCACTAACTGGGTGAGGGTTTCCTGTGGACCAGGCAGTGATCAGTGAGAGAGGAACACAGAGCTCCCAGGCTGGCCTGGACAGAGCCTGCAGACAGAGTCAGGAGGAGAGTGTGAGTTTGTCCCTTCCTCAACTAGAATCTCCTGACTTGATTTGTGCTGTTGTTTGTGTCGTCTTTCGGTTCTGTTTTGCAGATCGTACCTGGACATGTCCAAAGTGATGGTCTTCAGCTACCTCTTCTGGTTCGTGCTCACAATCATCTTCATCACCGGGACGACCAGGATCAGCATCTTCTGCATGGGTTACCTGGTGGCCTGCTTCTACTTCCTGCTCTTCGGGGGCGATTTGCTGCTAAAGCCCATCAAGAGCATCCTGCGATACTGGGACTGGCTGATCGCATACAACGTCTTTGTGATCACGATGAAAAACATACTGTCGGTAAGTGGCTCCCCTGTATAACACATTAGTGGTTTCAGAGTCAACGATCCATTCAGTGGTTATTAAAAGCCCGTGGCCCGTCACACTGCTCTCTTAAAAGCCCCGAGTAAGATGCTTGCAAACTCAGAATTCAGATGACCATTTATTACTCGTTGTTTTACCACATTAAGAAGAATCCTTTTTGCTCATTTCCACCCCCTCAAGGACAAGAGGATATGTATTCATAGGAATAAACTCTAAAATGTATTTTATTAATTCAAATCCAGCTCTTCTGAGGAACGATCGGTGATCATTCCTACGATGGGCTGCAGTGTGGCCCTTTTATGAGTTGAATCAGTCATGGGATGTCTTCAAAAATTGGATCATATTGGCTAAAAGCAACTCTTTTACCTAGAAAGGGCTGTGGAAGTGTAAATAGAATGGGCGCGGCTCTCCATGACACCACTTGGGGTGGGGATGAGGAGGGATGGACCCCTGAAGGCACAGATGTTTTATGAAGCCCTGAGAGGAGGGCGGATGCAGGGGAAGCTTTATGGCTGATCTGAGCATCAGCGTCTGGACTAGAAAACAGCTAAGACAGTGGAGGGTTGAGACAAACATCTCCCGTCCACAGAACGTGGCTGCTTCTCTATTAAATATCCATGTTCCAGGGCACATCGCGGACACTGCCCTGGTAGATAAACTGCCCACGAGTCATGCCGGAATCACATGGATTCTTTTAGGCCACAAAGACACCTTTTAAACTATTTATTGTGTCAGGAAATTAAACAACGACCTTTCATGAGCTGAAGGAGTTAATCCACCCCTACCTCCAGCTTAAAGTGAATCCCAGGGCCTGCTACTCAGCGGCTGTAACTGACAGTGCATTAGAAGAACAGTGATGTACGACTTCCTGCTTCCCCCCTTCCTGGTACTTACAGATGAGCTCACCAGGCAATTCTACTGGAGAGCATTTGACTTTTTTATTTTGGCACGTGCACTGCTGTGTTTAGAGATCTGGGGAAGCCAAGTCTACGTAATCAGGAGTACGTATTTGAAGAATTTATTTTGTGTCCTGTCCATTAGAATGCTAAGTTTCTAGCTGATGGTCAAAATGACTTTTATTCATCAGTTCAACCCCAGCAGTGCGTGTTGGCCTGTGGGGTGGTGTTGAGAGTTGTTGGAAAGGGGATGAGATAGGACAGGAGGTCACCCTTTCATCCTAAAGCCCGTCTGGTGGGCAGAGATCTGCGGCTGGAGGCTGATCCCTATGACTGTTCCTGGAAAGTGTGTGGCTGCAGAATCCGCTCATTCATTCGTTCGTTCTCTAAACCTGTGTTGCAGACCTGATCTTTGCTAGGCACTGTTTTATATCTTGAAGAACTAGAGGTGACTAGTACTCAGATTTTACCCCTAAGGAACTCACATTCTAAAAGAGAAGATAGACTTTCTTATAAATAATTACAGTACACTCTGTTAATGCTCATTGTGACAGTATTTTAGGAAAGCAGTACAAAACAGAATGCCTAATTTCTGGCCTAGGTAAGTTGGGAAGAGGCTTCCTGGAGGCGTTGCCACGTGAGCTCATCAGAAACTTGAATTGAGGGGTGTCCAGGGAGACAGAGGAGGGAAGATACTCCCTGAGGAGGAGGCTATTTTCCCCCCTTGGGATGTGAACTTAACTGTGACAAGACATCACTGTTATGAGACAACAACGTGACAGTCAACAAAGAAGTCTCCTTTACTCAGAGAATTGGCTGAAAAAGAATTGGCTCGGGCTTCCCTGGTGGCGCAGTGGTTGAGAGTCCGCCTGCCGATGCAGGGGACACGGGTTCGTGCCCCGGTCCGGGAAGATCCCACATGCCGCGGAGCGGCTGGGCCCGTGAGCCATGGCCGCTGAGCCAGCGCTCTGCAACGGGAGAGGCCACAACAGTGAGAGGCCCGCGTACCGAAAAAGAATTGACTCAAAGCACATACTCTCTCTTCCTGCTCTAAGAGCTACACCAGGCAGCTTATGTTTGTGATCATCTCCTGGCAAATAGCGTAGGTTTACTATGTCTGACTCTGTCTGACTCGTGAGAGTCAGAATCCCAGTCCTGGATCCGTGCTCACCCGTTTGCCATCACGGAGCCGGGCTGGTTCCTACGGTGGTCTGAGATTTCCTCTTCGAAAAGAGAGGAGCTTCCGAGTTCAGAAAGCATCACGCTCAGGGTTCTCCCCTTGCTCCTTGAGTTTAACTCCCTGAGGAAGTGAAGCATCAAGCGCTCTACCCGGTGGGGACTGGATTTGGGGCCCCGTCCACCACCAGACTGGGACTTTGGGAATTCTTGCACGTGTTGGGATTGCAAGACATCAACCTCTTCTCTGGGTGTGGAGCTTCAGGATATGCCTTTCCCCTTCGTTTTTCAGATAGGAGCATGCGGCTATATTGAAAAGTTGGTTCAAAATAGTTGCTGGTTGATCCAAGCTTTCAGCCTGGCCTGCACAGTCAAGGGCTACAAAATGCGTAAGTATGAAAAGCAAATTTGGGAACAAAAGCACAAAGAAGGAAGGGCAGTTGTATTGTTCTAATTTAGAAACTGGGCCAAAGCCCCTGAAGGGAAGAGGTGAAGGGACGTGAGTCAGCGTCTGCACGGAGCTGTGGGCTTGTGCCACACTGGGGATCTGTGCTCAGGACACACCCCCCCACCGCATCTCTCATCCTCTTCTACAAACGTCCCTGTCCCCCTCCCCAAGCAGGTCTAGGGGGCAGGTGTGGCCTTTAGCAACTCCTTGAACTTCCTTGAGTTACGATGGGAAGGGTCACAGATGCCCACACACGCCTGTGGCTGCTGCGGTTGGAATCTCGGTCATCAAGTAGCTCTGCCTCCAGACGCCCCCTCCTCTGAAGCTCAGAGAACCTCCACCGTGGGAAGACAGTTGGGAGCTGCAACAGGGTGTCTGGAGTTAGATTCCCACCTGTACGGAGGCAGGAGTTCCATTTCCGCCCCTCTGCCTCTTGCATCAGAACCCTGGACAGCATCTATGGAGGATGGCCTCCTTGGCGCCCAGCATGGGGCCTTGAACGTGACGCCCCTCCCCCACCTCTGCCTTCCAATCCTTACTACACTTTGCAGAGGATGAAGAGGCACTGGAGTTTGTTCTGACTTAGGATCAGATGTTCTGTTGACACCCCTTCTTCCGATAGACCGTACCTGCTCCCCTGGCTACCCCTGGGGGAGCCCATTCCCAGAACATGTGTCCTTTTTGTACCAGAGCTTTCCTCTGGCATTGGGACATGCAGATGTTATCTCTCCATGGCCCTTACTGGGTGGGAGGGGTCCCCTTCCAGCCTTCGCCTTACATTATCAAGAGCTCACTTTGTGGTCAGCCTTGTGAAGCAGTGCTGATACTGGATTTGAAGTGTGTGCCCGTGGCTGTGAATAAATCCACTCAGAGGGACTCGGTGCGTCGGAAGTTTGCTCTTACACCTGTGTGGTTTCCCAGGTCTGATCACGCCACGAGAGTTTATAAAATAACAATGAGAATGGGTGTAAGTTTTCATTTTTTTCTTCTTTTCCTTTTTCTTCTTTTGCCCCAGCTGACGATGGCTCCTCGTGTAAACTGCCGAGCGGGGAAGCAGGGATTATTTGGGACAGCATATGCTTTGCCTTCCTTCTGCTGCAGAGAAGAGTTTTCATGAGTTACTATTTCCTGCACGTCGTGGCGGATATAAAAGCTTCACAGATCCTGGCTTCGAGGTGGGTCAGGCCAAGGAACCAAGGGGTTTCTCTTAAGAAACCTGTCAGGAAGTGATATTGCACTCTGATTCCTGTCTGAGCTTGCTTGTAGAACCCACAAGAAATTAAGAGATTCCTTCCAGGGAAACTGATCCAAGAAGGCTTTAGCCCAAGGCCTTTAAGATCTAAAACAGAAGAGTAACAAGCAAGTCTATGGAGGGAATCGCACCTTATGAGGACTGGGACACCCTCGAAGGTTAAAGATGGACTGGTTGTCTGAGCCCCTTGGTCCAGACCTCATCACTGGAGTAGGTCCTCTGGCCTCGGTCAGAACAGGAACATAGGCCACGTCGGTCCAGAGTCTAGTCCGTCTCCCCCCACCCCCCACCCCCACTGCCGCCTCCTTTTTAAGAAGAAACTCCTGAAGATAGAGAAAAACATAATCTGTTATTTTTCAGACCGTAGACAGAGGAGCGTGTTACTCCAGCCTCACCCTAAACCCTTCCTGTTTGTCTTTCCTTATCCCCTTCCTTTCAGGCTCTTTTTCCCCAACAACCTGATTTTTTTCTTCTCTGGGCCAGTGGCACTGTTTATTACTTTCTCCTTAGATTCCCCCTTTTTCCATTTTCTGCCCCCAGTCGTATAGGTTTAGGGAAAAGACTGGGAAGAGACCTAGGTACTAAAGAGGATGCCATTGAGATGGGGGTCAAAGGGCAGCTGCATGATCCTCAAGAGCGAGCTTGTCTCTGAGACCCTGGCCCTGCCTCAATCCCATGGGACCCATGGTGCTAAACGACCTTATAAATGCTAGCTTGTATCATATCAATTACCAGTATTGATCATTCTGATTCTCTCTATACCACCAGTGTCCCCAGAGCCTATTTCTTCTCTGCCAGGAGAAGCAACATGTGTATTTCAAAGGTCCATTTAAAGGCTGAGAATTCCCAGCCATTGTTAACTAACCTGGAGCCAAATAGGATGAGGACCCAGTCGGGCACCTACATTTTTTTTTTTAACAGCTTTATTGGAGTATAAGTGCTTTACAATGGTGTGTTAGTTTCTGCTGTATAACAAAGTGAATCAGCTGTACATATACATATATCCCCATATCTCCTCCTTCTTGCGTCCCCCTCTCCCCCGCCCATCCCACCCGTCTAGGTGGTCACAAAGCACCGAGCTGATCTCCCTGTGCTATGCGGCTGCTTCACCCTAGCTATCTATTTTACATTTGGTAGTGTATACATGTCCATGCCACTGTCTCACTTCATCCCAGCTTACCCTTCGGGCACCTACATTTAATCCAAGGAGCCTTGCTGCACCCTCAGCCCTCACCATGTAGATGGACGCTGACTTCATTTAGGGACAGTAATTTACCATTACAGTTGTTTTCCTAATGCCCAGGACATCATTTTCAGAGCAGAACATAATGTCTCATCCCAATAGTAACCTTATTTACTTGTATGTAACAGCCGGTCCTTTTGCTAGCAAATGCATCTTTCTCACCTTCCCCTAAAATTCGGTCCTTAGACACTCAGGACATAATAGTAAGCCAGCATCTTTTTCTCAAAGTTGTCACAATTATTCACAAAGCATAATCCCCCTGTTACAGAAACTGGTGGCTTTGGTCAGAGTACAGCTCATGCTTGTCAAAAAACAACCATGTCTTAATAAGCACTGAACTCACAGTGCAACTTCCAAAGACTAGACTAGACATTCATTCATTCACTCGTTTGCCACCTGCTCTGTTATGAGGAGGTGGATGCTTGCCATGTGTGCCCTCCTAGAGCCTGCAGACGGGCAGGGAGATGGACCCGTCCACAAGCCGCTGCAGGTGGTGGGACGCACGTGATGCAGGAGGCATTCGGGAACCTGGGGATTGTAGGCAGGTGTGCAACCAGCCGCGGGGCAGGACCAAGGCAGCCTCCATTCCAAGCTACAGCCTGAGGGATGAACAGGAGTGAGAGGAGGAAGATGCAGGAGGGAGACAGCCGAGGGAGGTTACCGGGGGGTCGGAGTGGCTGGCACACAGACATGTGAAGATGAAGACAGTAAGTGGAGAGAAATAAGCTGCGGGAAGCTCAGACTATCAGGGGCCTTAGAACCACGTTTATGACTTTAGAAGTGGCCGCACTTGCTTTTCAGTGGGCTGCAGGACAGATGGGGTCTAAGCAGGACCATAGGCGAAGGGACCAGGTAGGTGGCTGCTCTGGTGATCCAGGATGGAGATGATGGCCGGGACCAGGAAGGGATAAATTAAGATAGTTCAGAGGTGAAACTGGCCCAGGTGGAAATCGATTGGTTGGCAGGGAGGTGGTCATGGGAAGGGAAGAGAGGAGGGCACTGTGCCCAGGATTCTGGCCTCAACAGGTGGGGGGGGGGGGACAGCCCCAAAGGTAGAGGGTCTGAGGAGCTCTCAGCCGGGAGCGGAGATGGGCTCCGACTGTGGAGCTGTGGGTCTCATGAGCTTGTGAAACACACACAGCCCGTCGGGAAGCCCTCAGGCAGCTGAGTGGACGGGTCTGGAGATGTGAGGAGACTTGAGGGTCGTCGATACGCAGACGGTGTTGGGACAGTGGAGTGATTGGAGCTGCCCAGAGAGAATGTGGAGGTGAGACAAGGACCCTGGGCAGCAGTCGCACCTCAGAGATGGGTGGGGAGTCTGAGCCAGTAGGAGAGCGTGGGCCCGAGGACAGCGGCTTCAGAGCGGAAATTCAGTACACAAGATACGCAGAGACAAGGCTGAACGCTGAAATCAGTGACCTCGACAGGTGGGGCCAGAGCCAAACACCAGCAAGTTCAGGTTGAGGTGACGGCTTGGGGATGGTGCCTGCAGGATATTTGACTGCAGGGACAGTGATGCAAGGCCGTGCGTAGAAACCCGTGCGGTGTGCGTGGTTCTTTTTCTAAGATTAGCAGACCCGAGCATGTTTGCATGCCTGTGGGCAGGATGCAGGGCAGAGATGCAGGAAGAGGGGCTGAGAGGGAAGGCCAGGGCCCCTCAGGCTGCGGATGGGGAGGCGCTGGCCATTGGCGTGGGCTGTCACCTTCTCCACGTCACCGCAGGAAAGGCCATCTGGGGTGGGTGACAGGAGGCTGAGAATCATTGCCTCGTGACTTTGTTCTCTCTGGAAAGCAAGCAGCTGGGTCGTCTGCCAGGAGTGAAAAGCCCTTGACAGAATTCTAGGTTGAAGAAAGTGTAAGGAGCTTGAAACAGCCGCTGTAGAAAAGCAGAATTTCCGTGGCACGGGGGAGGGGGCAGTTCACCAGATCCTCTGCCCAGCCCTGCATTCCTGCACCGCTGACACCCCGTCATCAGGCAGCACAGGACCGGCATCCCAACGGGCTCCCGCAGACGGGATTTGCCAGGCTGATGGGATGGACCCCAATGGGACAGAGCTGAGGATACGGAGAAGTTGATGAGCTCTAGGGGACCTGGAAGTGGCTTGAAAAGTGAGAAGGAACAGAAGGGAATGGAAGGACAGGAGGAAGAGAATCAAAGGGAGGGGGCTGGACGGCCCATCCCATTGCATTTCCCCTCACGAAGCCCCGGCTTGCTCCACACCCTTTCCTGCTTACTGAGTAGAAAATGAACCTGAACTCAACCCTCCTTAAATGTCCCCTCATGGGACGACCATAATGAGGGCAGGTCAGGGGCACAGGCTTTAAGAGGCTTGAAGAGGCCTTGACAGTCTCAGAAAACACACACCGTTTTCTTTTCTCTTATCCGCAGGGTTGTGAGCAGCCCCTCCCCCCAGGGGAGGCAGGAGGCGGTGCGTGTCCGTCCACAGGGAAGGGACTCCCACTCCCAGCCAGGCAGCTGCCCCCAAAGAAATGTTTTCTAGCCCTTAGTAACCGTTGTCAGGAGAAGGTGGGTAACACCGATAAAAATGCTCATTTGTTTCATGTTTCTGACTTTTCTTTTAGGGGGGCTGAACTTTTCCAGGCCACGATTGTAAAGGCTGTAAAGGCAAGAATTGAGGAAGAGAAAAAGTCCATGGACCAGCTTAAGAGGCAGTAAGGATGCTTTCCTTTTATTTGGGGTTTGCCTGGTCCCATTCTGCCAGCTCTCAGCTCCCAGGGAGCCCCAAGCCCTGAGGAATCCATTTGTGGTAACTTTCACAACTGCCCAGGTGTTTGCTCTGGGTGTTGACTGAAATGGAAATGGTCCAAAGGAGTAGAGCATCGGGGTGGGGGGAAGGGGGCCGCCATGGGCAGTCCTAGTTCAGATGCTTACTCTGGAGCCTTGGGCAGGTCTGTCGAATTCTCTGAATTCCAGTTTCCGTTTTTAAATCAGGACTCACAGTTCTACCTGAGTATTGGTAAAGATTAAACAGTTAGTGAATGAGACCGGGTCGTTCCCAGTAATACTCACTTGAAGTCCATCATATCTGTGGGTTAAGTGAACAAACACAGAGTTCTCACTTTGGAAGGATCTTTAGAGATAATGTAATCCAGTCTGTTTGGGAAGAAACTGATGACCCATGTAATAGATGACTTAAAATCCACAACTAGGGCTTTCCTGGTGGCGCAGTGGTTGAGAGTCCGCCTGCCGATGCAGGGGGCGCGGGTTAGTGCCCCGGTCCGGGAAGATCCCACATGCCGCGGAGCGGCTAGGCCCATGAGCCATGGCCACTGAGCCTGCGCGTCCAGAGCCTGTGCTCCGCAACGGGAGAGGCCACACCAGTGAGAGGCCCACATACTGGATAAAAAAAAAAAAAAAAAAATCCACAACTAACCAGAGGCAGTACTAGAAATACACCCCGAATTTCCCTGTATCCAGTTCAAGGCCTCCTTTCCCACCACACCATTCTGGAGAACTCAAGTAATGGACTGACTCCACCCGGGAGATCTGAGAATTCTTTCTTTCTTTCTTTTTTTAATTAGCCCACTGAAAATAATTATTCTCTTAGAGTGAAATTTCTAGCAGTAAGTGGAACCTCTGAGGATTGCTAGTGCCTCACATGTTTGGGGCCAGGTTTAACAGCTGATGGCCATAGCATTCAAAACCTAGCCACTTTCTCTAAGGAAATGGAGATACTCTGTCAGCCCACCAGGAAAATTCCCTGGTTTGCTAGGACTACTTAATTCCATCCTGACCTCATTTTTCCAGCTTCTTTCCCTGTGCAAAAATATTTGCCAGTAAAAATTACACTATCCCATGGCATGGTTATTTTCACAATCAAAGATATGAGTTATGTAAAACTATATATAATGAAAATACAGTATGGTATAACTATTACCATTGTTGTTTCTAGCTATCTAAATCAGGTGTAGAGAAATAACAAATTTGAACCCACATGTAGCATGTGTTCCGAATTTCCCGTAAGTGAGACCTGTTACTATAATTCATGTCACTGGATATTTCCATTTGTTTAAGAATGCATCCTCTCAAGTGAGAGGTCAGAATAAAAAAGAATGAAGGCAGTGATCATTGCAAAAGACAAATATTATTTAAGCTGCCCAAAACAGAAATGTCACTTAAATCAGTTTAAAAACTTGGGCAATACATTCAGAATTTTAAGAAACTAAATTAAGAAATGAAACCTTTCATGAGGGCAGATGTGGGAGAAAAAGCTCAGCATTGCGGTTTCTGAATAGACTTCCTGAATAAACAGACAAAAAGCTGCAATTCAGCATTTTTCCAGATCCAGTAAGAGATTAGATTTGACAGGGAAAAGAGTCGTAGGGTCTGATAGAATACTCGAGAACATTTGAGGAGCAACTTCCTATTTACAAAACAGTTCTCACGCGCATACATCTTTTCACCTGACCTTCACGACAACTATGTGAGGCAGACAGTATCTCAAAAGATAATGCAAAACCTGGGAGAATAAAGGATTTATATTTCATAATTTGCTGTGTTCAGAATGGCTTTGGTATAAGGTATAAGTGGACTTAAAGTATTTAGCATAATTACTATTGATCGTATGACTGAGCTAGCACCTGTGTAGTGCAAAATAACATGGGAAAAAAAAAACAAACCAAGGAGACGTGTCGCTAATAAGTAAGCATCCACAAGTCCCAAATGTTGACCACTTTGTCCATGATTTTAGCTGTTTGCATAAAAGTGTACAGGTAACTATGGGTGTGTTCTTGGCATTGCTGCTGCTGTTTTGTTGTACAGGATGGATCGCATCAAGGCCAGGCAACAGAAATACAAAAAGGGTAAGGAGAGGATGCTGAGCTTGACTCAGGAGTCAGGGGAAGGCCAGGACATCCAAAAACTCTCTGAAGAGGATGATGAAAGTATGTTGAAACATTTCCTTCTTAGCCCAGAGTACCTTGATGTTGAGTAAAAGCATGATATTGGGTAGGGCTGTGAAATAATGTTACTTTTCCTTCTGCCAGGTTTATCAATGTATCTTTTTAACTCAGCAAGTTTTATGTTCCCATTGTGAGTGGGATGTGTTTGTTTGTTTCATAAAGTACATATTTAATGAGTCTATGACTTTACAAGTATCCCCCAGTTCAGCAAGACGACTTTAATATAACCTAGCTTCTGTTTCTGTTTCACGGACGTGTGATTCTGAAGAAAATAGGATGAGTTTGCTTCATTTGTTCCTTTAGGGAAGATATTTAAGCTATGCAGTCTACTGTTGCCTTTGATTTCTATAAATTTTATACAAAAATTAAATATGTAGGTCTCTGAATAATAGTAGTTAAGATATCATTCAATTATGGTCTGTTCCAATGAAACTTAAGATGAAATACATATTTATTATATCTAATTATAGATTTGTTATATCCAATTAAGTTTAAAAGCTCTTTTTAAAGATGTTTGCTTGGTGGTTTTCTGTTTGAAGGGAATGGAGAAACAATGCATGGTATTCTGCCAGTGCATAATATCTATTTATCAACAGTAAATTTATGTTTTTCCAGCCATGCATTAAAATGATGACAAGAGAAATTTCTGGTTATTGGAATTATGCATTTTAACAAATTATTTGCCACTAAATTGTTCTATAATATTTGGGTGATGCTTCTTTTCTGTTAATTCCATGGAAAATTTACTGTGAGATGCATCTTTGACAGATAACCCCTTCATTATTATATTTCTTCATATGCCCTCAATTCCTAGAGAGAAAGTGAAAACGTGGCGTTACGTTAATAGAATACTGAGTATTTACCTTGTGAAACCGGCTGCTGACCCCTGTAAACTTTTCAGATTCAGTAGAGTTTCTTTTCCTGACTTCTGATGTACTTTTGCAACTTGTCTAGATTTTAACAATTGAGTTGTTAAAGCGTGGTTTTCAAAGTTTGTTTTCTCACTTTCTAAGAATTAATATTTGGACATATTTTATTTTAGGAGAAGCAGACAAACAGAAAGCCAAGGGCAAAAAAAAGCAGTGGTGGCGGCCTTGGGTTGATCATGCTTCCAGTAGGTTTTCTTGATCCTCTTACAATTTCATCGATTCTAACCCTTATATCCTTGACCAGAATTCAGGCGTCCCCATGACCTGTGTGTCCCATGCATGGTTTGACGCTTGTGACTTGATAGGGGTCAGAGGGTAGGAAATGTGATCTCTGTGGGTCTCTGAGCCCGACAGATGGAGTCGTCCAGAGCAATCAGCTGGTTACCTTGTGGCTTACATGCTCCCAAGTACCACTTACAGGCTCAGAAAGGGAAGAGGGATTAATTACTGTGTTATCCAATTCTGAGGTCCAGAGTTCTGCTGAGATGTATTTGTTTCATGGCTGAAAACCCTTCTTAAAAATGAGTTTCAGCTTTTCCTGGGACTCTGCTTTAAGGAGAACCGCTCTATTCGGAGTGTCCGTGACCCTCTTTGTAAGGTACTTGACGTGAATGCCAACGAGCACCAATGCCCTCCCCCCACCCCGCCCCATTCCCAGAGCTTTGATTCCATTTGCATGTAAAATTTCTGGGCAATTTATTAAACATAAAGATGAGGACACCTTAAAACACATTTACTTTCTCACGCTGCCTCCTTCCCAGTTTCAAAACAGCTCTAAAACTACACTCTAAATTCAATGCCCAACATGTGGCTGGCCTCAGAGGCACCCGCAGCTCAGCCAGGACCAATTCAGAGCAAAGTCAGAAGATGGTTTTGGAAAAGCAGAGCTTCATAGCCACACAGAATTGGAGCATTACCCTGCTGATCACAAGAAAAAAAAAAAAATGGATGAGGAATCGTGGAACTCAGTGGCTTTATCTGCTCCGCTTGGCAAAGGACACAGCACTCACTATTGGCAATGGTATTCTAATGGAATGATCCATTTCAATCTGGCCCTCCTTGAATTTGTTAGAATATTGAATAATTATTAATTATCTTGCAAATTACTCAAAATGTCTTCAGCCGTTTGCGTCTTATATTATGTCTCGATTACTGTAGCTAATGTAATCATACAAGTAATATCACCAAGGTCCGTAACATCAGCAGGGTGATATTCAGAATCACTAGAAAATCACATAGATCAGAATCCTTTCCCTCACCTAATTCTTACTGTCATTTAGATCTGGTATTGGCCTTTCACCCAAGAAATAATTTCCTAAAATCAACAAGCCCATTTGAGGAAGTGATACTCAAAATTTGCTCAGGATACCTGGATGTAATCAAATGTAATCCCAAATATTGAATTTTAGCATTATGGTATAAAAAAAAATCCATGAGTTCTAAAGAGTTTCACTTTATTTGCTGCTCAAAGACAAAGATTCAAGTTGAAATTCCGTGTGACTCGTATGGTCCACTGGCGTGTCAGTCCTGCTAACAATCTCGTAGTGCAGGAGCTGTGTGCCGATCTCTATCAAGTCACAAGTAAACTGTGCCGATCTTTCTGTTTTAAAGGGCCCTTTGCTAATTTAGAGAGACCTATCCATTTCAAAATGGTGTCATACTGACGTTTTGTCCTTTCGTCCAGGATTACATTCCTACTGCAATCGTTGTGGTTCTTTCCTTTGCTCATGTAAACATTGCATTTTGGAAGGAATTGGATATGGTCTTTGATCATCACCTTATGAGTTGGTTATCCTTGAAAGAACTTCTTCTGAAGGTTATTGACTTTAGATTTTCTGATTCATTTCACCCTCATTATATCAAGTTCTTGAAGGCTGGTATTACACTACCCGTGCCTGTTACAAGACTTCCAGTGCAATAATGCTGGGATGTGTGCCACTCATAGTTTGGAATCAGAGTCTGACCGTGGCGTTAAAATTTTTCTACAAAACATATTCCTTTTTACAAGCTGGTGAGGAAAGGAAAGGAATTGACATGAGGTTTATTTTGTAGACTGTGACGATTTCCAGAACTTGCCTGGAAGCACTTTATTGAAAGCCCTTTTTCTGATCTCTCTTGAGTCACTGGGCTTTTAAATATTCCTTAGAGGTGGCAAGTGTAAGAATAAGTGTCTTTGGAGTGCCCTTGTGTAAACCCATTGACGACGTAATAATGCTGTTACGTTGTTCATATTATGGGTAAGCATCTGAGATGCTTAACATGGTCTGTAGGGGACACCCTCTCAGTTCCACATCTATGTGCACACAAACCATTGCATCATTGCTGTTCAATGATACCTTCCATCCTCGTGTAGTGGGTCTCCGTGTCAATTCTGTACAGCCTAAGTCAGTGCCAAGCGTCACTTTATTGTCAAATATCTGAGATAAAGGGCCAAGTTCCTTTGGGATACAGGTGGTGGGATTTTAAGAGTCATTTTCACACTCAGCCGTCAGCATCAGCATTCGTGGTACATATATGGACCCAGGCTGGGGCAGGATAGCTATCAGAGCCCAGAAACGTGTATATAAGAGCTGCTCTACTTGTTATGAGCAGATAGAACTTCAGAAAATATTCTCTATTTCCTAGTTTTATTTCAGTAACAATTTATAAAGGAATTGGAGACTTTTAAAATACTTCCTTCTTTTTTTGATGTGTTAATTGTACTTGTCACATACAAATTGGCACCATTTTTCAAATCATAAAAATCAGTGTTATGACTGTGATGAAAAATGTTTGGACTCAGTATCCACATGAAAAAAAGTTATTGAAGGTATGATTGAATACAATTGAAGCTATTGTTGATTTTAGAGGCTATAATGAGGGTAAAATGTTCAATATTGGAAATCTTGGTTTTTACCAAATGACCACGTGACGTCAAGCCCATGTGACTTTCCCTCAAATCTCTGAGCTTATCTGAAGCATTACTTTCATGGTCACCCTCACTGTCCAACAGAATGCTGTGACTTTGGTTTGTTCTTGCTTATTCTTACCTTATTTTGAATTGCGTTTATTTCCTCAGGCTTAGGCCCAGTCCTCTGGGCCTGGTTCTTTCTTCAAAATAAAAATAACAAATTACAGTGCTTCTGTTCAAGGATATAAGGCCCAATTCATTCACACTGCATCTTCACGATGGAGGCTTCAGATTTGTCTGAAATCTGGGCAAAATTATTCACTGTTGTGTTTAGTGATATTCAAGCAACTAATTTTCAACAAGCCAAGGTTCCCCATGACCTTACAACAGAGAAGTCCAAAAGATAAATAAAGACATCACGTGATGTCATCCAAAAGACACCTCAGCATTTGAAAACACAAATATAACTTGAAAATATGAATATGTTTTCCTGCAATGATGGTACAGTTCTTGTAGCATCAGAAATGCACATGCTGGGTCTCTTTTCTCTGATAAAGTAATGATCAAATTGATAAAGATTCCATTCTCCAACTTCTTTAACTCTGTGAACATTTCAGCTCTCTCTGCTCCCGTGCTTAAGACAGCAGTATGTCCTGGTAGGGACAATGTCAGGCAAGGCAAGGACGATCCGTACTGTTTGTGCTTTGGGTCTTATGGTCGGCACAGTTCTCCTCAAATTTCAGTAAGTGACTGAGGGCTCCTGGTTGACCAGAAGCCTCACAGCGCTAAACTGTGTGGACCCTCTCTGCCGGACCTCCATCTGTCCCATTCTAGGCATAGAAACAGCCAGAGTGTGGTGGTGGTGCTCTTTTTCTGATGTTACCTGCCCATTTGCTCCTCATGACAATGTGTGATTTTTTTAAAAAACTCTTTCAAATGTCTTGCCATCTGTGTTACGGCCCCATGTCTGCACAGTATAAAGTGAAGGAGAAGGCTGGTGACACTGATTCTTGCTCCTGAATCATCCTGATTAGCTTTGCTACAGCAGTTGGGACCCATTCCGACAACAGCAAAGCCTCTGCTTCACTTTGGCCTTGCCTAAAGGCCCCAAAGTGCTGATAATAGTTTTCAGGCCTTTGGCCATCTTGGTAACAAAAGCGGTTGCTGCAGAGTTGATCTGGTGCATCTGTGTAAAATTTGCTATGAAAAAGGAAGAAGACACCAGATGAATGCAGCAGCGGCCAGGTCTCCTCGGAGGCCTGGACGAGGCCTGGTGCTCTGCAGACCACATAGCACCCCCTCATCTCCTGTTTCCTCCACCCCACCAACGTCTCTTGCTGTGGTCCTTTGAAGGAAAACTTGTGTGTCTTTGGGGGCATTTCATTCATACGCCCCCAGTTATCTCATATCTCTTCCAAGAAATAAGTAAATATTTTGTTTTGCTTAGTGGTCAGGAGTGGAGATTACTATTTGTTTGAAACGGACAGTGAAGAGGAGGAAGAGGAAGAATTAAAAAAGGAGGATGAAGAGCCTCCACGAAGGTCAGCTTTCCAGGTAATTACGGGGATGAGGGAATCACAGTCTTTGCTAGTTGAAGAGTTTTTCTTTTTGACAGACCTTGATTGCAGGCCTAGATTTCTTCTGCCGTGTTCATATGTTGTAGCTCCCAGAAGCGTCTGATTTACATCTGAAGTAGTGTGTCCCATCCTGCTGCTTGCTGTCAGCGTTGCCATCATTACTGCAAGAGTTCCTGCAAGAGCACTGGTCCAGCCAGGGCTTCGTTCATTTGCATAGAAAATTCTGATGCTCTATCAAAAATAAGGCTTCCTTGGGTGAACTTTCTTTTGCTGGCACTGCTTTGAATTGTTTGAGTGGACTTCTCGTTCCATAGGTGAAATAGTTGACCATGAAAATAAAATCCCTGCTTTGTTGTGAAAATAAACGGTCATTTCAGTGTTACTTCAAATTTTGAAAATCAGTTCCGTTTGTATTGCTAAAGATTTTAGAATGTATTAAAATCATGAAAACCTCCAGCCCAGTTTTGACGTTCTCAGCTTAACTGCCTTTCTTTTTCAGAGCCTGCTGTATCATTCTTGGTGATATGACTCACCAGCCTAGTATCGTGTATCCAGTGAATGTATAGTGCTTGTTAAAGTTGTGGGTTTGTCAGTAGAGTTACCTATGGGATGAAAACTTGGTAAAGATTTCTGTTACAAAGGCCGTATATAGGACTCTTCTTTCCCATTTGTTAGACTACAGGGCACACAGAAGGACGTCCATCCAGGCTCATGATGTGTCCATGAGAAGGCCATTGTCAGCTTGCTGGCCAGGTCTTCCCAAGCTGGCAGGTTATCGCCACCCCTGTCTTCCCAGTGAAATTGAAGAACTAAATTATTCACCGGGACACCTTGCTTTGAGGCTTTGTCACCGGCCCCATTGCCTCCTGTGTGTGTTTCTCGATGACAGTGTCTATGTGCATGTCTGTAGCTGGCTTATTGAATACTAATAACTTGACTTGTTTATTTTTATTCCAACGAGTTTTCTTCTAACCATCACGCATCATGCAGCAGAGGAGAGAACATGACCATCTTCACCATTTTTACAGATTACATGAACGATAGGCTATTTTCTTTATTCCTAACCTACAAGCAGGGTATATTTGATTCCACATTCAGTGATGAGCACGTTTTAACTTAGTCGATGTAATTATAGAGACAAACTCATACCAATGTCATATATTAAATGATCAGTTTTTGGTTTTTTTCTACTAATTACTCTTGCTTTGTCCTTCTTTGTAGAGAGCTATTGGGAAGTTTGCGTCAGCCATTTTAGCCTTGCCAAAGTCTGTCATTAAACTTCCCAAAACTATTCTTCAGTATTTAATCAGAGCTGCAAAGGTATTTGATGTTTTACTGATGTGTGGTGTGTGGCCCTCCGCTCTGTAGACCTTTAGACGAGCAGATCCCATTGCTCCACATCTGTGTTTTCCCTGTTCTATACATTGTATGATGAAGGAATTAGAAGAATTTAAAACATTAGGCAAACTTCCAAAAACTGTTCTGAGAAGACAAATTTCTTATTATGTGTTTTTCGGTGGACATCAGAGCCGATTAAAAAAATAGAAAGAGAAAATGCAGATACAGATCTAATTTCTCCCCTTCTCGTAGTTTCGCCTAAGTCACATCTCGTGTTAAAAGGTCACATCTGGTTGCATGCATCAGATATGATGTGTCAAAGTATGATCATTTTTCTCAGAAAGCTGGTAAAATTAGGAATCAGTAATAAAAGACTCATTTTGCTCCATCTCCTTTCTGGCTCCCTTTTAAGCCTCCATCTTCCTAAACTGGACTCTTCTGGCATCTTCTGCCCTGCGTTCAGCATCTCTCTTCACTGGGCTGAGCTGCCGTGGATGGTCTATGCAGCCGCCACACTCCATGTCGTCAGGGAGGCTGCTGGATAAACTGTTACAGTTATTTGTTAATTCACCCACTGCACCACAGAAAGCATCCGGCTACCTATGCTGTGGCCACTAAGTTACTGGAAATCATAAACAATGAATCGCTATTCTTGTACTTTATAGAAAGCCATTTCTCCTGCCTTAATCTGGAGTAAGCACTTGAACTAATAAAATGTTCCTCCCGGGTTTAGATAGCGAGGGAGACCTTTGCTTCTCGCCTTTCACCTGGGGGTCTTATTTAAGTGCAGGCTATTTAGATTCAGCAGGTCCAGTGGGACCTGAAATTCTATGTTTTTCTCAAGCTCCCAGGTGAAGTGTAAATGCTGGTTTGCCTTGAGTAGCAGGATCTCGACCTCTGGGCTCCTTCCCTTTTTAAAATGCCAGGATTCTGACTCTTAGTTTAATATTCCCTGTTGCCACTTCCCTGGGTTTCTTTTCCTCTCCCCTTTTATGACGGCACTATGAGTCTCTCCATTCATATTTAAGAATTTATGTGGAAGACTGCAATGTGATTATCCCCCATCTTACTGTAGAAACAAAAAAATTTTGTTACTGGCAACAAAAAGAAAGGTCTGGATCACAACTGAATTAAAGAACATTTTAGAAAACAACCAATTTCAGTTAAAGATCTACACTTCCATAAAGTTCTCTCCTGTTTCAAAAATTAAATGTATTTTGCATAAGAAGTTTTCGGTCAAAGGAATCCCATTTCCCTAACATTTACAGTGAAATCACTCAGGGGAGAGTCTGAGATGAAGTTGGGCCAGTGGCAGTAGCAGCTGGAGAAGCCGGACGTCATTTATGCACATTTTCATGTGTTTTTCTCCTTAGCATCAGTGTGCGTGTGTCTGTTCTCCAGAGACACCATGACAGTGGGTGATAGTTACCTCTGTGACTTCAGAACTGAGATGTTTCAGAACGAAACTTAGTGTCTCAACTCTGTAAGAATTGGGATGTTTCCTCTTCCTCCTTCATTATCAACTTTTTCCTGAAACAGTTGGCCTGATCCTCTGTCCGATGTTCCTGGAACTGTAAAATATTTGTATTTCCAAACATCGACATAGAGATCATTTACCTACAAATGAGGACTTGTCATAATAGTCTCTCCGTCCCTCCTTTCCCCTTATTTGCATGATCCAAACTCTCATCTCAATGAGAAAGCACCAACAGGATCAATCATTTAAGGACCACATGTAGCACCAGGAATGCCTTTCCAATAAGGCAACATCTGAGTGGCCCGAGCCGTTTCTACGAGACTCCTTCAGTTCTGTCCTGAACCCACCCTGCTCTCTCCTTCCCACCCTCCCTCCCAGAGGCTTCATTTTTCTTCAGAGCAAAAGACTTGTGCACCTAATACATTCACAAATCCTGAATCACTTTCTTATTTTCTACTTTGGCATTCTTGCTTTATCTAAAACCAGTATCATAATAACACTTTTTTTAAGGAAATGTCACCATATGTATCTGTTAAGCCTGAAAATTTCTCGAGTTTAGCAGTTCAGAGTTTTTTTAAAAATCAATATTTTGCCGAAGCAAGTTTGCCTATTAACATCCTAAACCTCAGAGATACTCTTAATAGAATTCCCAATTAACACGCTCAATAAACATCGACCGTAAATCCCTTTTTTTGGTGCTTCTCCTTCAAATTCCAGTTCTTCTCACTTTCCAAAATATGTTTTTGGCATAAAATAGGATAATTTTTGGCCTCCTGTGTTTCTTATTCAGAAACTGTACAGATCTTACATGTGTGTGAATTGCCCGTAAGATTCAGATTTCTACCTGTGAAGAAAAAGGAAATGTTCTGTCTTAGTAACCCATGACCTTTACATTTCCATGTATGGAAAAGTTGAATCCCTCTTTATTTTTACAATGCCAGTGGTTTGCTTACACTCTGTTTTTCAAAGATTTCAGAAATCTGAAAATAATATAGAATAAAATGAAAGTGTCTGGGTTTTCAAGCGCCCCCAGGAAACACTCCTTTAACTTTATCTTCATAATAGAAAACCCAGCTTCCCTGAGACCAGGTGTGTGTGGGTGCACGCAGAGCATGCTGCTCGGCTTCGAGGTTGTGGATGGCTGACTTTGCGTATCAGGGTTTTCTTTCTGTTCCTTCTGCATGACTTGGGATACTGTTGGTGGGCGGGCTGTTCACAATTGCTCTGTTACGGTTATTGGTTGTACTGTATTAATGCAACTGTTTTTAGCTATTGAACGAAAATGACAAAAGGCAACCAGAGGCACCCCAGTTTTCCTTCTGTACCATTCTGGAATAACCCCTTAACCTTCATATCACATTATTTTTCCTCTCCAAATGCTAATCAATCTACAAAGCCCTTTCTCAAGTTGCTGGTAGTAGCTGTTATTCACAAGAGAGAGTATTGGGAATTCCCTGGTGGTCCAGTGGTTATGGCTCCATGCTTCCACTGCAGGGGACACAGGTTCGATCCCTGGTTGGGGAACTAAGATCCTGCAAGCCGAGTGGCACGGCCAAAAAAAAAAAAAAAAAAACAGAAAAAAGAAGAGAGAGTATCAAACATGCAAAAGTATTTTCCCAAAGTAAATGAACAAAAGATGTTTTGGGTTTAACTCAAAGTTTATTTGTGCCGGGAGAAAACGAATGACACTTAGCCAGGCTTCCAGCTTGTTCCTAGCGTGTATAATGCAATAGGATCAGGAACTAAGTGTCACAAATGGTGGTGGGATGTGCGGATGTGGGAGAAATGGTGGTTTGTAGACCCAAAGTATTTCATGATTGTCTGATACCGAACAAAATATATGCCTACAACATCTGTTTTCACATTTTATTTCATGATAATGGAAATAGCACAGGTCAGCTCAGTGTATTGAGGGATATGTGAAAGAGAAGTTTACTTTGTGTTCAGAGAAAAACAAGATTCTGAAGGTCAGGAAGCTTGGTATTGGTCCCTTTTCTTTTAATTCAGCTTATTAAAAATCCAGAAAATAATGGCACTTTCTCCCTTCAGTTTGTTTATCAAGCCTGGATTACTGACCCTAAAACAGCACTCCGACAGAGGCGCAAAGAGAAAAAAAGATCTGCAAGAGAAGAACAGAAAAGAAGGAGAAAAGGATCTGGGGACGGTAAGTGATGAATGCGGCAGCACCCCTGCTTCTGTGACCTTGAACACAAATGAGGAACCGCAAAGGACAAGCTTGGGAGGAATGAAATTCTTGACTTCTAAAGAGTGCAAAGAGTTTTACTTACCCTTAATTACTCAGGTCTTGGAATAAAGTAAAACATGAATTTAAGTTAAGGTGCATTTTATGAAGTGAGAAGAGAGAGAGAAGAAATATAAACCTAAAGAAAGTAGAAGGAAAATAATAATTTTTAGGTGGATATTAAGTCATAGAAAAGAAATATAAGACACAACCTGATTATTAAGTGAAAAGCTGTTCTTGGAAAAAACTAATGATAAAGATGAACCTATGGAAATTTGATCAAGAAAAAAAGGGAAAGCACAATTAAAGTGTAGTCAGGAATCAGAATGGAACATAGCCACCAGTGCCATATTCAACATTATACCGATTCATTTGAAAACATATGATAGGAACACATCTCTAAGGGGGAAAAGAATTCCAAACGACAGTAAAACACACCAAAAGCAAAGTTAAAGAGCAAGTGGGGCAATCAGGAAAAATATTTTCATTATATATCAGACTAAAGACTAGTGTTCCGGATATATTAAGAACTTCTAAAAATCAGTAAAAGAAAAATTCAACCCAATGAATGAACGGATGTGAAAAACAATTCGAGATCAGAAAATAGAAATGGCCAAAAGGAGCTCAATTTCAGTAGCAGTACAAGAAACACAAACTAAATATTTTGACATACTGTTTTTTTAACCTATTGGATTGGCGAGAACCTAAACATTTGATAGTATCGCTGTTTGGAGCTAGTGGGAGCATACATATTTGTGGTGTTCTAAAGCAGCATATCCACTTTGAAGAGCAGACGTCAGTATCCATGAAAATTTTAAATGTGTGTCTCCTACCAGAGATCTGTCCCACCTCCAGGTGTATGGCTTAACTTGAATCAATATTTGCACATGAGCACAAGCACACGTGTCTAAGAATATTCATCAAACATTATTTATAACTAACAAAAATTTGGAAACATCCTGAATGCCCACGTAAAGAAGAAGAATCAAGTAAATTATGTTACCAATGTATTATGGCATACGACTTAGTAATTTAAAAAATGATATGGGCTACTTTGAACTGACTTGGAGAACAATTCCTGACGTATTGTTAAATGAAAAGCATTATGTTGCAAACTGGCATGCACATTATGAAACCATTTATGAAACAAAGGAAACCAGAGTGCCTCCAGACAATATTTTGCATTTTTAATGGGTACATATAGTCGTGTATAAATGCCAGAGGAAGATCAGGAAGAATACTTAGCAAGTTAATTACAGTGGTGACCTCTGGCAGAGGGTGGGGAGAGACTGAGATTAAGGGGTAGGATTCAAGGGAACTTTAGCCTTGTTATATTTTAGCTCTTTACAAAGAAAATGTATATATAGATTCTTTGTGAAATTTAAAATGTATTCAAAAAAAGAAAAGAAAAGGAAAACATAATTTCTAATGGAACTCTAATTGCAAAGCCGTTCTCCTTTTTGACCACTCTGGTCGCTGCTACCTCCTGGTAGCTTTTATTTTAGTTTAGTTTATTGGTTTAAAAAAGGCAAAATTAAGACACAGGCAATGTAGCGAGTCAAGCAATAAAGAAGTGGATGCACAGTCTGGCCTTGAAAGCTACCCTAAGGCACCAAATCCCTGCATTGGTTGTGCTCTCTTCCGCCCCTTTCCTGTGATGTACAGGCAGTGTTTCCTTTGTTTCAGAAATGAGTCCATGCCGTCCAAATTCTCCTGTGCGTTCATCGGCAATGTATCACGAACACTTCTCCAATTAAGCATTTATAAAGCTATATCATCCTTTTTTAATAGCTGCAAAATGTTCTATAATATGGATATGCATAATTTATCCAACTCTTCCATCACTAATGGACATAAGGTTTGCTTCCAGATTTTGCCACGATTAAGAATGCTGTCATAGATATCCTTGCACAGAAGTTCACATATAGTCGTGTGTGTGTGTATTTAAATGCATGGCAAAAAGTCAGGAAGAACACACACTTTCCACAAAATAGATGATCAAAAGTGGGATTTCTGGGTTAAAGTGGGTGCTTTAATAAATATTTTCCCGAAAGGTTTTAGAAATTTATACTCCTATGTACAAGGTGCAGGAGTGTCTATTCCCCTGTAGCCTTATCCCATAGGCTATTATTACTCTTTTTATTGTGTGTCTTTCTCAAGGATGACAAACGGCTTTTATTTTCATTTGAATTTTCCTAACTAATGAGATTGAGCATTTTTTATTTCATATTTTCTTGGTATTTTTTACTTTCAAATCTGAGATTTAAAACGTTTATCATGTTCCATACTATCATTCTATTGGGTTGTTTGTCTTTATTAATTTAGGAAATATTTATATGTTAGGGATATTATCCTTTTTTATGTGTTACAAGTATCTTTTTTCCAATCCAATGCTTATCTTTTGATTTAGTTTATGGTATATATTTTCTAAGCAATGTTTAATTTTTTGTGATGTCAAATAGGTCCGAATTTCTTTTTGCAATTTCTATGTTTTCATCTTGTTTAAGGAAGTCTTCCCCTCCAATTTTATGCAAATGTTTTCTTATATTTCCTCTTAATTTTATTTACCTTTTGAATTTTTTATTATTCTGTGAAGTAGAGCTCTATTATGATAAACCTGTTCGGTAATGTCTTCCTTTTTCTATTGAAGTTAAATGCTCCTTTTCTCAATATTAAGCTCCCATTTGTGGTATGGCTCTTAGGTATGTTTCTGGACTCTGTATTCTGATCCAGTATCCTACTGTCTAGATGTGGGCCACTGTCTTATATTTTTGAGTCCAGTAGCTAGAGTTAGTTTTAATATTTAGTGTTGCAAACTTCCCTCACTATGCTCCTTTTTTCAAAATTGTATTTGCTATTCTCAGACATTTGTTCTTCCAAAATTATTGGGCCAATTCTAAAAATTCTTTAGTCACCTTGTTAATATCTCATTAGTCTGTATCATGAAGATTATTTCATGCGTAGATGCACCATCGTTTACCTACAAATCTAGGACAGCAATAATTCAAAGATATAGGGACAGAAATCAATGTTTATTTCTTTAATAAATATTTATTCAGCACCTTCTTGATACAAGGGATCATCCCTTCTTCGTCGGCAGATGAAACAAGTAGCACCTGTCCTTCCAGAGTGCCAGCTGCCTTTGTGCTTTCTGTGCAATAACTCACTCGCCCCTCACTCCCTGCCCTACACTTGGGGATGTGAGGTCCCAAAGAGTGAAGGAGCCTGCCCTGGTTACAGCCAGCCGGTGAGTGGTGGGTCTGGAATTCATAGCAGGTGTCCTGGCTCCAGACCCCTCCACCTTAACCAGTAGGGAACACAAATATAGGGGAAAAAATCCCTGTTGACATAGAAACTGCAAGGTTTCATTTAAAAAATAAGCATACATAGAATAGTGTGGGACCAGAGGACAAAAGGTGACTTATGACCCAGAGTGCAAAGGAATACAGTACTTCGTGCAAAAGATAGTCTTTGAGCAGAGCCTGGCAGAAGAAAGCAAGTTCATGCATGAAAACTAAAGAACAGGTCAGCTTAGCTACTAAAGACGGGATGTGAAACAGAGCAGCAGAAAAGAGCACAGTAGAAAATAAGTTTGGGAAGATTAACTGGAGTCAGGTTGTGAACCGTCTTTCATAGAGTTACCAGATAAAATACATGAACCCCGGTTCTAGTTGAATTTTTTAGAAAAACAACAAATAATCTTTAAGCTTCAGTATAATTTGGACATATTGCATGGCATTTACTTACACTAAAAAATGATGTGTGGGGGCTTCCCTGGTGGCGCAGTGGTTGAGAGTCCGCCTGCCGATGCAGGGGACGCGGGTTCGTGCCCCGGTCCGGGGGGATCCCACATGCCGCGGAGCGGCTGGGCCCGTGAGCCATGGCCGCTGAGCCTGCGCGTCCGGAGCCTGTGCTCCACGACGGGAGAGGCCACAACAGCAAGGGGCCCGCGTACCGCAAAAAAAAAAAAAATGTGTTATTTATCTTAAATTTAAATTTAACTGGGTGTCCTATATTCTCATTTGCTATATCTGACAACCTCAGCCTTAAAAGAAGAGGCTAAGAAATAAAATGAAACTCTGTGATGTCATTTTAAGGGTGACCCACTAAAATTTATAACATTACCCCAAGGTGTTCAAAATTACAACTTCACAGCGTGTAACAGGAGTCAGCACACTTTTTCTGTAAAGGGCCGGATGGTAAATATTGTAAGTTTTGCAGGCTGTAAACTCCTGCTGCAACTCAACCCTGCCATCTTGGGATGAGAGCAGCCTTGGACGGTATGTCCACAAATGGGTGTAGCTGCGTTCCAGTAAAATTTGAATTTCATGTAAGTTTCATATGCACAAGATATTACTGTTCTTCAGACTTTTTTCAACTATTAAAAATAGTTGAACTCACAGGCCATTTAACAACAGGAAGCAGGAAAGATTTGGCCAGAGGACTGTAGTTTACCCACCCCCAGTTCCATGATTCTCATTCTGGAGTGGAGTGAAGAGAATCTGAAAGCTCAGAATTCTTATGACTTTTCCCCAGGAGCTCTTCAAATCGGCAGAATGTCCTAGACTTCATTATAAAATTCCTTTGAATCCAGAAGAGTAGTGTTGGCATTAATTTACCCTAAAAGGATGTAACCCGTGTTTCTCGAACAATCTTGGCAGGTCCTGTGGAGTGGGAAGACCGGGAGGATGAACCGATCAGGAAGAAGTCTGATGGACCAGGTAACAAAATAAAGGCTCCCATCGGCGGGGGGCGAGATTGGAATTTGTTTCTTGCCCAGATAGTACGTAATGGAAGGCTGCCTGAAAACAATGAATTAAATCCTTTTGCTGGACTGTGACTTAATAATCAGTGTCCCTTGAAATCTCATCTCTAGTGAAATTGCAAAGGGACTCCAAAAAGTAGACCTGACCTTTACACTGTGGGATGAAATGTTGGATTAGAGTCGGCTTGTAAATTCCTTTATCCAAGTACCTATGAAAGGGAGTTTGGAGAGCAACTTGTAAATGTCCCAGGGAAGCCATCAGAGTAGAGGCACAAAAAATATTGACAATTAATTTAAAGTACATGGAAAAGGAGTGAAGTGAGAAGTAAGTAAATGCGGAACTGAGCGGGCCTCCAGGCTTGGGCCAACCTCCTCGTCTTAGGGAAGAAAACCAAACCCCACTGCGTTTCCTCAGGACTCCACACTGTGGGGGACAGAACCGGTGTCGTCTAACTCCTAGCCTGGTCACGGTGCCGTTTGGGCTTCACGGAGTCCACAATTGGGAGGAAGATTTCTCCATCAGGAAAAAAAAGAGGAGAAACAAAAGCCTCCAAATGCAATGAACCCAGGTGCCTCTTGGCTCCACAGACGCTGCTTCGTCTCTCATGGGGCTGGCATTCCTGTAAGCATCACTTAGCAGCAGGCAAGGTTTTCAGGCTCTTTTGCTCTGGACACAAATACATCCAAGGATGCCATCTGCTGACATGAAATGAGGCTTCCTGAATGCCCTCCAAGCCCTCGGAGGCACAATCCTTGAACCTGGCCTCCACGTCCAGGTAACCGGCTCATGTGTCTGTGGGACCACATACCCCTTTATTGCTGCAAAGCTTTATCACGCTTTGCACGGCACAGCTCCTTTGCCAGGCACTTTTCCATGAGCTTTACACGCATCGACTTGTTCAACCCCCTCAAAACCCTCTTCCCCATTTAACCAAGAAGAAACTGAGGCAGAGAAAAATTAGCCCACTTCTCCAAATCTACACAACCACTTGGGTAGAGTTGGGATTTGGATCCAAGGACTCAGAATCCAGAGTTTGTGCTCTTAACAACTATGCCCTCTGGCCTCTATGGTTAAAAAATAAACAAGAATAAGAATCCTAATTTCCCATGTGAGTCTATGATCACCCCAGTGGGTAAAGTGCACGTTATGTTACACAGGGCTCCAACATAGTAACACCATAAGCAAAACCGCAAAATAATTAGGCTTATCTTCACAGCTTCTAACAAAATAATTGTGAATATATGAAAAAAAATAGGTCGTCAAAAATACTAAGATGCTGCTAAAGTTTATCAAGTTTAGTCCTTCAGCCTCCAGGGGTCGAACTTGCCTTTGATGTCTACACGAAGAGGCTGTGGGCAGTCAGTATCTGCCAGGTGGGGCTCTCTTGGCTGGTTCCTCTGGGCCTGCTTGACCCGGAGGCTCAAGGCCCCTTCTCACTACATGGTTCCCCCAGCTCCTTTTCCAGAGTCCCAGCTAGCAGCTCCAAGGTTCCTGTGACCTCAGTAGGTAGCACCGTCTACCGCTTCCTTGTGTCTCCCTGACCCACCTGGACCATGTGCGGAGCCCACACTCTAGCTAAGCTTCCCTTGGATGGATTTCCTTTGGAAAGAGCAAAATTTCACCTGAGAGAAGTTCTGCCTTTCTCCTAGGCCACCCAAATGCACAAATAATTTTTTTCCATGACAAAGTCAAACTCTGGTTCATGTTTCAGTCTCTAAAGTAGAGAGAGGACAGTGACCAGGGGTGGGCCCTACACCTGGGCTAGAGGTTGCACGACTCTACCACTTCTGGGCTAAATCCCACCTGCCACCTGTTCTTCTGTGGCTTGTTAGCTAAGAATGACTTTTACCATGTTTCATGGCTGGAAAAAAATCAAAAGAAGAAGAGTATTTAATGACATATGAAAACTATGGGATTCAAGTGTCAGTGTCCGTCATTAAAGTTTGGTAACCCAGGCTTGCCCATTGATAAACGATCCACCCACTGTCTACAGCTGCTTTCACACCAGCACAGCCGAGATGACCAGAGACAGCAAGGCTGCAGAGCTGGAAATGTGTACTGTACGGCCCCATCCAGAAAATGAGCCCCCCGCACAGAAAAGCTCATGTCAGAGAATTTTGTCTTTTTCTACCTGCTGTATTAGTGACCTTAAACTACAACCATTCCAAACGATCATCATTAATCATAAATTCATTACGATCTTACTATGACACTTGAATCTGATTTCCTTTTTCTGGTGAGAGGAAGAGTGAAGGATACAGGTTGTTTTTCTTATTGAGGGTCTTGGTGGTGGTGCTTTGATTTTTTTTTTTAAACAATAAGGCAATTCTTAATTCATTGTCCTGTTCACTAAGTATTCCCTTTATTGCAGTCAGTGTTTGAAATAGCTAATAAAACTAATTTTTTAAAAAGCCAAAGTAAAAAAATGTACACATGGATGGTGATTTGGTGATGTGTCTTGAAGCGTTCCTTGTATACCAGTTGTAAAAGCACCGATTTACGAGAAGCAATGAGTGAGACAGACGGTTAATATGGCATCTTCCCTCTTTTATTTTGATTCTGACCTAAAATAAGTTACGTCACAGCCGTGACCCAGAGTTCACATTGAATTCTGGGGGTGCCGGAGAGGCACGACATCAGGGACACGGTGGGACCCCGAGTGGAGCTTGTCACACGCGGCCTCCCAGGCGGGTCCCCAGTCACAGCTGAGATGAGAAAGGCAGCCCAGGGTCATCGGGAATCTCGGGGCTCCTGTGTTTTGGAGAGGACTGACCCCCACCCACAACCCCCGGGGAAAATTTTGTAGTTAGCACAGCTTGATGTCATTAAACACATATGGACAAGATAAGTCAGTGGTTTAGATAGACCCTTAGTGTGTGGACTGAATTCCCTACAGAATACCTTTGAGGTGGTTTAGCTGCAATCCAGCTGCAGTGAGAAGCATCAGAGTCTTCTGAGCCAACAGAATTGTTTCCCACGACAATTGTTACTTAAGAAAAGAAGAAACATACAGGAAAAGTGTTAAAGGACCCAGTTACCTGGATAGATACAGACTGTTTCTGTCCCTGCGTCAGTAACAAATATCTTTGAGCACAATCTCTACTTTTAATCAAACCTGTTAACTGCATACAGACCTATTCTGACTGATGCTTTGACCCAAGGTTAAAAACTCTATCCGCGGGCTTCCCTGGTGGTGCAGTGGTTGAGAATCTGCCTGCTAATGCAGGGGACACGGGTTCAAGCCCAGGTCTGGGAGGATCCCACATGCCGCGGAGCAACTAGGCCCATGAGCCACAACTACTGACCCTGCGCGTCTGGAGCCTGTGCTCTGCAACGAGAGGCCGCGATAGTGATAAGGCCCACGCACCACGATGAAGAGTGGCCCCCGTTTGCCACAACTAGAGAAAGCCCTCATACAGAAATGAAGACCCAACACAGCAAAAATAAATAAATTAATTAATAAACTCCTATCCCCAACATCTTCAAAATAAAAAAAAAGCATTAAGTCCCTGGAATTTATTAAAAAAAACTCTATCCGCGTTTGGTTTTGGTGCTTCCGCAGCAGGTGTGGAAAGGTCCCCCCACGGCTTCCTAGCCTGCGGTCCCCACGACGCCCCTGTCACTCCATGTTGGGGACGAGGGCAAAACCAGGGCTGCCTTTGGTAAAATACCACACACAGCACCGCGGCTGAGGGCACGATGTCCCTTTAAATCGTGTTCTCTTCTTCCTCCTAGATAATATCATCAAGAGGATATTTAATATTCTGAAGTTCACCTGGGTCCTGTTTCTGGCGACCGTGGACAGTTTCACAACGTGGCTGAACTCCATCTCCAGGGAGCACATCGACATCTCCACCGTCCTGAGGATCGAGAGGTGCATGCTGACCAGAGAGATTAAAAAGGTAGCACTACTGGCATGATTCTGAAAGTCAGTATACAGAGCCCCAAGTAGGATCAGACAAAATCCATTCTCTCTAGACAGTCTTTACATAACCCCTTTGCTTTTTTGTATATTTAAGTCTGTTCCATGCTCAGAACGAAAATAATCAGACACCACACACACACTCACACAGTCCCCGGATCTCGGCCAGTGGGTCCTTTCTGTCCCCCCCCCATCACCACCGTTTGCAGCTGCGCAGGCTCTGTCGTGTCTCATGAAGGGGCATGTTGTATAGTCTGGCAAGTTTGATGTGAAACTTCTCATAGGGAAAATTAGGATATATGCAGAGCCACAAAATACAGCCATAGATGGTTTATAGATTACATTTGAAAACAATCGTTCATTGCTGGAAAAGTTACTCTGACTTAGCAAAATTATCTACATATAAGAAGGGCTTTCTTTTTCAATATTTTAATTTTAGTTTTGGAGATGTAAGTGACATATAACATATTAATTTCAGGTTTACAACATAATAATTTGGTATTTGTATATATTGTGAAATGATCACCACAGAAAGTCTAGTTAGCATCCATCACCACACCTTGTTATAAATTTTTTTCTTGTGATGAGGACTTTGAAGATCTATTCTCTCAGTAACTTTCCAATATGCAATACAGTATTGTTAACTATAGTCCCCATGCTGTACATTGCGTCCCCAGGATTTATTTATCTTATAACAGAAAGTTTGTACATTTGACCATCTTCACCCATAAATGAGAACGGGTTTCTGTTCAGCATGACCCAGTCACATCGGGCACCATTAATTCAATGAGTTAATGTCGATCCCCAGCTTGACTAGCTTGGCTTTTCATCCTATTCAAGGTGTGCATGATGGTGGAGGGTTGTCCGTATTGAGCAGTGCCAGGCCGCTGCACAGGCCTAGTGCTTCGTGAGGACCGTGACAATGTCTCCTTCTTTGCAGGGCAATGTCCCGACCCGGGAGAGCATCCACATGTACTATCAGAACCACATCATGAACCTTTCCAGAGAGTCGGGACTGGACACCATTGATGACCGTCCTGGCGCCACCGCAGGTATACAGACAGCCCATAGGATGGACAGCTTAGATTCCCACGACAGCATCTCCAGGTACGTCACGTGCTCCACGATGGTGTTGCTTTTGACAAAGGTAACAGAGGTGAGAAATGATGGGTGAGGTGCAGATTGATCAGAATCATGCGGGGTGCCCAGCCATTCCGGGCTGTCTCTGTGGCCACAGCCAAGCAGAGCATTGCCTGTCCCTGGACCGGGCAGATAGAAGCAGGAATCAATAATAATTATTAGCAGGAGCTGTATGATTCACAGCCACAGGACCGGGATTTCCAAGCTGGAGTCAAGTCAGATGGACGAGCCTTCCACATCACAAAATGACGAATTGTATCAAGAGCTGCCTCTTTAATGCCTTTAAAATGCTGCTCCAGAAAGAATCTTCTGTTCTAGAATCTTCTACTATCTATTGCCATCCTTGATCTTTTTCCTTTCAGAAACGTTACTTTATGGTTCGTAATTTTAGAAATTTGAGACGTGGTTCTGTCTGCCCCCATCTTCCGCATTGTGTGGTCACAGCCTTACTTCACACAGGCACCTGCGCTGACCCTTCACCTGGGGCTGCACTAAACACTGTGCATGGGTTTCTTCACTTTATCCTTAAAAGACCCTTCGAGATGTACTGTTATCATCCCCATTTGACAGAGACATGAGCCTCTTCTGAAATTTCATGAGGCTATAGACTATTTCCCAAAGGGGGAAACCACACATAATTACAAATTTTTTATGTAGAACTTCAGGGGTTTCACGGGCCTCCAGAATATTATATGTGAGCCTGGCTTAAGAATAGTGGTTCCAGAACCAAACTCTGAACCAAATGAATCAAAGAGAAAATTAGAAAGTAAACTGAAAATCAGTTGTTCATAAAATAAACATACATGATTCGTTATTCCTGAAAGTTACTTATTAGTAACTTTCAGCTGTGTAACCACTGAGAATGTGGTCAATTAAGAAAGTAACTAAGTACTGTAAATCACAACTTTAGGAGGTTGAAGAAGAAAAAGAAAATAAAGACTGGCCAAAATAAAATCAAGTAACTGCCTTTAAATCTGATCCAAGGTGACAAACATAAAGCTGCACCCATAGTCAAAAACGGTGAGGCAGGAGATTTTTAAATCCATCGACTGCTTTTTAACAAAGACTGTCAAAGTATTCCAAACGTTTTTAAATGGTCAATCCGTCAATACATTTACTAGTAGGAAGCCAATACCTTTAAAATTACTTTTTAATGTTCTTTTACTCTTTATTTGTAACCTAAAGAAAAGGGAGACACAATAGGTTCATTATGTCATTAGTAGCTGAGTGAACATATTTGCCCTTTCCTTAAAGGCTGAGCAGAGCTTCCAGTTTCTTTGTTTAGGAAACTTTCAAATCATGTGTCTGCATTAGAGTCCACAGGAAGCCTTGCCGATTGCTGGGGAGGCAGTGACCTTCTCTGGGAGGGACTCCCAGCATGGAAGCTTGCTCTCCGACACCTGTGCCCTGCGGCAGGGTAGTGTCAACCCTGGTGGGGACATGGGGACACACACGCTCCATGGGGCCCGGCCCCTTTCCGAGGACCCAGCCTGCGTGGAGCCTTCCTACTCACCCCATCTCACCCGCTTTTCCCTCTGGCAGACAGTAGAGGGGGTCAGGGTGGGAACCTAACAAAGGAGTTTGTATTCCCTTTGACTTATTGGAATCGTCCCGATTTCCTTCAAATCCAGTTGTAAAATAGCGCTTTTTAAAAAAATCGTTGTTTTATGAAATCGGATATCCTCTACCTTCCCAGGAAATAAATTAGTTTAAGTTCCGTCAGGAAACGGTGACATTCTAAGGAACATTCCTAGATATGACCAGAGTGGTTATCATTTGAAATGTGTGCTGTGTGCCCCTGGGGTATCTCGATGAAGACATTGTCTGATTAGATTTGTCATCTGTTATTGTGAAGCTTCTCCTCTTCCCTTTCACTTTTAAAACTGTCCTGGCTTGGATGACAAATTGGTCCACTGCAAATAACCCAATAGTCTGGGGTTGTGTGGGGTCCGAAAGTGGGCTGATGTGACAGTACAACTCACCTAAGAATTAACAAGGTTAATAGGACTTTGGGGTCAGAGCAATGATACCCGTGCAGAAAATCGAGCAGGTGAGGGCGCACAGCATCTTTCTGCTGCCAACTCCCAAAAGGCCATGGGATCCACCTCTGAAAATAGGAAATGACACAGAAGCTCACAGATCCAGTTCCATCATCTCATAAATGATGAAACCGACCCCGAAGAGGGGAAGCGCTTTATCTAAAACCCAGCAGGCAGCCAGTGTCGGTCGGCGTGGAGACCCAGGCCCAGGCCCACTGTGCTCGTCCACTGCGTTCCTAGTTCATCTCCCCATCATCTCCTCTTTTTGTCCAGGACGGGTTGACATCTAAAGGAGTCAATGTCATTTTTTTAAAATCCTTATTAGAGACTGTTTGGTTGCCTGCGTGTTCCCCCCTCTCATTGCCCGACCCCCGTGTTGGCCATATGGCTGTAACGTGCAGTCAGGGTGGCCCCTCCAGAGCACTCGGGGCTTGGTGGGGGAGCTATAACTCCAGGAACCTGAAACCCTTTAATGGTTCCATGAGAACCTCGAATTCCCTACTCCCACAGGGGAGCCCAGAGGTAGCTCCATTGTCCTGAATGGTTTCCATTTCTGCCCCATGGTCACTGACTGTGGGCGTCTGACTGTGCAGCCAACACACAGCAGGTCCCCTAGTGCAGCCACATGTGACGTTTATTCAGGAAATCAGCCGTCCAGTATCACAAGGGTCAGCCGGGTCACTCATGCTCAAGCTGAAGATTAGCGCCCCAGGAGCCTCTGTGTCAGGCACTTTGGGGGGAGTGTCCCTCTCTGGGATTAAACTCTGCATATGAACTGCAGTCACACCTCTGTCTGAGCTCTGTTGGCTGCATCTCCAGTACTGTGATCACCCAGTAGCAGCTCAGCCCTAACTCTGCCACCCTTCCTCCCTGATTGTCAGGTGACAGGAGCTGAGGATTTCAGCCGATGGGCTCTCGCCCTCATGACATCCGCCAACACCTAAAACGTGATCTGAAGAAAACCATTCATTAGGCTCAATGAACAGTTAACAGACAAAATGGCCCTGCCACTGCTGGATTTCCTTTGTTGTTGCCTTTTACCATTTTGTTTCATTTTTTTGATGTTGGTTTATATCCAGTTGCATATCAAACCAGCATCTCTTCTCCAAGCCATCTAGTTTGGTTCAACTGAATATCACTCAGAAAATGGGATGGAAAATTCAGTTTGTTGTGGTCAGTCCTGAGCTTCCCTCTTTCCCTTTGGAGACTGTGTTTAAAAAAAAAAAAAATGACATTTTTATATAGACTTTACATGAGCAGATATTTCTGTGTAACCAGTTTGGCTACAAAATGCTCTCAATGAACTCAGAATTGGGCGGGGGGCTGTGAATAAAACATGTTTCCTTTCATCAAAAAAAAAAACTCAGTTGTAAAACTATGAATTCTGCTCTGTGAGAGAGAGGTCGGGACTTGTCTTTATTCTAGTTCCCTGTCCCACCCAGAGAGCGACATTTCCTCATTTATCAGCTGTTATATTCTTTTCAGCCCAGTACTGCTGTGTTTTATCTTCCCTTTTCTGTCCTGGAGGCCCCGCTGCGGTGGTCGCTGTCCGTGGTGCTGGAGTGGCGTGTGGTTTGCTGCATGGCGGTGTCTGGGTCGCTGACCGTGTGTGACTCCTGTTCCAGTGCTGTTTTAACACTGTATCTCTGTGACTGTTTGCGCTGCTAGCTGCTACACGGAAGCAACCATGCTGTTCTCAAGGCAGTCCACCCTTGATGATTTAGATGGACCAGAAACTGTTCCTAAAACGAGCGAGCGCGCTCGGCCCGGGCTCCGTAAAATGCTCAGCATGGATGTGTCCTCTTCGTCGGCTGAGAGCACCAGCTTAGCCTCCAGGTGCTCACACGTGCATGCGTTGTCCGTAACCGTGTCACCTCCCCCCTGGGTCATTGCACAAATGAGTTCTTGTGACCTGTGTGTTTTTGTTAATTTTTATTTTAAGAATGTGCATGACTAACCAAAGCATAACCACTGCCCTTCCTGGGATACAACTGGTCGTTCCCAGGACAGCATTCTATTAAACTAACTGCTCTTTGGTTTTTGTCTGTTAGGAGTTTCTTAAAAATCCTACTATAAACATTGTCCTTCATTTTGTAAGTATTTCACACTTTTTATTTCCAAAGGAACAAGCATGTTTCCTCCTTGGTTGAGGGCTCAGGTAGGTGGTCCTCACAGGGAGAAATGGGTCAGGAAGGGCAGGAAACTTTTTCTCACGATGTCATCCAAAGATCCATGAAGTAGGGAAAAAAAAATCCCCAAATCCCATATGTAGTCACATTTGGTTGATACAGAATGAATCTGTCCACGTTTTATACGCATAATTAACATAAAAGTCAGGATATATTTTACCATTGGTTTTTTAAAAAGAATATTATTGTGCAGTAGAATATATCACCTTTGTAGACCTTAACTTGTTTGGTTTGGAAGCGATTACTTTGGGCTTAAGTTTTCTCATTAAATCCTATGATAAAACAATAATCATTGAGAAATGAAATTACTTGCGTAAAAGCCACAAGCTCTTTTTTGAATTGCCTTTGAAAAGTCAGCAGGAGCACAGAAGCATGAGCGGCATTGTGCTTATCCCGACACCAAACAACCTACCCAGATAACCCAATCCAAAACTAATGTCAACGTTGGCAAATCAGGGGGGTGTTAAGTCCTTGTTGCCGGCAGCTATGTATCTCAGTTCAGAGCTGCAGGAGGCTGGTGCCTGGTGTTTCTGGGAATGCCATGGCCATTTGAGATGTCTTCTGGCTGGCACATGCTATGCCGTTCCACTCTGTTGATTCCTGAATGTACCAGGATTTGCTGAATCCCTTTGGGGCCAGACCTCATTTAAAACCACAGAGAGCGTGCCTGTGGTCGTTTACGGTCCCACTGGAAGTTAGACCTGGTGTGGGGCTGGCTCCAGTGGTCTGAAAACTCAGTGGGGTGATCAGTCAGTTTCACGGCCATGTCTAATCAAGGTAAGTCTTAGCCAAAGGCTGGCTGTCTTGGTGTTCCGACAGCCTTCTAACTGATGTGCACGCTTAGAACCAAAGCCCTGGGGACGCTGAAGACCCCTGAGTTAGGATCAAGAGCTCATACAAATGTGGTTCTTCAGTCTCAGGGCTCAGCCAAACGCATTCATTCATTCATATGTGTGCTCCAGTGTCCGTGACAGGAGAATGGGTACAGTCTGCGCATTTGAGCATCTCAGTGTTTATGTCCCCAGCTGCGCACACGTGCCGTTCAGATAGCAGCTCCTTCTCAGAGTCTAACAGATTATCGCTCTACACCCAGCAGACTCTGCACCTCTAGATGACTTTTGCCCCCTCCCCTTCAGGGCTGGGTGTGTCGAGGTAGACAGTATAGAAAGCACGCTTTGAATTTCACGGCTCTCTGCTGTATTTCATTTCCAGCTTTTCCTGCACAGACCTGGCAGGGAAAGTTAGAAGGACGGGAGGGATGCAAAAGAGAAGAGAAGGAAGCAAAAGTAGAGTGAAGATAATGGCAGAGGAGCTCATGAAAAAGGAAGCTGGAAGGGGAGCTGGTAGCGGAAAGCTGTTGGGAGGAGAGAGAGCAGGAGGGCAGCCCGAGCTGGAGACTCAGCCCTGGGGAGAGACCCTCAGGGCAGACAGTGGTGGGCGGGGCTTCCACATGCCAGGCGGTGGGGAGGTGGTAAGCACTCAGTCAGATGTAAGAGGCACCAGTGAGAAAAGGCAAAGGATGGAAACACAGGGAGAAGCAAGCATGCAGGAAGTGTGCCGTGTGTTATAAAGCATGCCATTGTCTTGCCAACGGTCCATCATTCCTGTCCTCCCCTTACGGATCTGGGGTCCACTGAGAGTAGAGTGTATCTTGGCTAAGACCTGCGGACCCAGCCAGCTGAGGCTTCTCGTTTCCGTGAGCACCTTTCTTTAAAATCCGTACACTGGGAGGTGAGCTGTGCTCACTGTGTCTTGATTGGAAATAAACACCAGGCCCCGTGGCTGGGAAGCTTGATGGGATTGAAAACCTCTGCTCAGGAGGGTTTAGCACCCTGGGAGCCGCAGCCCAGCCCACCGTCTCTGCGGACCAGACAGATTATCCAGACAGAGCAAAGCCGATGGAACACGAGGGAGCGAGGGCGCGTTTCCCCCCACGTGCCTGGATGCGTGGCTGTGGGCGCCCTCGGGAGGGCGGGGAGTGGGATGCTGAGACCAGGTGGTGCCTGTCCCTGTGTCCCGACAGTGAGCCCACGCAGTGCACGATGCTGTACTCGCGCCAGGGGACCACAGAGACCATAGAGGAGGTGGAGGCCGAGCAGGATGAGGAAGTGCCTGAGGACACCCAGTCCCCGCAGGACCCCATGCAGGACGGCGAGGTGGAGGCCCCGCCGTCCTACAGCAAGGCCGTCAGCTTGGAGCGCCTGTCTTTTGACTCCCGGGACGACTCGGGGGGCCAGACCCACATGGCGGTCAGCCCCGACGACAGCCGCTCAGACCGCCTGGAGGCCAGCATCCTGCCACCCCTGACCCATGAGCTGACGGCCAGCGAGCTACTGCTGAACAAGTAAGAGCCTCGGCCACAGCGAAGGCCACAGCCGGGAGTGTCCCTTAGTGCCCGCTGGGCTGCTGGGCGCAGAGACCCACGTGCAAAACGTCCACTCGGACGTTTAGAGGCAACGTGCTGCTTTCAGTACTTCCTGCACCGCAAGTAGGAGCCAACTTGGTGCTTCTACCACTGAATCGTGCAACCAGCAAAGTGTCTGTAACAGACATGAGTGCTCACGTCTCTTTATTTATTTATTTATTTATTTATTTATTTTTGGCTGCATTGGGTCTTCATTGCTCCACGTGGGCTTTCTCTAGCTGCGGCGAGCGGGGGCCACTCTTCTTTGCGGTGCACGGGCTTCTCATTGTGGTGGCTTCTCTTGTTGCAGAGCACAGGCTCTAGGCGTGTGGGCTTCAGTAGTTGTGGCTCACGGGCTCTAGAGCGCAGGCTCAGTAGTTGTGGCTCACGAGCTTAGTTGCTCCGCGGCATGTGGGATCTTCCCGGACCAGGGCTCGAACCCGTGTCCCCTGCATTGGCAGGCAGATTCTTAACCACTGCGCCACCAGGGAAGCGCCTCATGTCTCTTTCTGTAGCACAATATGAGGTTGACGCCACAAGACACCTGGGGACCCGGGAAGCAGGGAGGGACACCAGGGTCACACCAAGAGGAGATCAGTCATCTGGGGGAATTAAGACCCACGTAGCGTCACACTGCTTATTCTAACAGGATGTTCCGTGACGATGAGCTGGAAGAGTCGGAGAAGTTCTATGTCGGGCAGCCCCGCTTCCTGCTGCTGTTTTACGCCATGTACAACACGCTGGTGGCCCGCTCGGAGACGGCGTGCTACTTCGTCATCATCCTCAACCACATGGTCTCCGCCTCCGTGTAACAAGCAAGTCTATGGAGGGAATCGCACCTTATGAGGACTGGGACACCCTCGAAGGTTAAAGATGGACTGGTTGTCTGAGCCCCTTGGTCCAGACCTCATCACTGGAGTAGGTCCTCTGGCCTCGGTCAGAACAGGAACATAGGCCACGTCGGTCCAGAGTCTAGTCCGTCTCCCCCCACCCCCCACCCCCACTGCCGCCTCCTTTTTAAGAAGAAACTCCTGAAGATAGAGAAAAACATAATCTGTTATTTTTCAGACCGTAGACAGAGGAGCGTGTTACTCCAGCCTCACCCTAAACCCTTCCTGTTTGTCTTTCCTTATCCCCTTCCTTTCAGGCTCTTTTTCCCCAACAACCTGATTTTTTTCTTCTCTGGGCCAGTGGCACTGTTTATTACTTTCTCCTTAGATTCCCCCTTTTTCCATTTTCTGCCCCCAGTCGTATAGGTTTAGGGAAAAGACTGGGAAGAGACCTAGGTACTAAAGAGGATGCCATTGAGATGGGGGTCAAAGGGCAGCTGCATGATCCTCAAGAGCGAGCTTGTCTCTGAGACCCTGGCCCTGCCTCAATCCCATGGGACCCATGGTGCTAAACGACCTTATAAATGCTAGCTTGTATCATATCAATTACCAGTATTGATCATTCTGATTCTCTCTATACCACCAGTGTCCCCAGAGCCTATTTCTTCTCTGCCAGGAGAAGCAACATGTGTATTTCAAAGGTCCATTTAAAGGCTGAGAATTCCCAGCCATTGTTAACTAACCTGGAGCCAAATAGGATGAGGACCCAGTCGGGCACCTACATTTTTTTTTTTAACAGCTTTATTGGAGTATAAGTGCTTTACAATGGTGTGTTAGTTTCTGCTGTATAACAAAGTGAATCAGCTGTACATATACATATATCCCCATATCTCCTCCTTCTTGCGTCCCCCTCTCCCCCGCCCATCCCACCCGTCTAGGTGGTCACAAAGCACCGAGCTGATCTCCCTGTGCTATGCGGCTGCTTCACCCTAGCTATCTATTTTACATTTGGTAGTGTATACATGTCCATGCCACTGTCTCACTTCATCCCAGCTTACCCTTCGGGCACCTACATTTAATCCAAGGAGCCTTGCTGCACCCTCAGCCCTCACCATGTAGATGGACGCTGACTTCATTTAGGGACAGTAATTTACCATTACAGTTGTTTTCCTAATGCCCAGGACATCATTTTCAGAGCAGAACATAATGTCTCATCCCAATAGTAACCTTATTTACTTGTATGTAACAGCCGGTCCTTTTGCTAGCAAATGCATCTTTCTCACCTTCCCCTAAAATTCGGTCCTTAGACACTCAGGACATAATAGTAAGCCAGCATCTTTTTCTCAAAGTTGTCACAATTATTCACAAAGCATAATCCCCCTGTTACAGAAACTGGTGGCTTTGGTCAGAGTACAGCTCATGCTTGTCAAAAAACAACCATGTCTTAATAAGCACTGAACTCACAGTGCAACTTCCAAAGACTAGACTAGACATTCATTCATTCACTCGTTTGCCACCTGCTCTGTTATGAGGAGGTGGATGCTTGCCATGTGTGCCCTCCTAGAGCCTGCAGACGGGCAGGGAGATGGACCCGTCCACAAGCCGCTGCAGGTGGTGGGACGCACGTGATGCAGGAGGCATTCGGGAACCTGGGGATTGTAGGCAGGTGTGCAACCAGCCGCGGGGCAGGACCAAGGCAGCCTCCATTCCAAGCTACAGCCTGAGGGATGAACAGGAGTGAGAGGAGGAAGATGCAGGAGGGAGACAGCCGAGGGAGGTTACCGGGGGGTCGGAGTGGCTGGCACACAGACATGTGAAGATGAAGACAGTAAGTGGAGAGAAATAAGCTGCGGGAAGCTCAGACTATCAGGGGCCTTAGAACCACGTTTATGACTTTAGAAGTGGCCGCACTTGCTTTTCAGTGGGCTGCAGGACAGATGGGGTCTAAGCAGGACCATAGGCGAAGGGACCAGGTAGGTGGCTGCTCTGGTGATCCAGGATGGAGATGATGGCCGGGACCAGGAAGGGATAAATTAAGATAGTTCAGAGGTGAAACTGGCCCAGGTGGAAATCGATTGGTTGGCAGGGAGGTGGTCATGGGAAGGGAAGAGAGGAGGGCACTGTGCCCAGGATTCTGGCCTCAACAGGTGGGGGGGGGGGACAGCCCCAAAGGTAGAGGGTCTGAGGAGCTCTCAGCCGGGAGCGGAGATGGGCTCCGACTGTGGAGCTGTGGGTCTCATGAGCTTGTGAAACACACACAGCCCGTCGGGAAGCCCTCAGGCAGCTGAGTGGACGGGTCTGGAGATGTGAGGAGACTTGAGGGTCGTCGATACGCAGACGGTGTTGGGACAGTGGAGTGATTGGAGCTGCCCAGAGAGAATGTGGAGGTGAGACAAGGACCCTGGGCAGCAGTCGCACCTCAGAGATGGGTGGGGAGTCTGAGCCAGTAGGAGAGCGTGGGCCCGAGGACAGCGGCTTCAGAGCGGAAATTCAGTACACAAGATACGCAGAGACAAGGCTGAACGCTGAAATCAGTGACCTCGACAGGTGGGGCCAGAGCCAAACACCAGCAAGTTCAGGTTGAGGTGACGGCTTGGGGATGGTGCCTGCAGGATATTTGACTGCAGGGACAGTGATGCAAGGCCGTGCGTAGAAACCCGTGCGGTGTGCGTGGTTCTTTTTCTAAGATTAGCAGACCCGAGCATGTTTGCATGCCTGTGGGCAGGATGCAGGGCAGAGATGCAGGAAGAGGGGCTGAGAGGGAAGGCCAGGGCCCCTCAGGCTGCGGATGGGGAGGCGCTGGCCATTGGCGTGGGCTGTCACCTTCTCCACGTCACCGCAGGAAAGGCCATCTGGGGTGGGTGACAGGAGGCTGAGAATCATTGCCTCGTGACTTTGTTCTCTCTGGAAAGCAAGCAGCTGGGTCGTCTGCCAGGAGTGAAAAGCCCTTGACAGAATTCTAGGTTGAAGAAAGTGTAAGGAGCTTGAAACAGCCGCTGTAGAAAAGCAGAATTTCCGTGGCACGGGGGAGGGGGCAGTTCACCAGATCCTCTGCCCAGCCCTGCATTCCTGCACCGCTGACACCCCGTCATCAGGCAGCACAGGACCGGCATCCCAACGGGCTCCCGCAGACGGGATTTGCCAGGCTGATGGGATGGACCCCAATGGGACAGAGCTGAGGATACGGAGAAGTTGATGAGCTCTAGGGGACCTGGAAGTGGCTTGAAAAGTGAGAAGGAACAGAAGGGAATGGAAGGACAGGAGGAAGAGAATCAAAGGGAGGGGGCTGGACGGCCCATCCCATTGCATTTCCCCTCACGAAGCCCCGGCTTGCTCCACACCCTTTCCTGCTTACTGAGTAGAAAATGAACCTGAACTCAACCCTCCTTAAATGTCCCCTCATGGGACGACCATAATGAGGGCAGGTCAGGGGCACAGGCTTTAAGAGGCTTGAAGAGGCCTTGACAGTCTCAGAAAACACACACCGTTTTCTTTTCTCTTATCCGCAGGGTTGTGAGCAGCCCCTCCCCCCAGGGGAGGCAGGAGGCGGTGCGTGTCCGTCCACAGGGAAGGGACTCCCACTCCCAGCCAGGCAGCTGCCCCCAAAGAAATGTTTTCTAGCCCTTAGTAACCGTTGTCAGGAGAAGGTGGGTAACACCGATAAAAATGCTCATTTGTTTCATGTTTCTGACTTTTCTTTTAGGGGGGCTGAACTTTTCCAGGCCACGATTGTAAAGGCTGTAAAGGCAAGAATTGAGGAAGAGAAAAAGTCCATGGACCAGCTTAAGAGGCAGTAAGGATGCTTTCCTTTTATTTGGGGTTTGCCTGGTCCCATTCTGCCAGCTCTCAGCTCCCAGGGAGCCCCAAGCCCTGAGGAATCCATTTGTGGTAACTTTCACAACTGCCCAGGTGTTTGCTCTGGGTGTTGACTGAAATGGAAATGGTCCAAAGGAGTAGAGCATCGGGGTGGGGGGAAGGGGGCCGCCATGGGCAGTCCTAGTTCAGATGCTTACTCTGGAGCCTTGGGCAGGTCTGTCGAATTCTCTGAATTCCAGTTTCCGTTTTTAAATCAGGACTCACAGTTCTACCTGAGTATTGGTAAAGATTAAACAGTTAGTGAATGAGACCGGGTCGTTCCCAGTAATACTCACTTGAAGTCCATCATATCTGTGGGTTAAGTGAACAAACACAGAGTTCTCACTTTGGAAGGATCTTTAGAGATAATGTAATCCAGTCTGTTTGGGAAGAAACTGATGACCCATGTAATAGATGACTTAAAATCCACAACTAGGGCTTTCCTGGTGGCGCAGTGGTTGAGAGTCCGCCTGCCGATGCAGGGGGCGCGGGTTAGTGCCCCGGTCCGGGAAGATCCCACATGCCGCAGAGCGGCTAGGCCCATGAGCCATGGCCACTGAGCCTGCGCGTCCAGAGCCTGTGCTCCGCAACGGGAGAGGCCACACCAGTGAGAGGCCCACATACTGGATAAAAAAAAAAAAAAAATCCACAACTAACCAGAGGCAGTACTAGAAATACACCCCGAATTTCCCTGTATCCAGTTCAAGGCCTCCTTTCCCACCACACCATTCTGGAGAACTCAAGTAATGGACTGACTCCACCCAGGAGATCTGAGAATTCTTTCTTTCTTTCTTTTTTTAATTAGCCCACTGAAAATAATTATTCTCTTAGAGTGAAATTTCTAGCAGTAAGTGGAACCTCTGAGGATTGCTAGTGCCTCACATGTTTGGGGCCAGGTTTAACAGCTGATGGCCATAGCATTCAAAACCTAGCCACTTTCTCTAAGGAAATGGAGATACTCTGTCAGCCCACCAGGAAAATTCCCTGGTTTGCTAGGACTACTTAATTCCATCCTGACCTCATTTTTCCAGCTTCTTTCCCTGTGCAAAAATATTTGCCAGTAAAAATTACACTATCCCATGGCATGGTTATTTTCACAATCAAAGATATGAGTTATGTAAAACTATATATAATGAAAATACAGTATGGTATAACTATTACCATTGTTGTTTCTAGCTATCTAAATCAGGTGTAGAGAAATAACAAATTTGAACCCACATGTAGCATGTGTTCCGAATTTCCCGTAAGTGAGACCTGTTACTATAATTCATGTCACTGGATATTTCCATTTGTTTAAGAATGCATCCTCTCAAGTGAGAGGTCAGAATAAAAAAGAATGAAGGCAGTGATCATTGCAAAAGACAAATATTATTTAAGCTGCCCAAAACAGAAATGTCACTTAAATCAGTTTAAAAACTTGGGCAATACATTCAGAATTTTAAGAAACTAAATTAAGAAATGAAACCTTTCATGAGGGCAGATGTGGGAGAAAAAGCTCAGCATTGCGGTTTCTGAATAGACTTCCTGAATAAACAGACAAAAAGCTGCAATTCAGCATTTTTCCAGATCCAGTAAGAGATTAGATTTGACAGGGAAAAGAGTCGTAGGGTCTGATAGAATACTCGAGAACATTTGAGGAGCAACTTCCTATTTACAAAACAGTTCTCACGCGCATACATCTTTTCACCTGACCTTCACGACAACTATGTGAGGCAGACAGTATCTCAAAAGATAATGCAAAACCTGGGAGAATAAAGGATTTATATTTCATAATTTGCTGTGTTCAGAATGGCTTTGGTATAAGGTATAAGTGGACTTAAAGTATTTAGCATAATTACTATTGATCGTATGACTGAGCTAGCACCTGTGTAGTGCAAAATAACATGGGAAAAAAAAAACAAACCAAGGAGACGTGTCGCTAATAAGTAAGCATCCACAAGTCCCAAATGTTGACCACTTTGTCCATGATTTTAGCTGTTTGCATAAAAGTGTACAGGTAACTATGGGTGTGTTCTTGGCATTGCTGCTGCTGTTTTGTTGTACAGGATGGATCGCATCAAGGCCAGGCAACAGAAATACAAAAAGGGTAAGGAGAGGATGCTGAGCTTGACTCAGGAGTCAGGGGAAGGCCAGGACATCCAAAAACTCTCTGAAGAGGATGATGAAAGTATGTTGAAACATTTCCTTCTTAGCCCAGAGTACCTTGATGTTGAGTAAAAGCATGATATTGGGTAGGGCTGTGAAATAATGTTACTTTTCCTTCTGCCAGGTTTATCAATGTATCTTTTTAACTCAGCAAGTTTTATGTTCCCATTGTGAGTGGGATGTGTTTGTTTGTTTCATAAAGTACATATTTAATGAGTCTATGACTTTACAAGTATCCCCCAGTTCAGCAAGACGACTTTAATATAACCTAGCTTCTGTTTCTGTTTCACGGACGTGTGATTCTGAAGAAAATAGGATGAGTTTGCTTCATTTGTTCCTTTAGGGAAGATATTTAAGCTATGCAGTCTACTGTTGCCTTTGATTTCTATAAATTTTATACAAAAATTAAATATGTAGGTCTCTGAATAATAGTAGTTAAGATATCATTCAATTATGGTCTGTTCCAATGAAACTTAAGATGAAATACATATTTATTATATCTAATTATAGATTTGTTATATCCAATTAAGTTTAAAAGCTCTTTTTAAAGATGTTTGCTTGGTGGTTTTCTGTTTGAAGGGAATGGAGAAACAATGCATGGTATTCTGCCAGTGCATAATATCTATTTATCAACAGTAAATTTATGTTTTTCCAGCCATGCATTAAAATGATGACAAGAGAAATTTCTGGTTATTGGAATTATGCATTTTAACAAATTATTTGCCACTAAATTGTTCTATAATATTTGGGTGATGCTTCTTTTCTGTTAATTCCATGGAAAATTTACTGTGAGATGCATCTTTGACAGATAACCCCTTCATTATTATATTTCTTCATATGCCCTCAATTCCTAGAGAGAAAGTGAAAACGTGGCGTTACGTTAATAGAATACTGAGTATTTACCTTGTGAAACCGGCTGCTGACCCCTGTAAACTTTTCAGATTCAGTAGAGTTTCTTTTCCTGACTTCTGATGTACTTTTGCAACTTGTCTAGATTTTAACAATTGAGTTGTTAAAGCGTGGTTTTCAAAGTTTGTTTTCTCACTTTCTAAGAATTAATATTTGGACATATTTTATTTTAGGAGAAGCAGACAAACAGAAAGCCAAGGGCAAAAAAAAGCAGTGGTGGCGGCCTTGGGTTGATCATGCTTCCAGTAGGTTTTCTTGATCCTCTTACAATTTCATCGATTCTAACCCTTATATCCTTGACCAGAATTCAGGCGTCCCCATGACCTGTGTGTCCCATGCATGGTTTGACGCTTGTGACTTGATAGGGGTCAGAGGGTAGGAAATGTGATCTCTGTGGGTCTCTGAGCCCGACAGATGGAGTCGTCCAGAGCAATCAGCTGGTTACCTTGTGGCTTACATGCTCCCAAGTACCACTTACAGGCTCAGAAAGGGAAGAGGGATTAATTACTGTGTTATCCAATTCTGAGGTCCAGAGTTCTGCTGAGATGTATTTGTTTCATGGCTGAAAACCCTTCTTAAAAATGAGTTTCAGCTTTTCCTGGGACTCTGCTTTAAGGAGAACCGCTCTATTCGGAGTGTCCGTGACCCTCTTTGTAAGGTACTTGACGTGAATGCCAACGAGCACCAATGCCCTCCCCCCACCCCGCCCCATTCCCAGAGCTTTGATTCCATTTGCATGTAAAATTTCTGGGCAATTTATTAAACATAAAGATGAGGACACCTTAAAACACATTTACTTTCTCACGCTGCCTCCTTCCCAGTTTCAAAACAGCTCTAAAACTACACTCTAAATTCAATGCCCAACATGTGGCTGGCCTCAGAGGCACCCGCAGCTCAGCCAGGACCAATTCAGAGCAAAGTCAGAAGATGGTTTTGGAAAAGCAGAGCTTCATAGCCACACAGAATTGGAGCATTACCCTGCTGATCACAAGAAAAAAAAAAAAATGGATGAGGAATCGTGGAACTCAGTGGCTTTATCTGCTCCGCTTGGCAAAGGACACAGCACTCACTATTGGCAATGGTATTCTAATGGAATGATCCATTTCAATCTGGCCCTCCTTGAATTTGTTAGAATATTGAATAATTATTAATTATCTTGCAAATTACTCAAAATGTCTTCAGCCGTTTGCGTCTTATATTATGTCTCGATTACTGTAGCTAATGTAATCATACAAGTAATATCACCAAGGTCCGTAACATCAGCAGGGTGATATTCAGAATCACTAGAAAATCACATAGATCAGAATCCTTTCCCTCACCTAATTCTTACTGTCATTTAGATCTGGTATTGGCCTTTCACCCAAGAAATAATTTCCTAAAATCAACAAGCCCATTTGAGGAAGTGATACTCAAAATTTGCTCAGGATACCTGGATGTAATCAAATGTAATCCCAAATATTGAATTTTAGCATTATGGTATAAAAAAAAATCCATGAGTTCTAAAGAGTTTCACTTTATTTGCTGCTCAAAGACAAAGATTCAAGTTGAAATTCCGTGTGACTCGTATGGTCCACTGGCGTGTCAGTCCTGCTAACAATCTCGTAGTGCAGGAGCTGTGTGCCGATCTCTATCAAGTCACAAGTAAACTGTGCCGATCTTTCTGTTTTAAAGGGCCCTTTGCTAATTTAGAGAGACCTATCCATTTCAAAATGGTGTCATACTGACGTTTTGTCCTTTCGTCCAGGATTACATTCCTACTGCAATCGTTGTGGTTCTTTCCTTTGCTCATGTAAACATTGCATTTTGGAAGGAATTGGATATGGTCTTTGATCATCACCTTATGAGTTGGTTATCCTTGAAAGAACTTCTTCTGAAGGTTATTGACTTTAGATTTTCTGATTCATTTCACCCTCATTATATCAAGTTCTTGAAGGCTGGTATTACACTACCCGTGCCTGTTACAAGACTTCCAGTGCAATAATGCTGGGATGTGTGCCACTCATAGTTTGGAATCAGAGTCTGACCGTGGCGTTAAAATTTTTCTACAAAACATATTCCTTTTTACAAGCTGGTGAGGAAAGGAAAGGAATTGACATGAGGTTTATTTTGTAGACTGTGACGATTTCCAGAACTTGCCTGGAAGCACTTTATTGAAAGCCCTTTTTCTGATCTCTCTTGAGTCACTGGGCTTTTAAATATTCCTTAGAGGTGGCAAGTGTAAGAATAAGTGTCTTTGGAGTGCCCTTGTGTAAACCCATTGACGACGTAATAATGCTGTTACGTTGTTCATATTATGGGTAAGCATCTGAGATGCTTAACATGGTCTGTAGGGGACACCCTCTCAGTTCCACATCTATGTGCACACAAACCATTGCATCATTGCTGTTCAATGATACCTTCCATCCTCGTGTAGTGGGTCTCCGTGTCAATTCTGTACAGCCTAAGTCAGTGCCAAGCGTCACTTTATTGTCAAATATCTGAGATAAAGGGCCAAGTTCCTTTGGGATACAGGTGGTGGGATTTTAAGAGTCATTTTCACACTCAGCCGTCAGCATCAGCATTCGTGGTACATATATGGACCCAGGCTGGGGCAGGATAGCTATCAGAGCCCAGAAACGTGTATATAAGAGCTGCTCTACTTGTTATGAGCAGATAGAACTTCAGAAAATATTCTCTATTTCCTAGTTTTATTTCAGTAACAATTTATAAAGGAATTGGAGACTTTTAAAATACTTCCTTCTTTTTTTGATGTGTTAATTGTACTTGTCACATACAAATTGGCACCATTTTTCAAATCATAAAAATCAGTGTTATGACTGTGATGAAAAATGTTTGGACTCAGTATCCACATGAAAAAAAGTTATTGAAGGTATGATTGAATACAATTGAAGCTATTGTTGATTTTAGAGGCTATAATGAGGGTAAAATGTTCAATATTGGAAATCTTGGTTTTTACCAAATGACCACGTGACGTCAAGCCCATGTGACTTTCCCTCAAATCTCTGAGCTTATCTGAAGCATTACTTTCATGGTCACCCTCACTGTCCAACAGAATGCTGTGACTTTGGTTTGTTCTTGCTTATTCTTACCTTATTTTGAATTGCGTTTATTTCCTCAGGCTTAGGCCCAGTCCTCTGGGCCTGGTTCTTTCTTCAAAATAAAAATAACAAATTACAGTGCTTCTGTTCAAGGATATAAGGCCCAATTCATTCACACTGCATCTTCACGATGGAGGCTTCAGATTTGTCTGAAATCTGGGCAAAATTATTCACTGTTGTGTTTAGTGATATTCAAGCAACTAATTTTCAACAAGCCAAGGTTCCCCATGACCTTACAACAGAGAAGTCCAAAAGATAAATAAAGACATCACGTGATGTCATCCAAAAGACACCTCAGCATTTGAAAACACAAATATAACTTGAAAATATGAATATGTTTTCCTGCAATGATGGTACAGTTCTTGTAGCATCAGAAATGCACATGCTGGGTCTCTTTTCTCTGATAAAGTAATGATCAAATTGATAAAGATTCCATTCTCCAACTTCTTTAACTCTGTGAACATTTCAGCTCTCTCTGCTCCCGTGCTTAAGACAGCAGTATGTCCTGGTAGGGACAATGTCAGGCAAGGCAAGGACGATCCGTACTGTTTGTGCTTTGGGTCTTATGGTCGGCACAGTTCTCCTCAAATTTCAGTAAGTGACTGAGGGCTCCTGGTTGACCAGAAGCCTCACAGCGCTAAACTGTGTGGACCCTCTCTGCCGGACCTCCATCTGTCCCATTCTAGGCATAGAAACAGCCAGAGTGTGGTGGTGGTGCTCTTTTTCTGATGTTACCTGCCCATTTGCTCCTCATGACAATGTGTGATTTTTTTAAAAAACTCTTTCAAATGTCTTGCCATCTGTGTTACGGCCCCATGTCTGCACAGTATAAAGTGAAGGAGAAGGCTGGTGACACTGATTCTTGCTCCTGAATCATCCTGATTAGCTTTGCTACAGCAGTTGGGACCCATTCCGACAACAGCAAAGCCTCTGCTTCACTTTGGCCTTGCCTAAAGGCCCCAAAGTGCTGATAATAGTTTTCAGGCCTTTGGCCATCTTGGTAACAAAAGCGGTTGCTGCAGAGTTGATCTGGTGCATCTGTGTAAAATTTGCTATGAAAAAGGAAGAAGACACCAGATGAATGCAGCAGCGGCCAGGTCTCCTCGGAGGCCTGGACGAGGCCTGGTGCTCTGCAGACCACATAGCACCCCCTCATCTCCTGTTTCCTCCACCCCACCAACGTCTCTTGCTGTGGTCCTTTGAAGGAAAACTTGTGTGTCTTTGGGGGCATTTCATTCATACGCCCCCAGTTATCTCATATCTCTTCCAAGAAATAAGTAAATATTTTGTTTTGCTTAGTGGTCAGGAGTGGAGATTACTATTTGTTTGAAACGGACAGTGAAGAGGAGGAAGAGGAAGAATTAAAAAAGGAGGATGAAGAGCCTCCACGAAGGTCAGCTTTCCAGGTAATTACGGGGATGAGGGAATCACAGTCTTTGCTAGTTGAAGAGTTTTTCTTTTTGACAGACCTTGATTGCAGGCCTAGATTTCTTCTGCCGTGTTCATATGTTGTAGCTCCCAGAAGCGTCTGATTTACATCTGAAGTAGTATGTCCCATCCTGCTGCTTGCTGTCAGCGTTGCCATCATTACTGCAAGAGTTCCTGCAAGAGCACTGGTCCAGCCAGGGCTTCGTTCATTTGCATAGAAAATTCTGATGCTCTATCAAAAATAAGGCTTCCTTGGGTGAACTTTCTTTTGCTGGCACTGCTTTGAATTGTTTGAGTGGACTTCTCGTTCCATAGGTGAAATAGTTGACCATGAAAATAAAATCCCTGCTTTGTTGTGAAAATAAACGGTCATTTCAGTGTTACTTCAAATTTTGAAAATCAGTTCCGTTTGTATTGCTAAAGATTTTAGAATGTATTAAAATCATGAAAACCTCCAGCCCAGTTTTGACGTTCTCAGCTTAACTGCCTTTCTTTTTCAGAGCCTGCTGTATCATTCTTGGTGATATGACTCACCAGCCTAGTATCGTGTATCCAGTGAATGTATAGTGCTTGTTAAAGTTGTGGGTTTGTCAGTAGAGTTACCTATGGGATGAAAACTTGGTAAAGATTTCTGTTACAAAGGCCGTATATAGGACTCTTCTTTCCCATTTGTTAGACTACAGGGCACACAGAAGGACGTCCATCCAGGCTCATGATGTGTCCATGAGAAGGCCATTGTCAGCTTGCTGGCCAGGTCTTCCCAAGCTGGCAGGTTATCGCCACCCCTGTCTTCCCAGTGAAATTGAAGAACTAAATTATTCACCGGGACACCTTGCTTTGAGGCTTTGTCACCGGCCCCATTGCCTCCTGTGTGTGTTTCTCGATGACAGTGTCTATGTGCATGTCTGTAGCTGGCTTATTGAATACTAATAACTTGACTTGTTTATTTTTATTCCAACGAGTTTTCTTCTAACCATCACGCATCATGCAGCAGAGGAGAGAACATGACCATCTTCACCATTTTTACAGATTACATGAACGATAGGCTATTTTCTTTATTCCTAACCTACAAGCAGGGTATATTTGATTCCACATTCAGTGATGAGCACGTTTTAACTTAGTCGATGTAATTATAGAGACAAACTCATACCAATGTCATATATTAAATGATCAGTTTTTGGTTTTTTTCTACTAATTACTCTTGCTTTGTCCTTCTTTGTAGAGAGCTATTGGGAAGTTTGCGTCAGCCATTTTAGCCTTGCCAAAGTCTGTCATTAAACTTCCCAAAACTATTCTTCAGTATTTAATCAGAGCTGCAAAGGTATTTGATGTTTTACTGATGTGTGGTGTGTGGCCCTCCGCTCTGTAGACCTTTAGACGAGCAGATCCCATTGCTCCACATCTGTGTTTTCCCTGTTCTATACATTGTATGATGAAGGAATTAGAAGAATTTAAAACATTAGGCAAACTTCCAAAAACTGTTCTGAGAAGACAAATTTCTTATTATGTGTTTTTCGGTGGACATCAGAGCCGATTAAAAAAATAGAAAGAGAAAATGCAGATACAGATCTAATTTCTCCCCTTCTCGTAGTTTCGCCTAAGTCACATCTCGTGTTAAAAGGTCACATCTGGTTGCATGCATCAGATATGATGTGTCAAAGTATGATCATTTTTCTCAGAAAGCTGGTAAAATTAGGAATCAGTAATAAAAGACTCATTTTGCTCCATCTCCTTTCTGGCTCCCTTTTAAGCCTCCATCTTCCTAAACTGGACTCTTCTGGCATCTTCTGCCCTGCGTTCAGCATCTCTCTTCACTGGGCTGAGCTGCCGTGGATGGTCTATGCAGCCGCCACACTCCATGTCGTCAGGGAGGCTGCTGGATAAACTGTTACAGTTATTTGTTAATTCACCCACTGCACCACAGAAAGCATCCGGCTACCTATGCTGTGGCCACTAAGTTACTGGAAATCATAAACAATGAATCGCTATTCTTGTACTTTATAGAAAGCCATTTCTCCTGCCTTAATCTGGAGTAAGCACTTGAACTAATAAAATGTTCCTCCCGGGTTTAGATAGCGAGGGAGACCTTTGCTTCTCGCCTTTCACCTGGGGGTCTTATTTAAGTGCAGGCTATTTAGATTCAGCAGGTCCAGTGGGACCTGAAATTCTATGTTTTTCTCAAGCTCCCAGGTGAAGTGTAAATGCTGGTTTGCCTTGAGTAGCAGGATCTCGACCTCTGGGCTCCTTCCCTTTTTAAAATGCCAGGATTCTGACTCTTAGTTTAATATTCCCTGTTGCCACTTCCCTGGGTTTCTTTTCCTCTCCCCTTTTATGACGGCACTATGAGTCTCTCCATTCATATTTAAGAATTTATGTGGAAGACTGCAATGTGATTATCCCCCATCTTACTGTAGAAACAAAAAAATTTTGT